ACAATAACACGCGACAGCAATGACAATGACAATTGTATGCAAAAACTGCGGAAAAAGGCCAAAGTAGCCGAAAAATACAACAACAACAACAACAACAACAATAAAAACCTCTAAAACGCGAGACATGCAAAATGAAGTTCATGGAAAATCAATTGCATGAAAGTTGCCCCAGACCAAATGAAGGGGAACTGGAGCTGCACTTTGTCGAGACTCTGGCCTAGCTCTGTCTATGGCTCTGGCTCTGGCATTCGAATATGAGTCGTAGGCTCTACCTGCGCCTGTTCGATTTATGGTATTGAACTTTGCTTTATGCAAATTCAAATTTACAGTTAACAGCTTTTTTTAATTTTTCATAATTTTTTGATTGTTAGAAAATGAAAGTCTTCCTTTAACACTCGCCAATGTGTTTGAGTGTATTTTATGTCGCGCTATTTAAAGATGTCTCGACAGTTGTCCCAAAGCTATCGCAATTCTGATTGTCATCAAATATAATAATCGTTTCAAATTGTTTTCATAATATTATGTTTATCACTAAATTCTATTATCCAACATCAGTCGCACTACTATTTTTATGAACAAGGCATTGCTCTGCTTCGATTTTTCAGTATAGTTAACGAACTAAGTTAACTAAAGCTAATGCCCTGACTTGTTGTCTAGTTGGCGAATTAGTTCAGCAATAATTCGATTTAGCAATCTGACCGCCCTGCTCCAAAACTCACCTGCACGCCAGCCTTACCTTGCCGCTTTGTTCAGCAATAATTGCAATTGGCGCACTCTCTATATGCAACATGCTCATATTCATGCCCTGTTCGACTTCTATGCAACGAGCACCCACCTTATTGTGAGTGCAGCATAAAAAGCAACAAAAGGGCATGATGCCGCACTTTGTGAAAAGAAACGGGCCAACAGGGGCTTGTAACTGCAAATTAGTTTGAGCACCATAAAAAGCGGGCTACAAAACTGCAACAACAACAACAACAACAACCACAACAACTATAGCGAAGCTTGCAAAAGTTTTTTTTTGGAAAATGAAAATCTATTGCAACCAAGAGTTAAGCCAATGGAAAATCGCCTTGTGCAGATTTTTCATGGCTGATTGTAAAAGTGACGCATCATATGGGAAGCTCGATTGTTAGTCAGTTGAGTCAATGACATTCTAATACACACACACACACATATACAGATGGCACATTTATAACTCATTTTGTAATATGCAAAACGTGCGCCGACAATCTCCTTTCTGAAAGCCTCGTGTGCTTGCGTGTGTCTCATGCTTGCATGTATCTCAGCTTAAGAATCGAATCGAATCGCATCGAATCGAATCGCATCCAATCGCATCGCATCGATGCAGCATGTCACAATTGAATCAATGCTTAAAAAAAATAAAACAATAAATGCAAATAAAGACATTCATGAAAAGTTTCGACACTTCTTTAATAAATATTAGCTATTGCGCAAAAAATCTCATTAAATATAAACTTAACTTAAACAAAATTCATTAAGAGTTCACTTTGCTTACATTTGGCTGCAAACCGCAAAGCGAGTTCAAGAGAGTTTGATTTTATTGTGGTTTTTCGTTTTTATTTTTATCTCTCGCAAAATTGAGAAGTTTGGCACGTTTATTGTTCGCTTTTGTGTTCAATACGTGGCTAATTTTTGTTTGATGATAAAGGAAGTGGAGGAAGGCAATTAGGGATGCTAAACTAATCCATTGTTTGATTATTATATATATACATAGCAAACTGACGAAATGATGATGATGATGACGTACAGTAAGCATAAAGTAAATGATATCTCAATGGCATATTAGAGGCATTCCCTAGAGTTGAATGGTATCTCAAAAGCATATTAAAAAATTAAATTAAATTAAATTAAGAAGTGTATTGAAGGTATTCCCTAGAAATAGATGACACTTGTAAGCCCTATTAAAGGTATTCCCTAGATATAAATGGTAAAAGAGATCTCAAAATGTAGTGAAGGCATTCCCTAGAAATAAATAGGCATTCCATAGAAATAAATTATGCTTATAATCCTTTTTAAAGGTTTTCCCTAGATCCTTTTATATAAATTATGTATCAAATGTATATTGAAGGTATTCCCTAGAGATAAATTATATTTAAAAAGTATATTAAAGGCATTCAATAAAAAAAGGCAGCTCCTAGATATAAATGATATCGCATATAAATTGTTATACAACTTCTTACTAATGCACAGTTAGCTTTTAGTTCGTGCGAGCAAAAAAAGTACACAAAGGGCATTCCCTAGGGCGTGGTGAAAGGCACAGAAGTCACAATACTTACTGCATTTAGGAAAATTTCTATAATTTTCTTGTAGTCCGATCTCCGGTCTTGGCTGATCGCTCAACTAGCCACATACCACCCATCAAACATTTCACAGGCTGACTAAAAGAAAAAATGAGGCTTAAATTATTGGGCTGGCATTTAACATGACAGCCACATTAAATTGTCCACTTTGGCAACCTGTGCCGGCACCATATACGAGTGCTATATGCGAGCACAAAACAGTTAATATAGGTATATAGCCAAGTTGGCTGCCGGCGTTGCTATAATTGAGGTTTGGCGACTCGGCTCGGCCCGACTCGGCCCGACTTGGCCCGGCCTGGGGGCATTTTTATTGAAGTATCTGGGCGCGCTCTCTTAAGGAAATGCACAGACGCCAACAGCTGAAAAGATTTTAATTGTCACTTTCGTTGCCGGGCGAAATTTCAAAAATTTTAATTCAAATTTAATGCGCTCAAATGAGTTGGCCATTGTGCAAGAAGCCACCACAGCGCACAAGAGACACAGAGTCGACGAAGTGCGAGCATAGCTTACTTTTTGTGCACTCGTATCTTTATATTTATTTTCAGAGGTGTTTGGCTCGGTTGATGTTGCAAGTGCTGCAGCTCGTAAGTCAATCACTTTGAATCCCATTTAAAAACACTCGGCAACAGATTCAATTTGCTACTTTATGCAATAACAGCGCGCGGACTTAGAACCGAGTCTTAATTAGGAATAGCTGGGACCAGTTCCAAAGCCGTGCAGAGCCGAGTTCGGCCTTGAGCCAGTTAACCAGAAGATGCCGTCGATTTGGTAATCCGTTGGCCATCAGCGTTGAGCAACGGCCAACATATTATCTGCGGATAATCCGTTCGCCCGAAGAACTAGTCGGACCTCAGCCAAACTCAGTGGCTGCGTCGGTCTCTCACTCGCCGACCGGTTACAATTATGAATGGCTATTACTAGTTATTTAAGTCGAATTCAAATTAAATTGATTTGTAAATTAGTCGTGTCATTAACTAACGCATATGCTGTCTCCTGTTGTAGTTTGTTGTACCCCTCCCCAAAAGATCTATCGCCAATTAAATTCGTTCTCATTTGTAAAACATACGTTTTATGGGGCGTATGCTTGATTTGCGTAAATTGCAACATTGAAAAACGATTAGCATTCATTAATATTTCAAAACTAGTAATAAATAAATTATTATTACTGAATTGCAACAAATCGCATTCTTGTACAACTAGAACACTATCGAATAAAATATAAAATGAAATCAAACATTTCACTGCATACTCTTAGGCTTCAACAACAGAGCTCAATAATAGGGTTTAACATAACGAGATACTAGCGAGACACCTCAGAAAGTCAGCGAATATTTCTTAAATTATATATCTACATAATACACAATTAAAATAAGCATTCGCATTAATAATATATTTATCAGTTTCAGTGTATTTTACAGACCAACAGCAATATGTAGTATTTATTGGCTTAACAGTAAAACTTTGAAAAACGCGCCTTTATCATTACTCCAAATTGCTCTGATTAACATGACGTGAAATTGCATTGAACATGTAGAGAGAATTTAGCATTATTTGTTATGTTATTTAAATTTGCTATGTTATTAACGGACGTTTCAAGAATACTGTCATTTAACAGTGCTGTTGTTATGTTAATGTTAACATTATTTTTCTCTGCGAGTATTCAAATCGATTCTCAGCCGATTATTTTGCTATTTGTATAAGTGCGCGCGTTATTTGATTATGAGCTATACTCTATTAAATTTTCAAATATATATTTGTTCGTTCTACAGTGCCATGACAAAAACCTATTTACTATTAACTTAAATGGATAAAACTTTACTCCGCCTGAAGTAATGACACCTGATGACGACCGTTGGTTGAATAAATATTGCATAAGCGAAGCTCTTTATTTACATTTATGTTTTATCGCAATCATTGTTATCTATGTACATTGCCCAACCTTTTCGAGCTTCAAAATAGCCCTAAATTGTAAATAAAATCTTATCAATGTATCATAGCGTATATCTGCTAGACGAGCAATCGATCAAATATTAAGTTTTATATAAGTAAATGTCGGTTTGTTGCTATGTACTTTGGAATCCGATTGATAAAAAATGTGGTTTGTTTATGTGCTCAGTAGACAAAGTAAAAAAAAAGTATCGAAGAATTGTCGACTAGGGTAATTAGCCAATGGGTGATAACTGTGCATAACCCTATGCATTAATAAATACGCATCTATGGAAAAGTCAGTTAATATTTTATATATTTTATTTTTATATTTAACTTGTGAATTCCGCACCTGATGTTTACATACATATAAAAGCATAGATTATTTAAATGATATCAAGGCCGGAATTCAAACACATCGCTGATTAATCTGGCAGCCAAATATACTTGATAGGGTGGTCCAGAGATAACATTTGCAAGAATCATATTTGTTTTTACAAAATCTATTAAATAGTAAATTGCTTTTAGAACATTTTAACTCAATATTATCTTAATAATAATATATTTCAACTTATTTTGGTATATACGAGATTTTCTTAAGAAAAATTAAATTCGCTCATGTTTTGAAAATTTCCTTGTTATGCTGAATTGTTTAACAGTTTTTCGATTTTCGTTTTTCGATTTTCATTTTCTTTTTGAATAAAAATTACAAGGTATAATTTGATTAAATATACTTGCTCAATAGTTTGTCTCTATATTGTGTAACTCAATATTGCTAAATATTTTGATAACCTGTTGCTAATTAACGCATATTTATTATTCTGGTAATATACAAATGGCTATAATATGTTTTCAGTTTCTTGTGTTTGTTCGTAGTTTGCCAACACGTGCATATGAGGCGGGAGTGGTTAATATTAATGCACCAAAACTAAAAAGAAATAGGGCAATAGGGAAAAAATAACATTAAATTGATTAAAAACAAAATTTTTTATTTATATACAGATAACAGGTGGGCGATTTTGGAAATGAATTCGGGACGAGATTATGAAAATGCAAAGAGAAAAAAAAGAAAAAAGAAAGAAAATAACAGCAACAAATCTAAAATAATTTAAAAATACGTTTTTGTGTGAATATTCGCACAGGCATTATTAAAATACGGCTATTATAAGCATGTCACATAAGTTGTATTTTAATGTTTGCACTGCGATGCCTACGTAATTGCATATATCCATATGCATGTAGTGTAAATTATAAGTAATTATGTCTTAAATAGGAAAACTAAGCAAACGAACTGTTTGCCTCTTGTTGCTCGGCAGCGGCGGCTTTAACCAATTCGATAGCCGCAACACGTGCGGCTGTCAACGTTAAGTCCGCATCGAAGCCTGGCTTGTGGGTTGGTGACTGACTCGGTGTACAGTTGGAACTCTTTGGCTTGCGAAACCAGTTGCCCAGCCGGCGACGTCCCAGGGACCCAGTTGACGTCGTCGAAAGCTGTTGCCCAGAGCCGTTGCTGGTGCTGCTGGCAATGGCGTCGCGTGACTGTGATTTTTTGGGTAGCGTATCACAAGAGCGATACGGTGATTTAGCTGGTGATTCGGGTACAGAACTGTCGCCACTTGCTGATGCGGTGCCCTGAGCGTGCTCACAGTCTGCTAGCTCATAGTCGGATTGGTCTGAGTAGTAGCCTGGCCGTTCCTCATAGTTGAACTCAAAGCCCGTCATTTCGGACACGTACAGTGCCTTGCCGCCGAACTGTCGCTCCAGGGCGAGCGTATTGAGAAAGCGGTGCTTGCGGTTGGCCGAGCGGAAGCTAAAGTCGTACCACTTATCTCGCGACTCGCAGTAGATTCTAAGTGAGTTTTTGATTGTGTGACCAAACATTTTTCCATCACGCACGTTCACGATGCGGCAGCGATCTAAAAAGATTCGCCCCTTATAAATGAAATTGCTGCGTTTGATAATATCGCGTTTGCAGTAGATCAGCTGGTTATCGAATAGAAACAGGGTGCAGCTGCTATTCCAAAGGTTCTGCTTCTGGCGCGTCGCATCGACTTGAAGGAAGAAGCGTGTGCTGTGCAAGTGCAGCGGTGGCCCCTTGAAGTTTTGAAAACTCGACTGATGTCGCGCTATGGTCTCGCTGTGTCGTTTGCCTTCATTAACAGCCTCCGTAATGCCCCGCATCTTTTCCAGCGCCCCATTAAGGGTGGCATGCGTATCCGGAATATCACACTGGGATACATCTATCTGATCGTAGTCTAAATTATCTGTTTGGCCAGCAACTTCTACGCTAATGTTGCTGTTTAGAGCAGTCTTAATAATTTCATTGAGGTGCAGTGGATAGCGGCAGATGCGTTGCACTGGCGCCAGCAGATGCGCAGACAGCGGTAGCTCAGCCAGATGTTCGGATTCGCGGCAACTTCGGAGAAATAAATGCGAGATATTATTAGTGAAAGCGATCAATGAGTAAATAGTATAAACTTACTTCTCCAAAATAGTGCGTGCATCTTTGATGCGTTCATAGGATTCGAGTTCAATGAGTGCACGGGGATATGCATTGCAGTAGGTGGAGTAGCAGAGGAATCCTTTGTTCTAACAATACAAGAAAATATAATTAAGGATGAGATATTAAAGCTTGTAACTAATATATAACTATCTATATTATCTATATCTATATACCTAAGAGACTTACCATCTTCAGAAAGACCTTAGATATTTGATTTTGTTCGATGCCCTGCCGCAAGGCGTCCAGAAACTTTCGCTGAAACTTGTAAATGGCTGTGATATTCGAGAATATAAGTCGTATGCTGTTCGGCGAAAATATGTCGATGCGTTTGCTCATGGCAGGCAAATACCTATAAAAGAGATAATTAAATCAATTTGAGATCATTTATCGAGCAAAACATTCGCTGCTTACCCGTCACATATGGAAGCCAGCAGCTTCACGTAATTGATTTCAGTTTCTAGAAGTTCACGTATAGCGCCATTCCGTATGGCATCGTAAGCATCCGGCAGTACATTGATGTGAATTGATGGCATGAGTATGGATGTTGGCGGCGTTTCAATGACTATAGTGGTAATATTAGTTTGATCCGCAGTCAGCGTGGCGTTGGCATCCTCATTGGCTGGGCTCAGTTCACAAACGGGCACTGGAACTTGAAACTCTGCATCGGATGCCGCAACTGCTGTCTCTCCCAACATCGTCTTATCGGCATTAAAATATGCATCCAGCTCACAGCCATGAATGATGCGCACAAAGTCCTTAGGAAACCAGCCCAGTTCTGGATCGAGTATTTCTTCCACAAGACTAGCATCCTCCTTCTTAATGCGTCCAAACCACCAGGGTCCCACCTCCTTGCGCAATATCTCTATCAAAGTGCCACGCTCGAGACCCAACTCCTGCGGACCAGCCGCCGTGAAGTTGTACAGCACTTCCGCATAGACGGGACAATAGTTGTTAGCTGTCGAATAAGTTGATATGAATTAGTGCTTATGTTTATTGTAAGTTAATTGAGTAAAGTAATATCATTTAGCTTTTATAGTAGTTTTAATTAGCTATAGCTTCAGACTGCTGCTAATAGGAGAGACTGACTTGAATCATGTTTGAATTGAGAGACGTGAATTGTTTAGTTATATCTCATGACTAACAAGTCGATATGGACTTGGCTCTCTCTTTTTGCCTGTGACAAAAGAAATCTTATAAGAGCCGAGATTTCGTTACTTATTAGGTAAATTTCTATATAAATGAAGCTCAAATTAAGTGGCATGTTGCCACTTTGATAAATAATGAGCAGATTTCTTGTAGACTCTGGAAGACTTTACGATCTAACAATTGGAACTTTCTTGCAGCTTTCATTCAATATCTTTAAACTTATCTTATTTCAAATTACAAACTTACAATCTTCGTGTGAAGCGATGCTGTCACTATCGCTTTCCTCATTGTCGGTGCGGCACTTGCCATACGTATCCAAGCCGTTGGGCTGACTGAGCGAACGCGTGGGCAATGATTCGGGTGCTTCGCGTTCTCTGTTGCAATTGTTGTCCAGATTAAGCTGATCGAAGGCTGGTGACTTAACAGCATCCTTCTCCAGTATGCTGGTCGCCTTGGCCGAGTGACAGCGGCGTATGGAGCGTGTCTTTGGCTCCATGGCATTTGGCATGTTGGCTGGCACAGCAGCTGCTCCTTGACGCTGGCCGCTTGCCAGCGCGCGCATATAGTGCTCATCCTGTTCGAGCTCAATCTGGATACCCGAATCACCCGAGTTGCATTTGTCGCGGCGATTAAATTTCGTTTTGCGACGTTCCTTTGAAGAGCGCCAGATTAATGGACCAAAACGATATTTAGCTGAGCCTGCATCGACAGCAGTGTTGCCTGCGGGAGCTTTCCCATTGCCAGCAGTTGGCGCCGTTGCTGTCGCAGTTTCCAATGGTAACTTACTGTCCGTGCTACCGACAGCTGCTGCTGCTGTTGTTGCAGGAAACGGCGTAATTTGCAACTGATTCTTGCTGTGTAAAAAGGGCAAGTTGCGCTTAAATTTCTGTAAGACGCCTAAGCTGTTGCTGCTGTTGCTATCATTGATGGCTTCACTTGTAGCATCCACTGCGTGATGCGCCTCCGTAGGCTGCTTGGACGATTCCGGTGAGCTGGTTAGTGTTGGACTGGAGACGGCGCGCATCTGTTGTGACTGCAGCAGAAGAAACAAATATATGTGGTTAAAACTGTTCGATTGAGATCGGCAGCTGCTGAGATGAAACCACATCTATATTATTAACAACAAATGATACCTAACTACTTAAGTTTATTTGTAAACAGAAATCAAAGGCATCACTGACGTCCATTTGCAGAACGAATACACTTCACTTCAGAATCGAGTTTTTGTTTTGTGTCTGTTCGCGCATTGATTTCTTATCGAGATTTTGTTTACTTTCTCGAGTATTTTTGTACATTTCACAATAAAATTGATAAATCAACTCATTTGCCAGCACACACAATTGACTTTTTTGGGTAAAGTTATGCGCGTACAGTCCATGAAAACCAGACCACAACAAAATCTTATCAAAAGGGTTAAATAATTGTGAAAATGGAACTATAAAAATATGGAACAGCGACAACGATTGCTGATTAAAATCTGAATCACAATTATCGTGGCTAGGAGGACGAGGTGGCGTTACCTGTAGCAAGCAGATTCGCCACTTGCAGCGTCGCTCGCTGGGCATTTGATCGTTTGGCAAATGGCTAAAGTAGGTGTGCCGCTTGCTTCCGCCGGACTGTTTGGGGCCATCCGGCATACCCTCATCAAAGCTCCAAAACTTAATCAGACCATAGGTGTCCATGAGTGTTGGTATTATCAGTTTCTTCATGGTTCTCTACTCTTTTTTTTTTTTTTGCCAACACTGGGCAAAATATCACCGCCCGCTGGCAAGTGTCAACGGTGGACGTGATAAATAATAACTGAGTGCGACAATTGCAAATGCGACGCTGCGGCAGCGACCACAAAGTCGATGCCGATGTCGATTTCAGCGTCAAATACAAATGAGCGTGTGCCTGTGTGTGTGTGTGTGTGTCTGTGTGTGCCCTTCTGTTGTGGAAGTGCGGGCAAAGTTTTGATAAGCGTTGGCCAGGAAGGTGGGGCTGACTGGCTGGGGGCCGTGAGTGTTTTTATTATGTTGCGCTATTGGTTATTGTCTGCACTGGGCATTCAGTGTTAAGGGTTCGAGTATCTGCTGATTTAGTCAGAAGTCAAGTGCCTTTATTAGATTAGCAAAGGAATTGCATTGACGGAGCACGAGCCAACACACTGACAATGCTGACATTGTCAATTGTATTCATATTACAATCCCGGACTTGAATGTCTGCCAGCCTGGGTCGTCACCTTACGCAAATACATTGTTGCATCCATAGTTTTTGTTTATCTTGATTAGTGTTTACCCTTGAGTCAATGAAATGCCCAATAATGATGATGAAGGCATTCAAGTCGAAATGACATATTCGAGTGCTTTTCGAAATCTATTTTCAATTCATTTGTGTTAGCAATCTTAAGTTGATTAATCTAAGACTATCTATGAATGGTGAATTGAACTAAGATGTGAACTGAACTAACATAGATTTCTATCTGTATCTGTATTTGTATCTGTATCTGTATCTGTATCTGTATCGGTATCTGTGTCTGTATCTGTATCTGTAAATGTATCTGTATCTGTATCTGTATCTGTATCTGTGTCTGTATCTGTATCTGTATCTGTAAATGTATCTGTATCTGTATCTGTGTCTGTATCTGTATCTGTATCTGTATCTGTAAATGTATCTGTATCTGTATCTATATCTGTATCTGTATCTGTATCTGTATCTGTATCTGTATCTGTATCTGTATCTGTATCTGTATCTGTATCTGTACCTGTATCTATATCTATATCTCTGTCTGTATATCTCTAATCTTCATCTTCATCTACTTCTTTATACAATTATAAAACATAAATTTTAAATACTTACCAAGCACTCGTTAAAGCCATTGCATCGTATGCCAATAATGCTGATATTATCCTTTCCATGTCTGGGCAATCTGTATGGAAAGACAACAAATAAGAAAGAAAAAACATTCAGTTGAGTAAAGTTCATCAAATTTCTGGGAAGAATTAATGCGGTTTGCGCAATTGTTTGGTGTCAGCAAACTTAATTGAATGGGCTACCTGAAGTTACGTGATTTATGATCGCATGGGGTTGACCCGAGCCGACCCGCATATTGCCATAAACTTTTATACGGCCTGTAAATCTTTGGCAAAATCTTCACTGCAGAAAATTAGGTAGTTTTTCACTTGGAATATGCTGGAAATGCGACACCAAGGAAAGTGTTACGGCCACAGGTAAGAACGTGTCTTGCTACAATGGGCGTGGGTTGTTAGTTGTAAAGAGCTCAACTTCAAAACAAATGCCATTGCATTGCCTAAGCAATGGTTAGTTCTATGCTGGCATAGTATTAAATATTATTGGAAGTCCTGCTGAAGGACATCAGGTAAGTAAATACGAGTCGAATAAATAGTGTATATAGGAAATGGTATACAGGCTATGGGGGAAATAGGATGTAGGAAATAGGACATAGGATATAGGATATAGAAAATAGGATAAAGGATGTAGGAAGTAGGATATAGGGAGTAGGATATAAGTTATATGATATCCATTCTTAAATAAGTCCAGCTTCCTTTGCAAACAAAAATAGCTAAGATAAAATAGCAGCAAACGAAAAGAAAGTGTAAACAGATGTAAAAAGGTAAATGAGTGAAATTCTATTCATTGTAAAACACAGGAAATGGCTTCGCTCTGAAGCAAGAAATTACACTCCGCTTCAGCTGCATTATGTTGTGCAGGTACCGCCTGTATCATATGTACTTTAGTTATTCAAATGTCACGTTTGCTAAAACTATATACTAGATATATCGAACAGATGAGTAAAGTATCTGGCTGGGACAGCTTGCCACGCGAGCAGTAATTGAGTAATGCAACTGCTGATCAGCTCATATCACTCACTATTGAAGTTGTTCATACTTCGTCTTACCTTTGCAAAACACGCGTATTAAATCGTTTGCACTTTCCGCTCGATTTCAAGCGATTGCCGAATGCTGTTTGCATTGAAACTGTCATCGATTCTGTATTTTTCATTTTCATATCCGTTTTATAGGTATTTCGCAGTTTTTTCATTTTCAAAAGGGTTAAAACCAGTTCTAGTTGGGATTATAAATACTTTTCGATATATATTTATAATTTAAAAGCTCGAAAAAGTTAAGGTTTATAAACAGGCTTCACATTTTTTGTTTTATGCACTGCGCAGCGAAAGGCGAGTTGTGCCTACGATGTTGACTAGGGCAGACTGATCAACAGGGTACTCAAGGCCTGCACTAAACGAGCCAGAAAACAACCCTCCTCAGGTTCTACTTGTTTTGCTCAATTTTGTATATAGCGAGGGATGCGAATTGAGTGATTTTTCAGATTGTTGATCATGAGCTCAAAAACAACCCTCAGGAACAACTGTCGTTTAACAATGAAGAGGGCTGCGAATTAACTTGGTTTAGGATCTTTGATTTTCACTATGCTTAGACTTCAACTCAGGGACTAGGGCAACATAGAGTATGTTTTTATATACTTCAAAATCCTTGTTTTCTTATTTCTATATAATAACATATGTCCTATATCGCTCTACAACAGCTTGACAATCTATTTAGTCATAACACTTGTCTGGCAAAGATGTCTATCTGAGTGTGTTCAGTGCTTAAGGAAACAGCTGTTGCGAGTTTCCTTCAGGCTTTACCTAAGAAAAATAAAGCAGCTGCACAACTCACTCAAAAGTATCGAAAATGTGCTCAAAAAGGATCAAAGAGGAAACTGCATACAAATTTAAAGTAACGAAACATCTGCCAGTGCTGAAATGCCACACACACAACCAGTTTGTGGTGGTGCTGCAGCCATAGAGTGTATATAGTGTTTACTCTCCATTTACTCTTCAGCTACCTTACGTGTGCATGTGTGCGTGTGTAGCAAGAATATACGATGCATTATACGAAATGTGGAAGTTCCATTTTTAGACACCATTCTGTACGGACTGTGTAACACGTGCTACTCGCGCAACTGATTTAGTGGGAAGACAGACTAGAGTAGAGTAGAGTAAATATTTAGACTATAGAGCTACAGCTCTATACGTTGAGCCCAACAAATATTTGATTTACTCAAAAAAAAAAAAAAACAAAATTATATATAATATATTTCCAAGTTAAATGCATTTACAGGTCCAAGCATTTAAGATCTTGAGGCACATACAATTACAAAACAAAAAGCAATTAGTTAGATAATGGCCCAGCTCTTATTACATTCTTTATATCCTTCTTACTCACTGTTTTCCTAGAAATATAAAAGATGAAAAACTAATGTCATTGAACTTGCAGCTGCTATGACCATGAAGTAGTTGCTTGCTCTAAGCGGAAGTACCTAACTAGGATATGCCGCGCTGTGACGTCCTTTCAACATTCCAGCTTACTTCCCACACAAATACTTGAGCTATTTATAAATCGGATGTATTTGTGTTTGCCTCAGCCCTACACTATGGGAATTGCGTAGTTGAGTTCCATTAAACATTCGTTATAGCATGTCTATATGGCCTAATCTGATTAAGGCGAGGTAAACAAAAATTACAACATGGATTTTTATAGATAGCCATCAGTATACGTCGCAAGAAAACAGTAAAGCTATTTCATACTTCTATACTGTGTTCGTTTGATGAGAATGACCGATATCAGATGTGTTATCAATATCACTTATAATATAGAATTTTTGATTTTCGGCTAATGGTTTTACTTCTCTATATGGCCATAAATTCAATGACATCAATTTTTTTGTATATATGTCTCAAATTCAACATAAGGAAACTATATACTTTTTATTATAGACTGTATACAGTGGAACTGCCTTTAGTCACATCTTGAGCTGAACAAATGTGTTAGCTGGCCTTATCACATTTTTAGCAAGAGCAATTAAAAATTTTTGATAGCTATGGAATTCGGTTTTTGACTCTTTGTTGAGTCACAACTATGTCATAGACATTCTTAAACGTTTTTTGTTTTCTTTTGGAGAGTATTAGGATTGAAAGTAATAAATTGTGAAATGTTTTTTTAATGAATGCGATTGTATAGAAAAGGCTATTAACAGCTAACGCTTTTGCGTAAGTTATCCAAAAGAAAAAGTTGGTTTTTGGCCAAACAACTAGTTACGTTCGCTTTCAACTAAAATAAAAAGCAATTGCAATGCAAAAAAATTAGCAAATACTGTATACTATAGTTTAAGCTTTAAGTAAGCGTGGGCTTTATTATGTATTGAATTATTATCTATTATCTCCAATAAATGTGATTATTTAACCACTTTTACCATATTATTAAAGCTTAATTATTTGACTTACGTCTGCGCAGATGGCGCTACTGTGACTGTTGTTGCAGCGTCATCTGTGGGATGATTCCAATGCATGTGCACGTTATCAGAATTTTCAAGGGACATACTATCAAATTAATGTTTTATAGCACGGCTGCTTCTGGCACAACTGATATCGCCTATGACATAGGCATTGATTTTTATATTCACACTGTCTTTATTCGATGCGAACATTGGAGCACATTCTGTTGTACACATAGTCAGTGCTGAGTTTTAAAAAGTGTATGACTTTTTTACTTTTTGTTATTGATTTCGGTGTTATTTTATTTATATATTTTTGGCAAAATGCCCAGAACGCATACATACATGCATATATGTATATATATGATTGCGCATCAAATTTTAGCGTCGACCGGCAAATTGCACTTCAATAACTAAAACATCTTTATAAACTAAATATAATATATTTAGCTACTACTCAAAATAACCATACATTAGTTTTTAGGTTTCTTTTAAATTTTTCTTAATTTTATCCCAAAAAAATTGCATCCGATGCGCGCTGCTTTTTCCTTGATTAAAGACAACAAATATTCCCTACCCTTTCAATTTACTCACAATGGAAATGCTAAACGTAAAATGAATCTGCTAAGCTCAAAATGGTCATGTTAGCTCACTGCATCCCAGCACTCACTTTCTCTACAACGCCAATTATTTAAATTTTTGCCGTAAGCATCTTTGCACCTAACCAGCGGCCATCCAACCTTTAGGTATAACAATATTTTTGTATAATTGAACACACATTAGAATTCACACAATACATATACATATACGAAATTGTGCAGTGAGTGTGCAGCTGCCGTAAAAATGTAAACAAGGGTGAAGTGAAGAAAAAATGCATCTGTTAACTTACATCTGGTCTGATTGCGCTGAGACTGCAGCAGGTGCAGTCATTGACAGCGTTACATGATTCGAGCACATATTTGTTGCGTTATTCATTGTATCGCTGCTCTCGATTGGCTTGCAATACGCGGGAATGGGTTGCTGTTCGCATTCGTTTGATTGCTTTTCGTTTTTTGGGCTTAATTGCACTGATCCATTGGCACAATTTGCAATGGACACACTATCTAATTGTTCAGCCAATGCACGCGAACTATTGGCTGAATTGCAATCTTCTTCGTCAGATACTTCGGGTTTTTCTTTCTGCTTCACGCACATAATGCATACATGAAATTCTTTGGGAGATGCTGGCTGAGATAAACTTATAATTGTAGACATTGCCAATGATGTTGCAGTAGTTTTTGAATTTAGTTATTTTGTTGAAGTTAGTGTTTTTCACTCAATATATTACCATCTCAGCTCTTGTATTACACAAATGCGTTTGACATACTACATATGCATACACATTCGAATATATATCTATGTATGTATGTACATAAATTATTGCGTCGACCGGCGAGAGTGCACTTTTTTTAATTAGATTAATTGACACAGATTGCGTTTCACAATTATTTCTTGGTTTCTTTAAAAAATAAAATCTATGACTATTTCAGTAATTAATATTATTAAAAATGCATATTAATTATTTTATTCACATAGTCTATTCACAAATTATTCACGTCTCCTTAAGTTGACATGCAACCGTCTCCGACGCTTATTCTTCGACAATAATTCAACAACAAACATAATTCACCAGCTATCGACTTGCGATACATTTTCAGGTACCAACAATTCAACTCAAATTGGTACTGTTAAACTCAAAGTGGTCATGTTAACTAAACTATAAGATGCTACATCTATCTATAGCTTTAACAGATAATTCAAAAGCATTATTTTCGCGCTTCTTCGTGCTTATGAATTTCAATTGTAATTAATATTTTAAAGGCAGTTTACTTGTAATTTGATAATGTAATGAGTTCTTTTTTATTTTAGTTTATAAATATGTAAGATAGATACCTTAACATTTTGCCATGCGCAGTGGCAAGCTGAATATTTGGTACTTTCCAAATTTAGTATAAAAGTATAACAGAAATATGTAATTGTATACCAGTTGCTTAAGACATCTGTTATTAAATCCCTTTTGAATTTTCTGCATCATTAATTGCTATTAAACAGATTAACTTGTCTGCTTCTTTACGTTAAGCATTTCATTTCAAATTGATAATGTAAATGTTAAGAAAGTTCGAGGTTACAAAAATGTTGTTGTTATAGCCTGAGGCCAAAAATAGAAAAATCACTTCAAAGAGTCGAGACATGTCTCATTTGGGACTTTGTTTATGGCTGATGTGTGTTGTGTGTGAGCTTGTATAAATAAGTAAGCTTAACTGAATATTGTCGAGCACTTTTGACGAGGCCTTAGATGATTGCTGTTCACAAAGATTTTTAGATCAGACGCACAGAGGTAACTGACACACTGATCCATTTGTCCTAATAACAAAAATTGCTCGGCTACTAAGTACTTTTTGTTTTAGACAGGAGGAATCTGTTGACAGAGGAACAAAGAGACTCATAACTTATTTATAGCCTCGCCAGCCGGCAAGTAAAAATACTGAGTAAAAATAATAAATGGCCTAAGGTCTACGCCTGTCTAAATACATACGTATGTATGTGTATCTGTATGTCTGCATGTATGTGTGTGCCTAAAGTGCAGCTGTGCAATGGTTCAGTGAACTTGGCTAAGCATTGGAGTCGTTGGTTTTGTGTCAACAAGCCTTAGAATTTCTTAGCTAGGTGCCTATCTGTACGCGTATACAAAGTGTAAAGAGTATATTAGTTTTGCGCAATGTCCTGACTGTGTGGGCGTAAGGAACTGCAATATGCACTCATGCTTAGCCTCGTCGAAAAAAACTATTTATTCTACAGTCTTAGAACTCTTATCAGCAAAGAAAACTCTGTTGATTCTCTACACACTATTTATATTTGAACCCTGAACGGGTATTACGCAGTTGGCTGTGCCCGCCTGTTACATTGCAGGTTTTGGTTTGTTATTTTGTTCCAAGAATCTTACTGTTTTTTCTAGCTTATATAGGGCAATTTACTGAGTGAGTCGAACAGCTGCAAACGTTTTAACTTCCTCAAAAAAGGACTAAAAACTGAGCTTAAGTTTGACTTATAATTAAGGAGTTTTTTTTTTTTTTTGAGAGAGAAACTCAAATATTAAATAACAAAATCAATTTCTAATATTAAACTTACCTTAAATCAGTTGCCATTGTTGGAGATTTCTGTTTTGCTGTAATTCTGCTCGGCAGGGAGTTGGAACGTTGCCGTTTGTAAACTTCAGGCCAAATGGGGAATATGACTTTTTTATTGCGGTAATTCTGATCTGTTAACTTGCTCTGCTTTGGCTTTTCCAAGCTACTTTTCATATAGCTAAAAATTAGATGTAAAAAATTAAAAAAAATTCTTTATTTATAACAATTTTCTGAGCATTGATTTTAGCTTAGCTAAACTTACCTCATCGACGTTGCCGTCGGACTGCCACTGGTTGGCTGTGCTTCGTTCATGGACGAATCAGAGTTTCCCAGAAGCACAAGTGAGCTGGCTGTCAGTGGTATGACACGAGGTCGTATAACTGCTGTGGGCTGTCGCTGAGTTTTGCTCTTAGTGGATTCTGCATTGACGCCACCGCTGCATAGGAAGGTCCATTGTGGACCTGCAGGTGCAGGTGCATTGTTGACGCGTGGAGAAATCGTTGATGTTTTGCTTATGTCGAACTTGAGGAAGTTTCCGTTTAGAGCCACTTTGGAAACATGTTGTTGCGGCTGTTGTGCATCTTTCGACACGAGAGGCACAGAGTTTTGTTTACCTATTGCGGACTGCTCTAATGTGACAGGTGCAAAATTTGGCAGGCTGCTGGCGCCGGTGCCGCTGCAGGCGCCGCAACGTGGCCAATAGTCACCAGACGTTAGACTCTTTCTGCATTTCTTGCCTTGCGCTGCTGGACTGCAAAAGATGCATAACAAGAAACTAAAAACTGTCCAAGGGCCGCAAGGCATTGTGCGTTTTCGTATGCTCAGGTGATTTTTTCTTAGGTTCTCTTAAATTACATTTAACTCGCCATACTCTAGTCCATTACCCATTATTTGTTAGTCGATAGTGTTAGCATAAAGAAGAAGTAAATATGAGTTAGTTGACACCGGTTCAGTGTGCATAAGCAGTCTTGTTACAACATGTTGAAGCCAACTCTGGGAGCTGGCTTTGGTCGAATTAGTCGCTGAAGCTTGGCTTTGGAATTGTGTGTTTTGATAGGGGCGACCTTTGGTTGAGACCTTTCGTGCGTTTTCAGTTATAGTTTACAGAGAGACAGTTAGTTTAGTCATTATCATAGTCGATAGATCGATATATTTTTATGCTTGTCAGTCGATTCAATACCTGCTGCTGCGCGGCAGTGCACCTGTCGTCGGTCTGTACAAATTCTCATCACGCGAACTGGAACGCTGTGGCTTCAGCACAGTCGTTGGGTGCTCATAGATGTGCGTTTCGTTGCTCATAAAGTTCAGCTCACTGTTGCCGCCCGAATTGATCGTTTCGCGGTTGCGCAGCTGCACGGGAATCTCGTAGTCGCTGTCGCCACGACGAAAGTTCATGATCGGCGATTTCCTTAGCATCTCGTAGGTCAGCTCATGATCGCACAGGCGCGTGCCATAGCTATTGCCTTGTGGGCTGCTAGTGCGCTGCGCCGTTAGATGGATGTTGTTCGAAGAGGAGCCGGACGACTGGGGCGAGCGTGTGGTGCCCCGCTCATGACCAGCTGCACCCACTGGCGAGTTGGATTGCCGCAAGCGAACATTGGACGTCGACTCGTTGCCGGGCTGTAGAAAATGAAGGCCCGAGCCACTGCTGCCATTGTTGTTGTGCAGTGCCTCGCGATAGTCCTCGTCAAAGGAGCGACTCTTGTCGCAGTCCAGGCGCAAGCTCTGATTGCCAGCACCGTCGCCGATGCAGCCGCTGTTGTGAGCGGAGCGTGTGGCATTGTTACTACGATTGTAATTGTTGTAGTCAAAGTCGAAGGAGCGTGCCTTGTCCACGTCCATAGTCTGACGCTGTCGCGTTGAGCTGCCGCCAGCTGCGCTCTTTGAGCTGGACAATATTTTGTTCGCTGATACCGTGGCACGCAAGGAGTTCGGAAACATGCCCGTGATTGCCTGCTGATAGTGCACTGCTGCCTGCTGCTGCTGCTGCTGCTTCTGCATTGGGTTCGCGCCGCTGACAACTTTCATGGCTTTTTGTGTGCGATTTGGTGAGCGTTCGCTCAGCTGCAGGGATCTGCTGTGAGGGACTTTAGTTTATAGACTGCTTAAGAGACGAACAGCGACTCTGCTTACCTGGAGCGACGTATTAGATGCTCCTGGTCCACCTGCTTGGCTGCAGAGCGTCCCACGGAACGGCGATAATTGACAGAGCTCGCGGCATTAGCGGCTGCAGTAGCTGTGCTGGGGCTGCCATTCAATAGCTCGTGCGCCTCGCCGCCGCTGTAACTGGAGCTCGAGGAGCTGCGTGAAATGGTCGGCGGCGCCTTCTCGTCGTGTCGCTGTCGACGCTCTAACGTATTGCTGCGGGAGCTAGAATTCTGACGTGAGGCAATCAACGAAATCTGAGATCCCTTCCGACGTCGCTCCTCCGGAGTCAGCGAGCGCGATTCCGGCGTTAGCGAACGCTGCTTTCGCAAGCTGCTCGACGAGCTGTGCGAGTCATTGCGATCAGGTGTTAGGGATCGTTGACGCTGGTTCTTATACGGCGAAATGCTGACGTTGCTCGTGCTAAGGTTGGGAAATTGATAATTAGTTGCTGAAAGGAATTCCGTAGAGCTGCCATCTTCGTTGTCCAGCTCGTCGTTGGAAAGATCTGTGAAGGCATTATGGAAGATTCAGATCATATGAGTGGGTAAAGACTTTAATGGAATTTAGAGCAAGAACTGATAGAGAGTAAAGCTCACCTGAACGCGCGCCGCTATCACAAGAGTTAAGTCGATTATTGATGGTCATATCGAGGCTGCGGAAGCGCGACATGCCCAAGGCGACGGGCGGCTGGACACCTGGGCCACTATTGGCAATGCAGTTGAACTGAGACTTCCGCGAACGTCCGATCACATTGTGGCTCTTGGAGCGCTCAAAGGTGCGATCGTGCCGTGAGCGCGGCGAGTACTTGGCCAAGTTGCTGCTAGCCACGCTGTAGGCCGGCGGTGCTTCCTTAACGGACGCATTCAGATAGGCTGTTGTTTGCGGCTGCAGATACTTGGGCGAGTTGTCGCGGCTGCGCAGAATCCGGCCGGAGGTGGTGCCCTCACGTTTCGTCAAGTAGTTCGGCGAGTTGCCAGTCAGCGTGCTGAAGTTGAGCGAACGCTCGCGCTGCACCGCCAAAGATGGCATGGCTAAGGGCCGCTCCGACAAGTTGTCGTCGAAGCTGCGCGAAAATGTCTCCACGTAGCTGTTGGTGGGCGTCGATCGGCGCGTATCGTACTCAAAGCTGCGCGAGAAGACCATGCCCTTGCCACTGCCACTGCCATTGCCATTGGCTGTGGCAGTGGCACTGACAGTGCCGGGGCCTTGCCTTAGCTGTGGCTGCTTTTGCAGCATTGGCTGCACCACTCGCGACTGTTGCTTGGGCGAATATGATTGAAGATTGACTTTGCGTCGCTCCTGATGCCGCAGGGCGCGACTGCTGTTGCTGCTGTTATCCTGAAATGCGGGCGGAGGCGAAAGAATAGGCGTTATGGGTGGCGGTGATTCCAGATCGTTGTTGACAGGCAGAAAGCCGGGGCGCTCGTTGAGTATGCTGGCCAATTGGGGATCCATGATTCGATAGCCTGGACGCAGCGCTGGGTCCCTTGATGAGATGCCACCTAGACGCGCCTCATTGCGCTGAATCAGCTCCTCGACCTTGGAGCCCACAAACTTGGGCTCTCGCTCACAGCGGCTTGACGACTGATGGACGAACGACCTGGCCAGTTCCGGCCGCTGGGCATGATCCACTTGTATAACACGTATGGAGCTGCGACCATGTGGCTTGTCCATGATACCAGAGTCGCCATTGTAGTGACTGTAATTGACGCGCCGGCTTTTGGTATCATTGTTGGAGTTCAGCTTTTTGCTAACTTGCACCCAGCCCGATTTGTTCAGGAAGATCTCCTCCTTGTTGCCGGCACGCGAGTGGGACTTTCGCATGGCATCGGGTATGCCGTAGAAGGTTTCACCAAACAGATACGTGGGTACGCCAGCATCTGTGGATGCTGTAGCAGCATTGCCAGCGCCACCATTACCACCCATGTGGCAGAGCATTCTACGCGCCTCCAGCTTCTCGTTAAAGTTTCGCGTGGATGCCTCAAGACTCTCACGTCGCTTGGCGACGTACTGCTGGAATGCGGAGAGATTCTGCTGCAGCTGCTTTTCCTGCGGCAACTTCGGCAGCTCAGCATTTAGCGAATCCTGAACTGAATCCCTTTGCGACTTTTTGCTTCGGTGCGGAGATTTTTCTGCCGCATCTCCATATTCCTGTTTCTCCGAACGCGCCTGCGGCTGCAGCTGCTGCTGCTGTTGCTGCTGCTGCTGTTGATGATGCTTGGAGGGACTGGTGCGTAAGCGTGTGCGTCTTCGCTTGGGCGGTAGAGCGGGTAATGGCAAGCTGCTCAGATCGAGCTTGTCGTGCGTCGACGAGGATAGTTCGTCGTTCTGGGACTCACGCGTAACTGAGTCACGCGTCAGGTGACTATCGTCCGAAAATGCCTCGCTGGAGTCGAGGCACGTCAGGTCCTGGCAAGTGATTACTGTTTCTGTAGGCACTGTAGGATCTCTGAAAAGTCAGATCAAATAATCAAGTCAATCAATTCAGCTAGATTGGACACACTTTATTCAAGTTTAAGCAAAGCTTACGTAGGCCCTATATGAAAACTATATCAAACTTACAAAACGTGTTTGCTTCGAATGTTAACACCCACGCAGACCTATAAAATGTGGCTTGCCTTAGATTATATACGCAAGAAGCTCTTCACTCAAGAAAAGCACAAAAAAACAGAAAATCTCTGAACATATGGCATTATGTATTTTGAGTTGAAGTAAATACTTTTCCATATAAGGAAAGCAGTTTGTATACCCTGTAATCAGCGCAATCAAAGGGTATGATGAAGCTGTATGTTGCATATATATTTCTACAAATATCGCTCAAGTAACTTAAGAAAACATAAATTAAATGAATGAGCTGCTTACAAAATATCTTCTAGCTGTGCTCTCTCTCCCTGTCCCTCTCTCTCTCTAGCTGCTTCAACTTGTTTCTCTTTTCGCCTTAAGTGGGTTTGAGTTTGTCTGTAGCCATGGTAAAAATTCTTTGAGTTTCTAGTTTCCAAATATAGTATTGATGTTTTACCACATTTCATCTTGTATCAAAATGATATACATACATATATAAGCATACGTATGTATTTATGTATATAAATACAAATATATTTAAGAAACGATTGTGAAATCTTTATGAATCAAATAAGTTGCGTAATTAATGCATCTGTCAGCGATGCCTGTCTGAATGCATTCCTAGCACGATTATACGCTGAACCCATTTAAATTTTTAATTTCGGGTATATTTGTTTTGTTAAAGTGCATGAAACAGAGACTAGACTAGAGACTAGAGACTAGAGACTAGAGACTAGAGACTAGAGACTAGAGACTAGAGACTAGAGGCTAGAGACTAGAGACTAGAGACTAGAGACTAAGGACTAGAGACTAAGGACTAGAGACTAGAGACTAGAGACTAAAGACTAGAGACTAGAGACTAGAGACTACAGTCTAGATAATAGATAATAGATACTAGATACTAGATACTAGATACTAGATACTAGATACTAGATACTAGATACTAGATACTAGATACTAGATACTAGATACTAGATAGTAGATACTAGATACTAGATACCAGATACTAGATACTAGATACTAGATACTAGATACTAGATACTAGATACTAGATACTAGATACTAGATACTTGATGTTTAAAGCTAAAATCACAAAAATTCTTAGTTATTTTATCACAAAATAAATCCAACTTCTAATTCAAATACAAATGAATATATTATTAAAAAGAATTTTAATTTCTTTCCATGTTTCATATATTGAATGAAATAATAAGTTCCATTTGCTGAAAGTTTCATTGCAATCACTTAAGTAATGCAGCAGTTATTAAAGCAAACGTTTGGTCAACTGAAGAAGCCACGTGGCAATTAGCGCCCAGCTTAAGCATTTTCGCTCTGCATGCGCACAAATACATGCAAATGCGTGCACGCTCTTTCGAGTTCTATAAATAGAATAGCAATTGTGATTGAATTGTCGTGAATTGTCAGCTGCTACTTAAGCTGTACATGTGTCGCCATCGGAACAAGTGTTGAAGTGGCGCTGGGATATGAGACATTGCCTGCAAAATGTATGAAGTCGTGAGAAGGACTCAGGTTCGAATCGCATCGTGTGAAAGACAATTATTTCTATTTTACAATTGTACGTTGCTATGCAACAGATATTGGCAAGAGAGGAACGACACTTCTTCGCATCTTTTTATTTTAAGAAAAACTTTATATATATAAAAATCAAAAAAGTTCAGCTTCCATTAAGTACAAATTTGGAGCGAAGACCATATGCGTCTTGTGTTTGTGTTCGGCATTACGAACAAATATGCACATAACTGTATATATGTATATGAGCCGTGTCTTTCGTAACTTGTAATGTGTGTGCGTCTGATGGATATGGATGGGCAACAGCAAAACAACAATCAATTTCACTAGAACAACAAAAATACACATAGAATTCGATCTATCATTTTCATGTGCCATGTTTCCCAGCATCTGCTATTATCTTCGGTCATGTGTTGAATGTCAGCGCGTTTGCTGCCGCCTAACTTTTGGGCGAATGTATTGAAGGTAAGAATATGATTTTAGTAAATTAAATATGTATATTTAATTTGTCTTAATAATTAATAAGAAAAATAACAAAAATACATAATGAAAATCGAAATTAGTGGATTTTCATTTAACTTATACAACTTTTGCTGCAGTATCTAAAGACTCTGCATGCATTAAATAAGATCCAAATACACTTTGCGTATTGACAAATTGGCCTCCTATGGTCATTGCCCGTTGGGTTCAATGAGCAATTGGATAATTGCTCGAATATATCAATTAATAGGCGCATGGCTAAGAAATTGCGAATTGTTGCTTCCTTATGCGACCGTATATTATGTAGTTTACTTAAAGTTTTTTTAGCGAACTGTAAGAAAGTGAAATTTGCACTTAATAAACGGGAAATGCCATGGTACACACATCCGTCTGAGCAACGAGAGACACGTTTGACACCCTGTAACTGCAGCAAGTCGTTACGAAGGGTATATTGAGTGGCTTAGCTGAGATAGATCAATGCGTGATGTTATCAAACTTTCATCAATATAATTGAAAGTGATGCACAACAATGCAATTCCTTTTTCGTTACTGCGCTTAGTCTTTGAATTCTCTATTATATATATACTATATATAGTAGTTGTAAAATCCGTCAGGAATGTTGCATCCACATAGGCAACGCATAATAATGCAACCTATAAAACTGGTTTCGCCTGTCAGCGCATGGCTTCGTGCTGCGTGCTTCGTGCTTCGTGGGGCTATTGTATGTTGAGCATGGGTAAATCGATTGCACTTGCCATCCAATTTTTACTTGCACTTTCGAGTCGCTAATGTTGCAACCCCCCAACCCCCTGCCCCACGTCTTGCGAGTAAATTTGCTATTTCTGCAAATGCAATCGCAAAACTGGCCTAACGATCCGTGGCGGCTGCCAATAGTCGAAAGCCAATGACCAAGAGCAAATTATGTGGCGGTCATAGAAAACAAGTTTTACCGCTTCAATAAAAATGTTGCACGAAAATATAGCGAAGCAATTCCGCGTCGACTAACAGTTAGTCAATATTTCATCAAGCGATGTACTTAGTTTATCTATATTTACACTGGCCTAGTCAATATTCTTCACTTAATTCACAAAAATCCGTTTATTTCTGAGCGAGGTTCGCCACTTGACTGACAGCAATGGCCTCCATGCGGCGCGTGGGTGTTTCAGCCGAAACTCTTCATAATTGATGAACCCTTTCAACGGAATATCTTCTCACTTCAGCCAAAGCAAGTCAAGTACGCCCATCATCCACATTTCGTATTAACCAAGTTGAGCGTTTGCCCTATGAAATTTACATAATCAACATAAAGTGATTTAAGCGTTGTCAAGCAGCTATTGGACTAACTTTTCAAATGGCTCTTACTTGCAGGATGCAAAGGCTTCAGTCGAAACTGCTAAGCAGACTGTTGAGCACTATGTGGTATTTTCTTAAACAAGTCATATATAGATACCTAGGCATATGAAGAGTCCCTTACGGTATCTCCAAACACAGCAAGAGACACATGCAAAAGTAGAGGAGAAAATACAACTGATGTATGTATGTATGTATGTATGCATGTATGTATGTATGTATGTATGTATGTATGTATGTATGAATGCATGTATGTATGTATGTATGAATGCATGCATGTATGAATGTATGAATGTATGTATGTATGAATGAATGTATGAATGTATGTATGTATGAATGTATGAATGTATGTATGTATGTATGAATGTATGAATGTATGTATGTATGAATGCATGAATGAATGAATGTATGAATGTATGAATGTATGAATGTATGAATGTATGAATGTATGTATGTATGTATGTATGTATGTATGTATGTATGTATGTATGTATATATGTATGTATGTATGTAAGTATGTATGTATGTATGTATGTATGTATGTATGTATGTATGAATTTAGGTATGTATGTATGTAAGTATGTATGTATGTATGTATGTATGTATGTATGTATGTATGTATGTATGCATGTATGTATGTATGTATGTATATGTATGTATGTATGTATACGTAAACTAAGACGATGACATCCTTAGACCTTCCGTTCAGGGTGATTTAACATGAAATTTCTCATTATTATTTCTCCTTATAATACTTCCATCAAATCCACATATGCATTGCCTCAAATTTATCAGTTATCCACCTTATTGTACAACAACATTCGCATGACAGTCGCCCATAAAGACTAAACAAAAAGATACAACAAACATAGCTGACCTTGCTCTTATGGACTATCCATATGGGCTTTGATAAGGCACTTTTCGAAGGCATTCAAGTTGGGCCAACTAACAGGTCATTGCGCATCAATTTGTTATTGTCAGTGGGGGAGCACAAAGTACTTTATATACGAGCAATGCTCCTTTGATTTTGAGGTCAATATATGAGGCATAAAGCGAAGCTTTGAAGAGATTGCTCTCTCCATGGCATTATTCTAGTTACAGTGCAGCAAAAAAATCCTTTTTGGGAACGTAACAAAAATTTATAAGCAATAAGAAAATAAATAAAATTAAAAAATACATACGAAATTAATACAGTTTTATTATTTCATTAATTTTGCAAAAGAGTTAGAGCTAAAAGGTCCATTAAAATCATGTGTTTGGCTGAATCAAGTCTTCGTACACTTTGCTTTCCCAGAAAGAGCACAATTTTGCATAACGACATTCAACGAATTTTACTCAAGTGGATTACTGTGAAATGCCATGAAAATATTTACCTATTGAAGAACAGCAAGCTATTGGAAATTCTTGGCAGAAATTGCTAAAATGATATAGCTCAGTCGTTGCACAGAATTCAATCTGGATGAAGGACAAAGGGAGCATGATAAATAAACCAAAATCAGCTAGAACGAAAGCTTTCTGCTCAGCTTAGTTTCAGCTATAACTTCAATTGACTTCGATTCCCTTAATATACGGCTTAAGCCACCTAAAAGTAATTATTTCTCTAACTTTAACAAAAAAATAATCAAGATTTGCGAACTTTTGGCTGCATTCTGCCAAAAGCTACACTCAATTTAATTTTAGAATATTTTTCGCCGCAAATCAAATTTGTGATATTATTTTGACGTATACTTAATATGTTAGAGCACTGATTGCTTTACCGTTATGAAATTATGATTACCATTTGTTGGCTTCATTTCAATTTTGTGGCTCTTCAGAACCAATTCAATTGCCAAGCTGCCTACAAACTCGATGGATGCTACTCTTTGATTTGTGGTCGTGTTTACTTTTCTTTTGTATTGTATTTCTGCCGAAATGCAAATAGAATACATCGAATTCCCACACACACACACACACACACACGCACGCACGCACGCACACACACATACATACACACATGCACACAAAAAAGAAGCAAAATATATATTTTCTGTTTGCTTGGCTTTGTGCGCAGGAAATATATTTTCCGCAAATTATTGATTACCACAAAAAAAAAGATATTAGAAAAGTATTTATAATATAAATGAGAGCAGAGCAGCATATGAAATGCCGTTGCTTAAAGGATAAATGTAGATGAATAGCTGTAAATCGATTTCCATTTAAGTAAAATGTAATTTAAATTGTTGAATGGAATATAGAACGAGGTTTTAGAAAATTTTTAAAAAATGATTATATTTTACTTCAACTGTAATTCGCATTCAATATGGAAAGCATTTTTTTTTCTGTTATTTTTTACTACCGTTGAATTGAGTCTTAAAATTATTTGAAATTAATTTTTTTTCTCTATTTGTTCACCCCATAATTTTTTATATTTAAAAGCGTTGTTAACTAAAATAATTTATTAAACAAAAATAAGAATAAATAAATTAAGCTATAAAAAAATCCAAAACAAAAAATGAAGTTATAAAAAAAACAAACCAAAAATGAGAATATTCAAAAAAATTATAAGCAAGAAACAAAAAAAATTGTTGTACACTTTAAAAGAATTTTAAATATTTGTTTGCAAATTTCATTTTAATTTTTTTTAATAGATATTTTTTTTAACTTTTAAATAATAATTTTTTGTTTGCCCTAAAATTTAGCAAATTTAAAGTATTTATTTACTAACTAATTTTAAAAAATTATAAAATAACATTAAAATTTTAATTATAAACATAAATTATATTAAAAAAAAGTCTAACTTATTTTTAGCAATTTATATATATATATATATATATATATATATATATATATATATATATATATTTCTTTTGCCAATTTAATTTTCCATTTTATTTTTTTTTTTGCCACTTCACAAATTGAAATGATTTACTTCTTATATGCAGTTGAGTTCGCTTGGCTGCCTCAAGGCTGCACTTGGCTTCTTATAGTGCTCTATATAATTGGAATCCCTTGACAATTCGGCTCATATTTCGCCTTTATGCATAAATCACATCTCTAGCGGCAGTTCGAGTATGAATTAATTAGCTATAAATGACAGCACGACCTGACGCGGTTAGCCAATTAATTACTGAGCCGCAGCAGCAACAACTACAGTTACTCAGATTGCAACATTAGGCAGTGTTAGCTTTACATATTCCAATCAGAACTTGAAGCTTAGCTGAATTCTAGTTGGAATGAAGTTTCTTTTTATTAACTGCCAAAAATCTAGGCCAGATTTTTACTATTAAAAATATTAACCATTACCTCTAAAAATAATTATAAATTCCACAAATAAATGCCAAGGTCAAGCAAAGGCTTTAACTATAAATAGCCCAGTTAAATAGGGAGTTATGAATAAAGCTTAACCAGTTCACTACGCAGAGACTATTAAATATAGATATAACCTTCACTTCAGACATAAAGATTTCACTTTTAAGTTATTTAAAGAGCTAATAAATATATATAAAAAAAAAATAAATAATTAGAACACTATTTAAGCTTGATTAGCTCTCGCCTACGCTGAATCGCTTCAGACGTCAAACTATTTCACCATATATATATATGTATATATATATATATCGCCTGGTCAGCAGTTGCATTTATGCTAATTATTGATCAGATTTATTATGAAAACTTTTTGCACTCAACATTTGCTGCACACACACATAGAGTCACTCACACACACACGCGCGCATACATGCTTTGCAACTTTTCATGTTTGTAAAACGTTTTCTGCTTTTATGATTTACCGTAAAGCACTCACTGATTATCGATTGTAAGCACAGGTGCAACAAATTTTTGGAGTAAAAACATTTAATGCGCACAACAAGTGTTTCAGTTGTTCAATTAGTTAGTTAAAAACTTATGTATGCATTAGGTAGTGTGTGTGCGTGTGTGTGTGTGTATCTATATTGTTACAGATTAGCGGCAGTTTAGTGTGTGTTTCACGTTAACGCGCGTACCTGTTCGTTAGCGTTGCGCTATCCGTGTGTGCCGACTTGCAACTGAGCTCCAATGTTGCGCCAACGATTGTTGAATCGCTGGCGTTGGCAACATTTGCTGCCAGCGAACTGGTCGCTTGCCCCTCCACATTTGTTGCGTCAACATTTCTGGTCGTTAGCTCGGTTATGTTCGCATCATTATTGTGTTTTGTTTTGCTCGCTGCTTCGATGTTTGTTTTGACTGTTGCTTCGCTATGCTGCCGACTCGCTGCTGGCTCGCTCTGGCAACATGTAGCGCCATCTTTTTTGTTGCCAGCCTCTGCTGATGCTGCTGATGCTTCGGCAACATGTTCGTCGTTTGTCGGCTCTTGACTCGATGCCATCGAAGCTCTGCTTGTATCCATTGTTGTGCTTGCTAATGCGTTTTCTTCATTGGCCTTGGGCTGTTGTTGTTGTTGTTGCCGTTGTTGTTGTTGTTGTTGTTGCTGTTGTTTTTGTTTATTCTTATCCACCTTCGGGGTCAGTTCCATTTCTGGTGTCAGCATCTCAGGCTTATCAACCTTTGACTGTCTTACAGACATATCCTGTAAATATGTGAAGTTAGAAAAAATGTATAGAAATTTTTGCATATATTTGTCAACTATTTGTATCTATAATTAACTCTTTTTCTTTTGAGTGAAAAGAGAGTATATAAATTTTGTGCCATGTTCGTCTGCTTGTCTGTTTGAATGCCAAGCATTTCGCAGCTATTGAGGCTAGAGACTTGGAATTTTGCATATAAGGTAAGTGTTTTATAGCCATGTTTTTTTTGAAACGTTCACTAAAGATGCAATAAAATATATTTTAATATAGAAAATCGTATATCTAGTTATTTAAGAGAGACTTGAACTTCGCCTCGAAAATTTGAAATTTATATTTTAAATATATATATTAACTGTTAATTAGCCACGCCCCTAGAGGTCGCATTTAAAAATGCTCAACACTTTATTAAATATTGATATATGGGTAAGTATATATGTAAAGCTGCGCTTACTGGGGCGTGGCAAAAGGGGCTGAAGTGTTAGCTTCTGCAGTTTTAAAATTTGAGCTTCAAAATGTTTTCGAGTCCCTTTTGGGAGTAAAAATAAATTGAGCTGTTCTGTAGGTCAATCAAATATTTGATCTACTACACTGAAAGCTTATTAAATTGAGGCAAAAATATATCTTTAAAATTTCTAGAAATCTAAAATTTCGTTAGATCACTTCTGATCATCTCTAAAGATAGATCTGACAGCGGTTGGGGCAAGAGCAATTCGAAAAAATTAATATCTTATAAAACCAAGCTCTTTTCGCAGCTGTAAGGAGTATTATGCAGTCGTACACGCCCGACTGCAGCATTGTGACTTCCTCTAAGAAACTCTAAACTAAGATTTCAATTTACTTTCAGTAACTTTCTGGCAATTCCAATGTTTCTAGGGCTATTTTAGGCTAAAGACCTACCCCATTCTGTTGATCTAGGGAAGTGGCTGACTCTGTGGCGCCTTCCATCAAGGGCAGAGTCACCAAAGCTGAGTTTTCGCTACGTGCATCGTAAAACACATCATCGTCATCCGCTTCTGGAGCAGCTTTACTTGACGCCATTGCCACATGGCTGTTGGCAACATCCTCCACTGCCGCTGCCAAGGCCACAGCTGTCTCGATTTCCTTGACCGTTCCGAGACTAGTTTTGGCTGCCGTTTGATCTAAGATTGTTGGAGTTTCGCTGGCTTCGCTCTCCAAGGAGCGCGACTTGGTGTCATCCCGTAGACCCTCCATGTTGGCCTTCAGCTCTTGCAAGTCCGAGTAGGTAGCTGGCGAGGGTGGCGGCGGCGCGGGTATGTCCTTGCGACGGGAGCTGGCCGGCGGATTGGTCCCACTTGAATGCGCCTTGCCGCTGCTGGTGCGATGATGTTTCTTGCCCGACGTTGCAGATGCCACAATTGCCTCGCTGGGGGCTGCAGGTGCACTGCGATCACGTCGCTCCCGTGGCTCGGTTTCCTTGTGCTTCGCCCTCTGCTTGTTGCTTTTCGGCTCTTCCTGCGACGTTCCCAGACTTTGCCACTTGGGCACGGCGCCAGTGGAGGAAGCGACGAGTCGATCCAGTGAGGGATATTCCCGCCTTTCGGTTGGCTGCGGCTTACGACTACTTGACGCGTGGCTCGCCTTCTCCGCTGGCTGTTTCTTCGGCTGATTTTGCAAACTGGTCCTTGGCGCAGGCGTTGGCTTGGCGGCGTTGCTGCCACGTCCTTTGCTGAGCGGCAATGTGGTTACGATTGGCCCCGCCTCCAGTGGCTCGGAGGCAGTATTCGTGGGACTCAGTCGTGGATTGTTGTTGCCGCTGTTGCGGTGCCCGCGACGCGTCGACTCCAAGCTGTTATTGCGCTGCATTTCCGACTGATAGATGCTGCGCTTGACATCGTTCACATGCTTGAAGAAGTCCATGGCGTACTTGTTCTGCTTGAGATCCAGCGGCGGCGGCGGCGGCTGCTCCGTTGCCTGCTTGTAGTTACTTGGCTCCGTTGGTCCACTCGATGGCAATGTGCCGGCGGCCGTTTTGCGCGGTATGCCACTGCTGCCGCCGCGCGCCATCGAGCCATAAATATCGTCGAAATCGGAGCTGAAGTAGCTCGACGAGCAGTCGCAGTTGCGGCACTCATAGCGACTGTTGTCCGAATTGCTGCAGCGCTCCGCCGGAGCTCTGCTCGCCTCCAAGCCAGCGCTCATAACGCCATCGAAGCTGCAGCGCCGGCAGTCATAGGCAACGCGACAGTTCTCCGTGCTGCCAAAGAGTCGACGCTGATGCGCGCTCGCATTGGACGAGAACAGCCCCGAGCGATGCGGATAGCGCGTGTAGCGCTGCGAGTTGTCGCTGCTGCGCAGCGAAAATTCGCTCAGTATCGAGGCCTTCGAGTCGCTCTTGTACATCTGAGACTCGAACTGATCGAGCAGAATCTGCGAGCCGCCAATTGGCCTGCTGGCCGCATACATCAAGGGATGCAACGGCGGCGCGCCCACGCCTTCGATGGCATAATAAATGTCACCTGTGGCCGGCGCTGCGAACACATTCGCCTCCAGACGCGCCATTGTATTATACTTGTGGTATGGCAGTGAGTCGCTAGAGGACGACGACTTCGTATTGATGCGATGCACACCGGCACCAGCAGCACCACCTCCATTCTGATAGCCCACAATATAGCCCTGCGGCAGGTGTGCGCGGCGCGGTGTCACCTGCGCCAGCAAAAGGCCTCCGCCCACAGCATAATGATTTGTTAACGGATGACTGGCTACGTTGTGTTGGTAGGACTTTTGATGTGGCTGATATTGATTAAAGCCAACATAAGCTTGTTGCTGTTGTTGTTGTTGTTGTTGTTGTTGCTGATGATGTTGTTGCTTGTGATGCTGCTGCTGCTGCTCAGTAATCGTCGCAGTTGTGGCGGCTGCTGTCGCCGTTGACTTCTGAAATTGCAGTATCGGATTGTATTCACCTGTAATGGCCACAGGTGTGGTCTCAATTTTATATACGCCCGGATTATTGGGATTGTAGGACTGAAACTCGAGTATGTGCGCCGCCGGCAGCGTGCGCGCCGTACCCGCTGCCGCCTGCTTCTCGTTGCCAGTGTCCTGCTGCAGCTGTGCACTGGCACTGGCACTGGCCGTGGGCTCAGCTTCGATCAGGCAATATTTGCAATTTTCATTGCTGCACTGCTGCATGCACAGCTCGCAATCGGCAAAGCCGACGCCAGCATCTGGCAAGCTCTGCTGATGCTGATGCTGATGCTGGCTCTTGCCCTGGCTCTGGCTTTGGACCTCATCATCGGACTGCACAGCTGCGGCTGGCTTGGCTGTGCTGCCCTTGAGCTTCGAGCTGGAGGAGCTCGGCGTATCTTTAAAGAAAATCTCCTCATAAATATTCTCCTCGCTGCGCGTGTGCAACTTCTTGCTGCTGTTGCTGGCTGCATCGGGAGCGCTGCGTTGCTTGTCCAGCTTTTTGGAGCTCTTCAAGCCCTCCTTGAGCAGGTAGTAGTTAAAGCTCTTGATGCCGATTTCGCCGCGCAGCAGACGTCGGCCAATTGGCACTTTGACCGTCGCCTCTGAGTTCTGCGCTGAGCTGCGCACCGAATAGATCTCGTCCTGATCGCTCGCTCCGCGGCCCAGCTTGACGTCTGCTTCCAGATATTGCTTACGACTGTGCTCTTTGCGCGATCGCGTTTCGTTCTCGTAGCTCTGTTTGGCCTTCGCTGTGAGCTGCTGCAGCTGCAGCTGTGCGCCCTTGCGACTGTTATCGAGACTCAGATTTCGTTTCTGCTTCGAGACGCGCTTCTGGCTCACGGCTTTCTTATCGTTCTTATCGGCCAAGCTGCGCTCCAAGCTGAGCACGCGCCGCGGCAGGCTGCTCTCCTTGAAGGGCCTCGCCTGCTCGTTCTCTGAGCTGCTGGATTCAAAGTCGTAGTCGACGCTGACCACTGTGCCACTGTTGTTGTTGCTGTTGTTGTTGCTGTTGCTGCCGCCGGCCTTGATCGGCGCATTCATCGCATACTTGAGAAAGTCTTTGGTCAGCTGACTGCGCTTGCCCAAGGAGCTGCTGCTGGCCACCGACTGCGCAGCGCCTTCCGCACACAGCTTGTAATCGCCCGACGACTTGCCCGAAATGCTGCTGCGCCGCAGCGGATTGGCTAAGTGGCTAATGTCCTCGGTGTAGGCCGGATCGTCATAGATGCGATCACGCACAGCTGCTGAGCGATCCTTTGACTGACAAATGTGTGAGAATTCGCTTAGCTTGGGGCATAACAAGAATCAAAAACTTGACAATTTTTCACTTACCTTGATTTTGATTTTCTTACGACTGCGATGCGGCGTCGTAACATCCGTCAGTTTGAGTATCTTTGGTCTGATTGGGCGTTTCGTTAACTTGGCCCGATCGTTTACCATGTCCAGAAAGGCCTCCGTTGCCATTGCTATTGGTTAATTACTAAATTGGTTCTATGGACACTATTTGAGAGGTTTTATGGAAGTTGCACTTAGGCTAAGGCAAACTGTACAGAGTGACCCAGCAAGAGTGATGCTATTTGTAATTATTATAGTTAAGCAGTTGCTTAAGTTATAGACAAAATTCTATAGTGAAAATATGGTAAAATATTTGCCATTTAATTATTTAATGCCTTTTGTTTACTAAATGTGGGAAAGTTATAAATTAAAAGTCAAATTACTGAGCTACCAACTCACTTGTTTATACATAACATTACAAGAGCTGCACTGCTGGCGGCTGTATAGCAAAAATATGAATAAAATTTATTTTTATAAATAATGGCATACATGTGGCTTTTAAAGCAAATTATAAATAATGTTTTATATTAAATAATTTTTTTTTTATTGCAATTTCTTGTGCTATCACTCTTAGTTGGTCCCGCTATATTTTCTTATCATTTCAAACACTTTAACAACATTAAGTGGTTATATATGAGCTAATATAGTTTTTGTGTATAACATAATTATTTGTATTGTTTTTATAATTGTATATATATTTATGCTGTATTATGACTGCTGTATTATGACTGCTGCCCTTTGCAGTTTGACTTTTGTTTTGTCTGTTTTGGCGTTTGCTCTGCGCGCACATTGAGCCTGGTTAAGCGAATATGTTTAGGGTGTGGCTGTAGTAAAACTTATGAAGCGTATTTGACAATTTGAGTGCACTAAAATATAATTGAGAACAGAATAAAAACCTTAACAATTTTGCAGCTACTTAAATGCAATTTGTTGGCCAGCAAAAGTTGAAAATATTTTCAGCTGACAGTTTTTCTTAAGCATAAACATATGTATATAAATACGCATACTTGTGTATATATACATATATATAGATAAGCGTATTTAGTTAACTATTTGGAATGTTTCAGACAAATTTTGAGTCTACTTCTGGGCAACTGCAGCTGAGCGAAGGAAAAAACTGCTTTGGAATGCGATGGCTCTTGACGGAGGCGACTTGTCACCATATTGTGCACTATTGATTAGAAGTGATTGAAGTGCGAGCATAATTTGATTATAAATTTTCACTACACGCCAAGAGTCAAATGTTTGGCAGAGAGGAAAAACTTGATAACACACACTTTTGATCAATTGAAATTGATTTAAAGTTCTGCTTGGGCCCATCGCCTGTGCATATCAATTTTGATGTACTTATTTACTATTCTTTTTTTTTAACACACTCACACACACACTCGCACGCTTTTACTATGTAACATCTACTCAGCAGCGCCTAATGGCATTCATCTTCGAGTTACGAACCGAAAGGCTACGGCGCGACACACGAACGCAGCGTACGTTCCGTGCAAACTGAATAACATTTACTTTGCGGCGTTACCAAAAGCTTTTTGCAAAAAAAAAAAACCTCATATATATATACATATGTACGTATATCGAAAACGGAATTTGAAAACACACTTTTCAGCACCTATTTAGCAAACTGATGAAAAAGCTCCCAAATGTCAGTTGCGTGCAGCAGATGTGCCAGATTCGGCAAAAGTCGCCCATTTCCTTGACGCTGGCTTAGTGAAAGTGAGAGGCATCTCTCTCTCTCTCTCTATATATATAAATATATCCTTGTCTTGAGTGGCGCATGCGTTAGAAATTCTGAGTTCCGCTTTTGTTGCCATTTGCAGCGTGTTGTGAATGCACTAGCTGCAGCACAGCATCCCTTGGCTAGGACTTTCCATATTGAAATATGCTTGGAATATTGTCCCAAAATCCATTTGAATATGTTGCCATAGTTACTTGGCCTCTACTCTAAGTAGTCGTAGTAAATCGGGCTTGCTTGAGCCAAAACATTGAGATTTCTCTTAAATTGCCCATGGCCTGTTCTCCTGTTCAGAGTTGCGGCGCATGCCATTTGCCAGACATTGTGAATATTGTGAATTGTTGATTGTTGAAATTGTTTTCGGTTTGTTTTAGCACGTGTTTCACTACACACAAACGGCGTACGCTGCATAATTGTAGCCGGCAACATGTTGCTGAGTTTGCGTGGGCGAAGCGAGACCCACGTGTGCGTGCTGCATGTGTGTGTGTGTGTGTAGAGTTGTTATTCCTTTTGTATATGATTATCCATAAGGATACATATACATATATATATTCATAAATATATTTCATTTAAACATCTTTGATATTCTATTTAACATAGGCTCAGGCCATGGCTGGCTTATTGTTCCTTTGAAGCCAGCATTGGGTTGTCATGCTCGTGCACAAAGTGAAGAGAGTATATTGGCTTGATGATATGTCAATCTTGTTTATAGACAGCTTGCCAGACTGTTGCTGTAGCAGCTAACAAGATGAACTTTAAACTCATTTTAAACTCTTGTGTAATCTCAAATGTTAATGTTAATGTTAATGTTAATGTTAATGTTAATAGTAATGGTAATGTTAATGTTAATGTTAATGTTAATGTTACTGTTACTGTTACTGTTACTGTTACTGTTACTGTTAGTGTTACTGTTACTGTTAAAGTTAACTATGTATAGTAATATATATCATTTAGCCTTAAAGGCTGAAAAATTTGAATATATATACCAGTATATACAAAAACCATCTATATAGTACAGCTCTAGTATAGCTATCTCTGGATGCTTAAAATCTTCTACACTTGTCTAGCTAAAATTTAAATATTTCACATTTAATTATAGCTTATATACGCCTCTTGAGTTCGTCGCATATCAGCAATACTATATCTTTCTCAGTCTTAGAGCTAGCCTTACCAATTTGTGCAGCTCTATCACTTTTGACTGCCTCTAAACGATTGACTTCCTGCGTAGTAGACCTTAAACTATTAACTGAATACCCACAGATATACTTGAAACGTAAACGAGTATTGCGCAGTCAGTAGCAGGCGACTACAGCGCTTTCACTTGTTATTCCTTGTACTGCATATTGGATGATGCCAAATGGGTAAACTTTTTCAATTAAAAACTTTAAATATTTTCACGTTTTTGAGACAAATTTATTCTAATTGTAGAACGTTGACCAATATGTAAACAGCAAGACTTGTGTACCTGTAAGAATATATATATACATCATGTGTACATCATATACATCATATATATACAATATATATACATCATATATGCAATATATATACATCACATGTATACAATATTTACACATCATATATAAATCAAATGTACATCATGTGTACAACATATATACATCATATACATCATGTATACATCACATATATACAATAGATATACATCATATATGCAACATATATACGTCACATGTATACAATATTTACACATCATATATAAATCAAATGTACATCATGTGTACATCATATATACATCATATACATCATGTATACATCACATATATATAATATATATACATCATATATGCAAAATACATCACATGTATACAATATATATACATCATATATAAATCAAATGTACATCAAATATACATATACATCACTTATGCATCATGTATGTACAATATATATACACCCTTTAAACATTATACATCACATAAATACATCATACATCATATACGTACATCATTCAAATGCTCTCACTGAGTTTTGAGTCACTTTCAAGTCAAATACAGAAATGTCTGGATGCATCGACAAATATATCAATGGAAGGTCTGGGAAACAAGGAATTATATAGAAGAAGTTCACATGGACATTTTCTTATAGTTCTAATGCTAACAATTTGGCTGCCGCTCATCTTGTATACCTTGAAACGGCAGTTTGACAACTTGAAGCGGAGACGTCATATTGCCAACATTAAGAAACTGCAGCTGGAAGTAAGGCGAAAACTGAAACGGGAACAGCTGACATTCAACGTGACTCGAAGTATTTTGCATGCCAGCATGACGCAGTGCGGGGCCAGCAGGGTTAGGAAAATAGACCAGCTGACGGATCTGCAAAGTCTGCATCACGACATCAACGAGCAGTTGGAGAAACTTGAGATTGCGCTAAATTGTTAACGAGATTTCCAACTAAATTAACCAAGATCAATAGTCAGAAAATTAATGGTTCTTCGATTTAAGAGTAAATAAATATTATATACACATTATTTTTAGCGTAATTTGATAAATCACAACAGTGCAAAGAGAACGTAAATGTCTAAACCTATAAGGCTGCAACAATGTACCTTTAGGACTTCATGAAACCGCGGGACCAGTTCTTAACCATTGGCTTTGGCTTACTTAACTTTTCAAACTCATCCGCCTGCATCTGTTCAGAAAGCTTTCGCTGATTGTCACGAAATTTGGCAATGGGCTCTTCAAATTGATTATAATATTGTAGCACCTCACGCACATCGTCTACTTCGCTGCTTCCCAGAACGCTCAGGAACGAGATAAGATCAAACAGAGTTGTGTCGTCGTCGTTGCCGGACCAACGGGGTATCGAAAACGTATTCCCCGGATGCATTTTGGTCGAGTTCTTGTCCCAATCAACGACTACCACACGCTTCAGATCGCGGTTTAGATTATCAAGATTCTTCACATGGTGACCACCTACAAAGTGAGTTGAATCGCGCACAAGACGGTACATGATATATCCGCTGGGATCAAGAGCGTCGAGCAGAGGAAAAACGGTCATTCCCTGCTCAGCCGTATAAACAACGATTTCAAAATACTTGGAACATTCTCTTAAGAAAACGTCGACGCCAGGGCGTTTTTTAAATCGCCATCCTGTTTGGTAGGTCCAATCCGGATGGATTAGCAAGTCCTTAACCTCAAGTACCAGTGTGTAGGGCGGCTGAATGTACGGTGCCTGTAACGGATCGGGCAGTAATTTTTGACTTGAGGGCTCCTGAATGAACCTTTGAAAATGGTTCATCGACTTGAAAGTGCGTGCCATGTATTGTTGTACCAATGGCATTGAACTGAACTCATCTGTCACTTCGTTACCTTGTTCATCCAGCGACGGCTTGCCAAAGAAGTAAATTGCCCAAAATGAAAATATCACGCCTCCTACTCCAAAGACCCCAAATCCTATTTTCATACGCTTCCAGGCCCGCTCCATTTCTCTAAGTTCCTCCTCTTCCTCCCGCTTACGCCTATCGCGACTTGCCTCATCATCCAACTCCATGGATGTTTGTGGAAACAACTTGGACAATATCTGCGTTGATGTTTTTTCGCACGTGGAATAGCGTCGATGGATCAAATGCACCAGGTGTGGTGGCTCCAAACAATAGGAATATATATTACTATGATGCGGAGTCGTTCGTGTTTCTTTACACTTAGTACCCTTCTGTGTGTGTAGCTTTACACTGCTAATCATCGTATGCCATAAGCCTGAAGTTAGCGCCCGAGAAGTATTAATGAGCTTGCGGCCGAAGCGTGAGCCTCCGTACAGCATTCGCCCTAATGCGATTGGAGTCATTTGCAAATTGTAACGTATGTCTGCAGATTCAAATAAATGAATTATTTTGATTTTCCAATTTACGAAATGGCCACTGAAAAATTTGACATTTTTGTTTAAATCAGCCGAGTAATTTTTTTTTAATTTGTTATTTTTGAATGGTCACTAACCGATGACAAATAAAGTACGCATGCTGTTTTAAAAATTGTAAATATCAAAATTATTATATATTATATATAAAATAGAAAATAAAAAATAAATATTATTTTAAATGTTGCGCGCGCTTAAAACTGACCAAGACAAATGCCAGTGCTGCCAGCTCTTCACTTTCTTTTGCTAAGTGCAACCAGATCGTCAAATTTTAATGGCACTTTTGTTTAATAGTATTGCGAGGAGAAGAATGGAGACAAGAAGACAACAAAAGAAATACAAACGATGCCACCTCTTCATTTTTATAAGCGCTACCAGATCGTCACATTATAATGACACTGTTAGGTGAAAATATCGAAATAAGAAGAAGAAAGCTTTTAGAAAAAACAATACAACAAAGGACACATAATTTTGCAAATTTATAATAAAATTGCACAAAAAAAATATTGTTGAGTCTATATTTGTAATTGTTAAATGTTCACTTAAAGTACCCACAGTACAAAAGCTCAAAGCAACGAAGCACAACAAAAGTTAAAAAGGCCCCAAATTAAAATTGGGTTTCTTTTTTACCGGTTTCGTGTTGAAAATAAAGTAAACTTTATATGTCGCCACCTCGACACAGTGGCTTTGGAGGCGGTGGAGGTGGCGGTGGCGGCGGTGGTGGAGGTGGTGGAGGTGGTAATGTATAATATTTGATAATAAATAAAAATAAAAGACTTGCATTCATCAAATAATTTAAACAAATATTACAGGACGATCGGGCTTTGGTGGATATGGAGGTGGTATGTACGAATTATCTATAAGCTTTAACATTTATATAAATTTAACTATCTTAAAATGAATAATTCCAGTACGTTCTGGTCGCATAGAGAACCGTTCACGTCGTAGTGGCGGCATGAACCGAGCTTCTGGTGCTGCGAATGATGATTTTGGCAGTAAGAAATTAAACGGTTTTTCATATATTTACCATAATAATAATCAATTTTCGGCTAGGCTTGCACATGATCAACTGGTCCGAGATGCGATTGCAGCCATTTCAGAAGAACTTCTACCAGGAACATCCGAAAACTCGTAATCGCTCGCCAGAGGAAGTCGCTGGCTATCGCAGCCAGCATCAAATCACTGTGCGTGGCATGGCGCCCAACCCCATTCAGTGCTTCGATGAAACATGCTTTCCAGACTACTGCATGAATGAAATACGTCGTCAGCGGTACACAGAGCCAACACCAATTCAGGCCCAATCGTGGCCAATTGTTATGTCGGGCAATAACCTAGTCGGCATTGCGAAAACAGGATCGGGCAAAACACTTGCCTTCATACTGCCCGCCATAGTGCACATCAATGGCCAGCCGCCATTGAAGCGCGGTGACGGCCCCATAGCGCTGGTCGTGGCGCCCACCCGCGAACTAGCCCAGCAAATTCAAACGGTGGCCAATGATTTTGGGTCCAGCTCGTTTGTGCGGAATACATGTATTTTCGGTGGGACACCGCGTTCCAAACAGGCAAACGACCTACAAAATGGTGTTGAGATTGTGATTGCGACGCCCGGTCGCTTGCTGGATTTCCTACAGAGCGGCACAACGAATCTGCGGCGATGCACATATCTGGTACTGGACGAGGCTGATCGGATGTTGGACATGGGCTTTGAGCCGCAGATACGAAAAATTCTAGGACAAATTAGACCAGACCGTCAAATACTAATGTGGAGCGCGACGTGGCCAAAAGAAGTGCGTCAATTAGCCGAGGACTTTCTCGGCAACTACATACAGGTAATTGGAACTCCATGCACTCTTCGAGCATAATATATAATAAGTCGATATTTCACATAAAACAGATAAATATCGGCTCCTTGGAGCTGTCAGCCAATCATAACATACGACAATATGTTGAAGTCTGCGCTGAACACGAGAAAGGAGCCAAATTGAAGGACCTGCTGTCACACATTTACGACCAGTCCGGCATGCCAGGGAAAATTATCATATTTGTAGCCACTAAGAAGAAGGTGGACGAGCTGGCGCGGTTTATCAACGCTTTTGGCGTTGGCGTCGGCTCCATACATGGCGACAAATCCCAAATGGATCGTGACAATGTTTTGAATGACTTTCGGAGCGGCCGCGCCAACATTTTGGTGGCCACCGATGTGGCGGCACGCGGCCTCGACGTGGACGGCATTAAGTATGTCATTAATTTTGATTTTCCACAATCATCGGAGGACTATATACATCGCATTGGTCGCACTGGGCGAAAGCATTCCACAGGCACATCCTACGCATTTTTCACACGAAAAAATGCGAAGTGTGCACGCGCCTTGATAGAGATCCTGCGGGAGGCCAATCAGAATATAAATCCAGAATTGGAGCATATAGCCCGCGATTCGGGTGGCGGCAGTGGACGCAGCCGTGGAAATCGCGGACCCACCAGAAACTACAACGGCGGCAACAATTCATTCAGTGGATTCAATGCGACGAATGCGAATGGTGGCAGCGGTTCAACAGGAAGATCCAATAATTTCAGCAGCTTCCGTGGCAGCTATAATGCGTTTAGCGAAGGTGGCAATCACTTTAGCTCCACGAGCCACGCGACAAATGCCAACTTCAATGTCAGCCAGGGCCAGGGCCAAGGCCAAAGAAATTTTGGCGCTGGCTCCGGCTTTTCATACGGCAACAGATTTTCGAATTCGGCGCGCCATTGAAAAAGAATTGTTGAGCTTATCACTAAGTTATTATGAAATTGTTTCAACTTCCACTCATCTCAGCTCATCTCATGACCCATTTCGTATTTATTGTCACTAAATATTATGACATGAAGATTTCAATCCTCAAGGCATATGCAAATGATATACAAATAAAAAAGTTTTTTTTATAAATGTCCAAAATGCAGCGAAGAAAATAATTTAAAAAAACAGTTTACAAAAATATTTATATTACTATTGGGCAGCGTTATTATAAATCAACAAATTGAAATCTTAACGCTATTAATGTTTTCCGTGTATGTTGCTAAATACTATGTTGATTTAGATCTGTGCCCCAACGCCTCAAGCCGGAGGCGATGTCTGACGTGTGCCTGGAATTGATATCAAGTTAGGCGTTAGTTAGTTGTTGGCCAAGTGGTGTTAGAGCCAAGTTACCTTTCTCCTTGTGCTTGCGCACTTTGCTTGAGCGACCGCCGCTGGCTGCACCTGGATTGCACTTCTTATTGATTGTGCGCACAAGATCGCAGCTCTGATGGCTGCCGTCCTCCGAAACCTTGACCTTATCTTCCCGTGTCATTTGCCCAGCTTTGCACTCCGACCAGGTGCCCTTATCATATCGGCAGGCTAAAGTGAAGATGAATGTGTATAGTTGTAATTAATGTGTGGGCTAAACGAGGGCCGTTCAAAAAGTATTGCAACTTTTGAATCGAGCGGCAGATGACCAAAATTCTGATAATTCTTGGGTTAACATAAACTTTGAAATACTTTTATATAGTTTAATTTGTACTTACATTTCTTGCACTTTTTGTGTATGGACCGAGTGGGCTGGCAGTTGGGCATGACCTTCTTCAGAGTTATCGTACGCGTGCGCATGTTGGTCTTGGCATCGCATTCCGACCAAGCACTTTTGGCATAATCACAGGATTGTCCTGAAGATTGATTATGAAATTTATAAATATATTTAATTTATTCTTCTAATCGATTATTTTATATTTTTTTTTTTATTTCCTTTTTATGTATATGAAACAATCAACATTTAATAAGAATTCCTCCAGCAAATACTTAGAATCTGCGATTAGAACGTGACCAAGCAAGAGTGATACTATTTGCGATTCCTATATTACGGCAGTTGTTTAAGTTATCGATAACATGTTGCTGCTAAAATATAAAGTACAATTTGCCATTTGATCAGGAATCATTTTAGGCCTATCATATATATGCAAATAAAAAAACTTTACCCAAATTCAAACTCAGCTGTCAGCAATGCTGGTAGTTGTGAGGCAGAGTTAGCCATTCCAGATACCTCATTTAAAGCTATTTGAATCAAGTGATACATTCTATATAATGGCATGACTGAAGCTTCTATTTAAAGCTGCAAATAGTGTAATATCTGAAACCATTAACGTTTTAATGCAATTTCTTTTGCTATTACTCCTATTTGGTCAGCTCTTATATAAATTATTTTTAATATCAAATACTTAATTTTTATAGCTCTATTAGCAGACCGTTATTTTAATAATCTTTGGCTATAAGCTCTTATGTGAAAGCATTGAATTTACCATTTTCTGATGTCTTTGCTTTGGCTCCTGATCTCTTGTTCGCACGATGGTGATGATGCTGCTGATGCTCCTCGGTCTGTGGCTTTGGTCGCTGCTCCTTGCCGCCGGTTGCAGGTGACTTCTTTGAGCCCGGCTTGCGAGCACCGGCTGCATCAGCGCGTTGCATCTGGTTATTTGCCTTGTTTGATTTTCTGTTGTTCTTCACACGTTTATTACCACCCGTCACCGGAGTCGTTGCCACAGGCAGCAACTTATCAGGGTCCGCTTCACGCGCTGGCCGCACTATAACGTCGCCGGAGTAGCTTTCAAGGACCAGGCTTGCACCACTGGCGAGTCGCGCCAATGCTGCCGAATGAGTCTTACCGCCTCCACGATGACCATGGCCTTGGGTAAGCGTTGTCAGCAGCGCCAACATGGCCAACAGGCAATGGACAATCGCCCGTAAAGTTACGCGAGTTGAAATCAACATTTCAGACTTGCTGAAAATACGAGACGATACGAACTTGAATATATATATATATATATAAATATATATATATATATATATATATATGTATATATATATATATATATATATAAATATATTATATATATTATATATATATGGTATATAGATATACCAAAAGGTAGCAAAAATTATTAAAGCAATTTTTGTTTTATTTTAATTAGCTTTGGAGCTTTGTGTGACCTGTGACCTTATTTATAAACTACTATGCTTATACCTCAGGTGCTTATACCAGGTAGTAGGCAGAAGGCATGATTAATACCATAAAGAATATATATAATCTTGATCAGCAGAAATAGCCAAGTCGATTTGGCTCTGTTGAACTGTTCGACTCTCTGTGCTCTATATAAATCTTGAACTCTAAGGCTCAAACTAGAAATCAAATTTTAGTAACTATAGCAATAAAATTGATATTAAAGAAATCGATAATTATTTACGTAAAATCGATCAAAATGCTAACAAGCTTCAGCTATTTAAGCGTTGCTACTTCGAATCTTGAAGAGAAAATGTTTTTTTTTTTAGTTTTCGTAGTTGTTTTTATTTAAGGCTTAGCTTTTTAGCTAAGTACACATATGAGTGTATAGCTAGAATTTCGAAAAAAAAAAAGCTGCTCGCAGTACGAGTATCTGCTAGTGGAGCACTTCCGGCTAAAGCACTCTAAATGGTTTTAAACTGATTAAAGGTAAACAATTTGTATAAGATAGAACTGAACAGAACTGAAGAGTGACTAAAGTTGCCTCAGACTTAAAGTGTATATTTGTTATATAGTCTGTGACCTGAGTTAATTACTATTTTGTGTTTTTTCGCTATCACCTGCACGGCCACAACTTTAGCAACATCTAGAACAACGTAGCCATCAGCTTACATTTACGTAACTGGCACAGCTTCTGCTGGTAACAAAAAAGTTAATAAACAAATTTGAAGTCGAGAAAAAAACATTTGACATGGCTAGTAAAACATAGATGCTTAAACAAAAGCATAAATTAAGCACTCTCAGAATGCAACAAAAACAACAACTTGAAGCAAACAAACAGCGAGAACCGAACAAGTGCCAGAGTCTAGGGCTAGCCACAAAACATTTTTACAATTTGCACTTGCAACTAGTCAACAAAGTTGAAAACTTTGGCTTAACCCGAAAACAACTTTGAAATGAGGCAGCGTGAGAGAGAGAGACAGAAGAGAGTGGCAGGGGAGAGGGGTGGAACGAGAGGGTAGAGCTTTAAGTAAACAAGCCCAAGTTTGTCAAGTTTCAAGTATCATTTTCATTTGAACAAGTAAAATATGAACAACTGAAATTGTTTGTCTGAAATTGAGATTATTTTTTGGGTAGCATCTGCCCTCGGAGAGCAGATCTATAAAAAACGTTCGGCCCACATCTGGACAGCATGTGCAGCGAACATGATTTCCTCTGGCTTATTTCTGTTCCAATTAAAAATACAAATTTATGATTCAATGGCGACAAAAACTACATTATTTTATCAGAATTTTGATTAAGCTAATGAACAACGTTGAACGGGAAAACATGGCAGATTTTATGATATTATTTTGCGGAATATTTCGCATAATTTATGTTAGTTCAAGGCATTATGGAATTATATACTCGGGAATTAAATACTCCTGATCAGGACTGAAAATCTGACATTTAATTTAAAAGTCTAACTAGTGCCAAAGTTGTTCAACAATTAATTTCTGCTTTGGGTCGTGGTATCTTCTAGTCAAGCACTGCCGACTAGAGCTGACTTGTTCTCTTTGCAGTTTGCAGCGCTGGCTTTACTCACGATTGCAATTCTCATATGGTTAAAGCCTAGCAGAAGCAAGCAGTAAAGTCTATTGATGATAGAACCGGAAGGAGCTGGCTCTATTGTTAACTTGGCTAGCTGCCCTTTTTTGTATGACAGCCTGAAAAGGAAAACTTTATTTGTGAATATATATTTATGCATTTGAATATATGCAGACATTCTACTCTATCTATCTATAGATATATTTGTGCCTCCTTTGAGTAGTTTGCAACCCATGCATGCCTCCAATTGGCTTTTCTATTGTTCCTTGGCTTCAATGCTTGCCCTTCCATTGTCATTTTACCTAGCCCAAGGCAGCTGCTATCCGTGTTCCATGCAAGTAAGAGAAATCAATGCAACGACAACTTTTGTAAGTAAAGCAAGAACTTTCTCAGAAGAAGGCCGTGAGCACTGCCGTTGTTTATATAACTAGATGAAAGTCTATTTTTCTATTATCTAGGCCAACGATGATCGAGATTGAGTTTCTTCTATGTTTACACTACGAATAGTAGGCGTGGCTACATAACAGGTTGCTTGGTCTAATGAGCACATGTACAGTAATCCAATTGATTTAGAGAGTTCTAGTTTTATGGCTTTAGATACAGGTATAAGCTGCAATGGATATTGGAGTTTCCTTTACAAAGATCATAAGAAGTCCTCATATGCCAAACCCTCACTTGTTGTGTAATAAAAATCTAAGCACTTTATAAGGCAAAACACGTGGAATTATTTATTCCAAAGATCAAGTCCTGAGCTTTCATTGCACAAAACCAATATACTCTTTTCACTTCATACACGAGCATAAAGTCAACTCAGCTTAATCCTTTATCTGCTTTCTCTTAACTCTAATCAACTCAACTGATAAAAATTTTTATAAATATTGTTTTCCAGTTGATACAATTTTCTATAGTTTTACTCAAGAAATTCTTGTTTTTCCTATGGCGCGCGCGCACCTTAAACAATAACACAAATAACACTGCAGAGAGAGCGAGACAGAGGATAGAGAGAGAAGGAGGGAGAGAGCGAGTTAAGCACTCGAAGGCTTCACTTTTACCTGAAGTTAATGCACTCGGTTGATTTTTCGTGAAGCTTAAGCTAAAAACACAATTAATGAAGCTATAAAAAATAATTTTTTTATTTCAAGACGCGTTGCCGCTGCCGCTGCCACTGCCGATCGACGTTGTCCAGAGCTGAGCGAGAACTGAGTGAAGCTGGCCGCGACGCGACGTGACGCGACGCTGCAACAAGCAACACTTGAAATTCGAGAGGCAACAAAATAACTCAGCTTGCCACACACACTCAATACACTGAGCGAAATAGATTGAGTATCTAATGGATTAGACAGTAACTGAGGTGACAGACGCTGTTATATCTATGGGTTTATATATGTTTATATATATACATATATATATATATAATATATATATACATTTATATGACTCTTATCTGAAATATTTGTTATTTTAGTGCAACGTCCCAGCAAGTGTCACCAAGCAGCAGCCTCTATTCATCCATATGATTGATGGAAAGTAAATGCATATTATTACCGATAAGACCAAGCGAGATAATGTATATATATACATACATATATATTTATTTATATTAATATAAATATAAACAGCTTTATTTGTGCAGCACTTAAATACAAACTTGCTAAAAAAGGCAAAAAGGAAGTTCATAATTCATTGATAAAAATTATATTTATATAAATGCTGACCCAGCTAGAGTGATACTCTTGCTAAAAGCCTTAATTCAGCACATGTTTAAGTTATTGACAAAGGCTTAATTTTGTAAGCTTCAATAAGATATGCCATTCGAGCTTATATTATTTATGGCCGGCAATACTTAAGCAAATAATTATAAAATAAAATCGAAATTTAGGCTTGCTTCTAAGTCGAGTTAAGTCTTTTGAATCTTTAATCAAGAGCTTAATGTAGATTGCTTTGAAGTGCACAATTTATATTGGAAATAGCAATTAATATTGAAGAATTCTTATAAGATCTTACGCCTAGAGCACTGATATAGCATTGATATAATATCTTAAGAGCATTGATATAATATCTTAAGCCCATTCTCTGCTATTGCAGTGTCTTTTGCTATTTCTCCTATTTGGTCACCCTATACAAAGGCCAGCCAAGAAAGTCTTAATGCACGCCGAGAGTACGCAATTGTGTAACAGCAGCCAGATCCAGATTCACAACATATTTTACTTATGTAGGTATATATATGTGTGTGTGTCTGTGTGCATGTATGCGTGTTATTACTCTCTATTCCATGAGAGATAGGAAACAAGTTTTGAGTGAGTTTTTGCTTGAGTGGGTCAGAATCAAGACAAATTCAACGTCGCCGGCAGAGTGCAATGTGGACACTGTTTTGGTGATACAAAAAAAAACTTTTCAAGTGGTAATCGAAAAAGGCAAATGGTCTGCAGCCTGGCAATGAAAAGTAAATTAAAAATAAAAAAGAAGCAAAGAAATAAATTTATAATAACGCTGATGTTGTTGATATCGTAAATTCATATAAGCAGCAAATTGAATGTCTGTATGTGCAAACGAATGTAAATGCATTATACAGTAAACATATGTGTACATGTGTGTACTGGTGCTGTTAGAAGTCACAGATTGTACGGCAATAAGGCGGCGTTATAAATACATATATACACATACACACATATAAACATATGTATGTATGTATGTATATTTACTTTATTTGCTTCTTTGTTTACTTTTCAGTTTCGTCTTTTAATACACATGCATGTATGTATATATTGCATTTGTGTGTTTGCATGCCTGCATGTATGTATATATGTATGTGTCTATCTACATACGAAGATGGTGTGTATTTGACCAGTCGCCAGAGAGGCCAGAAGGCTGCAAGTTTACAGACAGCCGACAAGATTTGTTTGTTTATGTGCAGAGTTCGCGTTTTCCCAGCAAACACCGTAAACAACTTGGATTTGGCTTTAAAATTCAGTTTACAGTATGTTGGTCTCATTCTTTTTTTTCTGTTTTTTTTTTTTTTTGGTTCTTTTTCTGCGCATGAGCATTCACCTTCTACTGCTTATGCTAAAATATCCATTTTTTATTCTCTCTCCGCCTCTCTACACTGGCGTTCTCCTTGTGAACCTGCTCTCTTTGCTGCCCTGCACTATGCTCTCACGCTCTCTTTGACTTCACTTGACTTGACGCTCTCTCTCTCTCTGCATTTGTCTTACATATTTGTTGGGAAATTTCATCTCAATTATATGTTGATGTGTTGATATGTACCTTTTTTTTGCCCGGATTTTTTCACAGGAATTTTCTTATGTCAGATTATTATGGGTGTGCGATAATTTATAACAGACTTAAGATTTGATATACATATATCTGTAATGAATGACAATAACAAAAATATGTGTATACAAATGTATGTATGTATGTATGCTAAAATTAAGTAGTCTTTCTTTCAACTTATTCACACACACTTGCACAAGTAAATATCTATGAATGTATTTATGTATGTTTGTATTTATGTGTAGTCATCAATGACTTCTGACGCCATTACGTTGTTAATGTGGGAAACGTGAACTTAATGAGCGTGTTTTACACTCATATACATGCATAAGCATACATAAATACACATATCCATTCATTCATATATACTTGTAGCTTTTACCCCAAGCAAATTCACCCAATCGTATATAAGATGACGCGCTTAAAACATACGCGACATACGAACATTTTTTGCAGAAGCACAATCAAATTTAACTGCAACTTGATACCGACCCCACAGTTCAAGCTGATATATATATAAATATATGTATACATTATGCTTTTTGATGACTATGCTGTTACTCAGTTCTTTATTCACACTTCTTCTCTTGATTTAAATGCGCACGCTGAACGTTGCCCAGTTCCATATTCCTGGCTTAGCAGTTCCAAATGTCAATGGCTTCGTATGTATATAAACACGGAAGATGTGAAATGAATGAACCATATATAGATAGGCATAAACATATATGCATGTATACTGAATTTGAAATATTAATAACGTATGTTGTGAAATGAAATAATTAATCAATTAGTTATATCTAAATATATGAAAATATCCAATTAGCGTAGAGCTTATTAACCAGACACACCTATTTTCTAGCGCCTGGCGTTGTGACGTTATGATTAAGCTAAATTTCCTATCATCCCTCGACGACCTCTTAAACAGTTCCAAGCTTTTTGTAGCCCGAAACCATTAAGAATTGAAATTGAGGGTATATCCGTTCTGTTTAAATTGTTATTATATGCAGCAGTAGACAAGCTCGACCTCATACTTTAGATGTAATCTTGATTGGAAGCAATAATCACGTCAATTCAGAGCTATTCATCTGTCTCTCTGAACCTTGAACTTGAAATCTATAAGAGCTAGATACTTTATATATAAAACTTGGATTCTTTAATTACTATATCTTGTGCTTCAGTCAGTCGATAACTTTAGCTGCTGCCATAAAATCCAACTTCACTTTTAATTATTTAAGAATTTATCTTAAGATAGAAATATATGTAAAGAGAAATATTTTTTTTGTCAGAAAATGATTTTAAGTTAAGACTTTTAATTATAATATTTATAATATTATTACGTACATATATGTGTACCAGAGTGTGTGTGAATCCATGCAGAGATACAAGCTACAATTTTGAGATAGCAGCTCAAACGCAAGTTCAGGGTATCTTCCAGTTGGGCACGCCCTAGTCTAGAGCTTTCTGACTTGCTTGGCCCAGAGCACAAACGGCATTATGTGTATAGACGGAAAACACATTTCGGTTAGGTTAGAAAAAACTCTTCTAGATTTGGTTTTTATTTAAATCTTTATGTCAAGTTTTTTATTTATAATATTTGATGTAATTTCAGTTATTATTTTTATTTTTGTTTTTTTTTTTCATTTTTGTTATTTTTGTATCCTTCATGGTATTCTTACGGTATGTATATAAATACGTATGAATGCAAATGACTATATTGTATGTATATAATTTCTGATTTACGTGTTGACTCTCCGAATAGAATGAAAATAATTTCAGTTAAACACATTGACATTAAATATTCATATAAATTGTTGTTTCCACTACATATAAGAGTGTATGTATTTCGTAACATTTACATAATTTGATGTATACGAAAACATGCCCATATGTAAACACTCTAATAGATCATACAGTTGTATGGTATGAAAAATGTTTGTTTTCTTTTCTCTTTAATTAGAACCGGACCTGATATACTTTTACAACTATTAGAATCAGTTCTAACTGATAAAATCTTTTTGTTTATGTTTTTTGGGAGAAAAAGGTTTTTGGTAAAATAACATATAAAAAATTTCTCGCTCAATAGAAATCATAAATTCCGTTGGTAGTTAAGATTCATGAACAGTACTATTAGTCATATATAAAGTTAGGGTATATAATATGTAGGTTTTGGTTTTAAAATACGCAATCGGCATTTGGAGCCATTGGCCTAGCTCATCACTCATCGATCATCGTTCGTTCATATTACTTTTGCAATACTATTGTATTACTCTTTACAATATTTACACTAAGTGTTTTTTTTTTTTGGTTTTTTTTTTTTTGTTTATGTTTTGTTTATTTAATGTTTCGCATTTTAAGTGCATGCCTAAAGGTTTTACTTATATCATTTCATATTCAAAATTCATTTTCATTCTGCTCTCCTTTTTAGTGAGATCAAATACAGAAGCTGATATTTGCAGACGAACATTTTACATCATTACATCAATTATATGTTTGAATAACGCTTTGTTAAGTATGAGGGAGGTTTTTTAATTAATGTGTTTTATGTAAAGTTATTTGTTTATGCATAACTCGGCTAATGCTTTATAAGAATTGTCAGACAATCTGCCGGATTATTAAGTGTATCCTATTATCCTCCGGTTCAGTCATATTGGTTTTTTCTTTTTCTTTTTAACTTGGATAAAACTTGAATAAACTAAATTTCTTTGATTTTTGGTTCCACATAATATTTTTAATTAATTATTCATTTGTTCAAACTCTATGTTTTTAATATAGATTTTATGTTGTTGTTTTTTTCTTTTTGTTGTAAAACAAATCTACAAATTTATTTATGTATTCAAATATAATGTTTACGGTTATGTAGGTTTATTTTTTACGGTTTTATTTAGAGTTCATATATATTTTTGATAAACGAGAGTTTCTGGGAAATAATCTTATATTTGACTTTAAAAAAATCCGTAAAATATGCTACCAGAGTTCACTTAAACACGTCCTTTTCGAGCAGCTATGGTTTATGGTAAGAAGCCAAGGAAAAATTGTTTTTTTTTATATAGAAATTGTTAAGGGAATCATAGGAAATTATATAAAAATATATATGATATCTGTTCAACTCATGACACTCTTTTTTGCCTACTTCAGCTTCGGCATAAGCGTATACTTGAACAGACCTCTTATATATAAATTTATATAAATATATATAAAAAATATTTTTAGCTAACCTTTATCCTTATTCTTGCGCTGTTCCTTGGCACTCTTGTCCTTGGACTTGCCGGGCTTGCAGTTCTTCTTGATGATGCGTGTTGACTCGCATGATGGATCACTCGTGGCCTTCAATTTATCGGCTCTGGTCATTTGGCCTGTGACACACTCAGACCAAGAACCCTTTTCATATCGACACGCTGAAAAGAAAAACAGAAATTTAAATAGTTTATAATATAAATATAAAGCAAAAGAAAGATAATTAAAAAATCAAAAAGGTTTCCCAAATCTTATTATTAATAATCATATACTAAAGCATATATCAAATTATACCCTTTTTGCACTTCTTTTGAATAGTGCGAGTTTGATCGCAAGCCGGATCGCCCTTTTTCAATGTCAAAGTTCGTGAGCGTGTATTGGTCTTGGTATCGCATTCAGTCCATGGATTTTTGCCATAGCGACATGAGAGGCCTGTAATCGAATAAATATAGTAAGCAAATATAATATTAAAAAATATTAATTAATATGTCAACTCACCATCGCTCTTTGTGCCGCGTTCGTTGCGTATTAAGACCTCGTGATCATCTTCCTCCCAAATCTCACCTTGTGTCGCCGCTGTCGGCTTGGTGAACTCGGCCACGGGCAGAGCCAGTGGCGTCTCCTGCAGCTCTGTGGTGCCACTCACTAAATTTGGCAGCAAAGTCGACCATGCCACGATCATGGCCAGCAAGAGCCCTTTGCAATTGTGACTCATTCTGCGTTTGTTGATTGCCTGAAAATTTATTATTTTTTAAGACATATTTTTAAAAATGTTTAAATGCCAATAATAAAGTCTAAAAGTTATACCATAAAACATTAAGAAATCGACAAATAAAAGATTAATTAAAAATATAAATAGAAAAAAATTAAATAAAAATATAAATAAACAAAAAGAAAAACTTAAAAAATAATATATTAAACATTATAAGTTAAAGTTAGTTATTTTTATGAAAGTAATCAAAATATAAATAATTTAAAAATAATGTGAAGCAATATAAATAATTTAAAAATAATCTAAATCAAAAACAATATCCAAAATTTAAAAAAAAAAAAACTTATAAAAAATAAAAAAAAATAAAATAAATCTAAAACATTTAATGATACATTCAAAAAAATAAATATGTTAAATAGAAAAATAAAATTACAAAATAATATAAATTTAAAAAAATATATATATATAAAAATAAGTTTATGGATTGTTTTTAAACTTCAATTTACGATTATCAATTATTTAAAATATATGCGAAGTAGAAATTAAAAATTGAAATGATAAATGTTTTTTAATATTATATATAAGTTATATAGACATGTATAAAACTAAGGAATTTGTGGTCCAGGCATATCATTTGATTGCATATAAGTAAATATAGATACATATATGTAAAATTCTTGTTCTTCTTTGTGTATAGAAGAGAAAGAAAAAATATAGAAAAAAGTCACCTGCCCACGCTCCTTAACGCTGGGCGCTCCCATGAGTTAAATTTTAATTAAATTAAAAACAAAAGAAATTCATTTTTCGCTTACCCTGTGCAAACAAAGCGTCCTCAAAAGTGCTCAACTAAGTGTGCAGTGACGCAATACGTGCTGTAGATTCAATAGACCCAGACACTGGCACCAAGAACCTCTGCAAAGGCACAAATTTTTGAGTAACGCTCGCCAAAGGCTGTGACGTTGCTTAAATGTGAAAATATGTGAAATCTTAAAGATTTTCGTTTTCGGATTTTCTTTCTTTTACGTCTTTAGTCGCCAACTGCGTAGCACAATTCATGAACTAACCGTTATACACACACAAAAAGGTGGTGGACCACCGCTCACACTAGGGCCAGTGGAATCGGTGATTGTGACTGTGGATGAAGCTGAGCACCGTTACAAGCGGGAATCACTTCGGCAGCAATTTTTCCTGAACTGCTGTCGTTGCGCGTCTCTTTAAAACTGAATGGCCAAAATATGCGAAAAGCTGCAAAAAGCCCCAGCCAGAGTATCCTGAAGGATGTTATGCTCTCATCTACGTGAAACACACACACACACACAATCTCTCTCTCTTCTATCTACTATGCTCTTGCCCGCCCTCCCTCTCGCTCTTTCTCTCTCTCTCTCGCACTGTCCCTCTCTCGCCGTTTTTATCATAATAAAGCTGCGCATGTTCCAAAAATAGACGCCTCACACAGCTGCAGTTGCTTCGCTTCCTGTTTCAAGATGTTTTGCCTTTTGTGCAGCTTTAACTAGAATTTCTCAGATAAAAATAAACTTATTCAAATATCTACTTATCATTAGCAAGAGATTAAAGCGAGATTATGGGAAAAGGCAGAAAAGACATTTAATCAACTTTGTGATATTCGTTTCGCATAGAAAACTCATCTATTCTCTATGTCTATTGTGCTGCATTTGATAAGAGCTGATTGAAAGTCTTAATTCAGCTTGCCCTTCATTTATGATTTTTTACCTATTTACTAGATATTTAATGGACTCATAGGATAAGATATCGATAGGATAACATACTGAGCTGATAAAGAACTATCTAATTATTGTATTTTGATATTTTTACTTATCATGAACTAGCATCAATATTGCCTAAACTGACAAACAGACGAACAGTTAGCAAGGCAGACATAGCATCAAACCAATATACTCTTTTCACCACCTGAACGAGTATATGAAGCAGAAAATTTAACTTAATGTGGTTCTATAAATATTTATCTCAAAAATAACTTTGCATATGATATTATTATTATTATTATTATTATTATTATTATTATTATCATTATTATTATTATTATTATTATTATAATTATTATAATTGATATTATAAGCTGCTTAAAGAATCTAGATAAATGAGTTTGAGCTGCGTCACACATGTGTACTTAATATATACATTCATTTATATACAAATTGTCTGTACCAGTCGGTAAAAACTCGCAGAGGCTATTGAGACCAACAGCCGTCATAAAATTTAATAATGCAAATGTAATTTAGTCACACGGTCAGTCCAAGCGCAGTTCGAAAAGTCCAATGAAATATTGAAGCACTCATAAGCAACGCACAAGCCACAGCTCAGAGCCAAGTACGCCCCAGTACAGCACAGCCCACCCCCTCCCTACCACCCACCACACACTTGCTGCGATTATGTTGCTTACCTGAAAGTCTGATTTACATATGTAGATTATTATGATTAAACATATATCTGCTGGATCTTTCAGTTAAAACTGCTTAAATTTCGATATACTTAAAATAGTCAAAAGAGATTTATATCGATTTTTGAAGTGATTGCCAAGCGATAATAGTGAAAATCTTTTCAGTTCAAGTCAAATTTCAAAAAGTATTTTTCTTTACTTTTTTCTAAGTTTAAAAATACCAACAAAAAAATACCAAGGAAAACTTACTTAAATTTTGTAATATACTTAATATTCACATCAGTTGAAGAACACTTTATCTGAAGTCTGAACACAATCAGCTAGAAGCTCATAGCCATACAACCGACTCTTAACGCAAACTGCTGCAACCCATTTGGCCATTTGGCCATTTAGCCACTGGTGCAACGTTGGTGTTGGCCAACGGATGCAGTCAAGCAGCAGATCACGTGCCTCGAATTCATTTGTAATTTGTAATGTCTATAAAGACAGCATGTGCGCCTCTCTCCTAATTGTGCGAGTGTAAAACTGTGCACATCAGTGCACAATTGGGTCAAAGGTCCGAAATGGACATCTCCCATTTTAAACCACTCAACTTTTTCGATTTATTCTAACATTTCTATGCTCGCTCAACAAGTATGAAAAGAGTATATTGGTTTACTTTTTCTAATGTGTTTAGGCTAAAGTCATTGGGATCAAGGCATCGAATAGAATATGAACGAGTCTTACGAAAGTTTTCTTAAGGTTAAAGGTTTCGGGTTTAAGGTTATGTTAATGCTAAAGACCTGTACTAAGTAAACATATGTCCACCCCTTTTGGGGCGTGCTCAAACTATATCTTTATCAAATATAAAGCTAGAATCCAAAACTTATGGATTTGTATCAGTGTTGAGCTTCTCTCTAGCTAAATCTATCAACTAATATAATTATTGAATCCCGTACAAGTATTTGATAGTCGTGTATGCCCGCTTGGAACGTTCGCTGAGCTCGGTAGAATCAAGCTACTACACTTGACGTGTATTCATAATAAAGATGAAATGATAAATACAATCGACAATGAACACGCAGGGCAAATCTCGTTTATCTCGTGGGAGTAATTTGAAATATTTGTTTATTGCTTACACTTGAACCTTTTTTTCTGCTTCAGCCAAATGGATTCCGGCTAATATTGCGCACATGATATGTGTATGCTGATGCTGTACGCTGACCCATATAAATCCCCGGTCGCCCCCCTCCCACCACTTGCACAACCGCAAAAACAAGTCGATATCGGTGCGCGCGTATCAGCAAATTCCAATAGTAACAAGGCAAAGGCTTTAAGCGTAGCTGCTAAGGGATGCCCTGGGATATGGAGCTCAGTTAAGGTGTAAGCGCAAATACAACTTATATAGATAACAAATAGATGAAGTGCATGGCGCTGCTGTTTATTAAGTCTGATTCGACATGGGTTTCTCTCCCTCTCTCTATCTCTCTGTACCTTTGACGTTTACAGGGTATAGCTATGCAACTACATTTATAGTGAGCTCAGTCTTGGGTTGGATTTTTGCCAATTTTTTTTTGCCTGCTCGTATGCGTGGCATTCATTTGTGCTGTGCTGCCTATGCTGCTGGCTCTGCTGTTGTTGTAGGTTATTGCTGTTGCTATTGACTTGTGCTCGCAGTAATATTTTCATATTGCCTACTGAAAGATTAAACCACAAAATATATTGCTTCTTATAGCTTGTTCATATCGGTCGCGTAGCCATTTTATTGCAGCTAAGGCTACTTATAGTAAAAAATTACATTTTAAAATGCTTTTTTATAACCTATTAGGGTAAGGGATAATATTTAGCGTGAGTTTCATATGAAAATATGTAAGGTTTTCCATATTTTCAAGTAATGAAGCACGCAAGCATTACAAATAGCAACCTACTAAGAGGTACACTGAACAACAGCTAAAAAAAAATTTAAAAAAAAAATAATATTTGAAGAGTAGTTAAAAAATCGACCTGCATATCGACCTTCATCCGCATTCTGCAAGACTCGAACTCGAGCCTGCTGCTAATGATATAACACACTGCTTAAAACCTCGTCTCAAACAGCGGCACCACCCCACACCACCTAATTCAATGCCAAATGCATAACTAAGCTGCCAGCTAGCAAATCAAATTCAATTCAATCGCTTTCGCTAGGCTATTTATAGCATGCCTATGAGGATGCACGTTTGTGCATGTATGGGTGCACATGCACAGGAAAAATGCTTAAGCTTCGCGCTAATTGCCACGTGACTTTGCCAAAAGCCCACAGAACTGCTTTAATAACTTTTGCATTACTTGAAGGATTTTGATGAAATTTTCAGCAAATGAAACTTAATATTTCATTTAATATGTGGAACATGCTAAATTTATGTAAATTCTTTTAAATACATGCTATATATGCAGCTGAACTTTTAGTTTATAGTTTGTGTGGTTAAAGTAGCTTTAATTTAACATACAAAAATACATAAAATTATGTTAACTTAACAAGAAACTAAGCACAAAATTTGGTTAATATAGCTCTAAAGGTGAGCGAGTTATGCGCAAATAATTCAAGCTCTCTATTGATTTCATGAGTTATTTTGCTGAGATATTATGTATGTAATTTGTATGTATGTATATAATATGCATGTGTTATGTCTCCATTGTTTTACATATGTGTGTATGTATGTGTGTTTGTTGAACTTTTCGCAGAGGCAAACTACATAAGGATGCCAGCAACAACGTAAGCAGGAAATGCAGCCATCTTGACGTCTGTGGGCACACAAGCAGCACACAAATACATACTTAAGTATGTTATGAGTGTCATCAAGTGATGTAAGTCGTTTTTTACATATGTATGTGTATTGGATCTACAAAAACACATCTGAGTGTCCGTTTATCCAATAACTTTAAACTTTTCAGAACTTGTTTAATACATTTCATGTCGAACTTGTGAATGAATCAGAATTGTGACGCTTATGCGATCGGCCTAGTGTCCGATTTGTCGACCCATAAAGTTCACGAACTCTGCTCGCAAATATGGTTGAGCTGCACGCAACGCTTCCGCTAAGCAACACTTCCGATTCAGCTGAAAACGGTGTTCCAGTTAGATGAGCAACGGCATCGGAATTCGTTGGGTTTTCGCCGGCAATAGCGGGATAAACAATAGCGCACTGCGATTGTGCCCAATGTTTATCATTGTGTCGGTGAGCAGCAATGGCAATAACAATAACAATGCGCCACAATCGACGCGTTGTCATGACAATCGCTAGGCCAGATGGGGGGATTGAGCTCGTCGACTACAGGCGCAGACGAGCGAGAGCGCACAGTAGCGTTTAAGCTCCCCAGTGATAATCAGTTGGATTCAGTTGTCGCTTCTTGCTACGAAGCACATGGAGTATTATCGCTAAAACTAAATGCCAAATCTATGTGCCAATAAGTAAGTTGTTTATATCACACGTCTATGATTGCCAAACGTTAAAGTCTCAGCAACTACTTAACAGAAACGCGTGACTCACTCAAAAGTGCTAAAAGTCTGAAGTATGCCTTCGTTTCGCATCTCATCCAAAATATCATTGCTACTACTGCTGCTGATCTGCGTGGCATCCATACTGTGCGTCTTCTCTCTGCCGGCTTTTGAGTATTTGAGCAATCAGTGCAAGGGCCTGGACGACTGTGATCACTTTCTGCCCATTTGTGCGGCCTACACGAACGAGCATCAGTTTTTCTACAGCCACTGCGATATGTTGCGCGAGATCTGTCTGACCGGCAAAGGTAAAGTTTGAATTGAATAAGCCAAAAAGTGACTAATATTGTATAATCTATAGATTGGAAAATGGACTTTTTGAGCCATTGCAATGTTAGCAAGCTTTAGCCATACCTCGCCGACGGACTGCTTGTTATATAGGTTCTAAAAGACTGATATTTAATAAAAGAAAATATGCAATTCATAAATATATTGCATCAAAAATCCATATTTTCCTATTTCTAATAAATGCATATAGTATAACTGTAGAGCAGTACAGCGTAAAATGAACTTTAATTAGGTTTAAGAGGTGCATAGCTTTTCGATCTGCTGTAAGTTAAGGGTACATCAAGAATCGAGAGCTTTTCAATTAGATCAAATAAAAAAAGTTTTAATAGAGGGAGAGAGAGAGATAGCAAGTGTGCTCTAGGCAAAAGTGCCCGACTAGCAGATACCTTGAATCCTGAGAAGAGCTGCTATTTCAATCACACTACCTTTTTTCATGCAAATCAAAGCTTTCAGATCTTGTAATATTCAAATTAAGCCCAAAAAATGATCTATTCTAATCCATAATTAACATAGTTGCCGTCCCCATCTGCCTGTTACATACGTTTTCACAAAACCAATAAACCCAGATTTGCCATACTCAATGTGTTCAGGGTATAACAACGAACCAAGGCTCAAGTTACTAACAATATATACACATTTGTCAATAGATCCATAAATATAAATCATTTAAATATATTTTCTGTGTCTTTCAAATTACTTTTAATTACCCAGAGCTCTAGCCTAGGCTTGACAGCAACTAAAAAGTATGCAGTAAACATATAGTTAAGCAATTGGCTTTATATATTATACTTTAACTCATTTTTGCATTTTTTTTAAATTTTGGTTTTCCTATATTTCCATCAGAGTTGACATAAAAAATGACGTTTATTCCATTCTGATAGGCCACTCCGTTGAGTTTGTAATAAATTATAAAAGCCACAAAGCTTTCATACGTGTTTTATCAGCTCCAAGCTGCAGATATAAACACGCGCACACACACCAATGCCAAGCCATAGGCTGTTGGCCCATCCTTTTTAATAATTATATATAGAAATACCCATACATACATATACATATATATACACGTGTAAGTAAATACATGTATATACATAGATATGTATTTATTGCGCGAGATTATTTGAAAGGGATGGTCAAATTAAAGCTTTATCAAGCTTTACGCTCTCGCCCGGCATTCTCTCCCTCTCTCATGTCCGTCTCTCTCTCCCTTCAACACATATGTAAATACCAGCAGCTTAACATCTCTTTATATTATAAATTAGCTTAGAAAAATGTATTATTACTTTCATTGATTTACAAGAGTTAACTATGCTTTGGGCGCTTCTTCGCTTTGCTCTGGCTGCTCGGTTACAGGTACTTGTGCAGGTGTTGAGGGCGTTGCATTCTCAGTCTCAGCCGCCAGTTTGTTAGCCAAATTGGCCAGTTTCTCACGTCGGAACTCCTTGCGCGCCTCGTCCAGCAGTACATTGTGCAATAGATTGCGATTCTGGCTGTTATCGGGAGTAAGTACGGGAAAAGGATTTCCACGCAGCTCCAGCACGGATTTTCTATAGAATATTCCGGGATAGTCACGTGGCGCCTTGAACATGCGCGTGTAGGATATGTTGGAGTTCTCGTAGCGCGGCACTAACACTTTAAATAGTTTGTGCACAAGTTGCTTTTCCAACAGCCAGTAGTCCGCCAGTTCCATGGTCGCTTTGTGTCGGTCGCCATGGCGTATAGCATTTGAGATGAGCTGTAAAGAATTTATAAGTTAGTAAAACTTAATAAATTTCTTCTAATTAATACTCACCAACTCTGCATATCCACGCGCTTCATCAGCGCGATTGTAAAACAATTCAATGCGTTCGTGTTTGACCAGCGCTGTCACGGTTTTTCGTAGCTTCAGTAGGCGGCCTTCTGGGCCATCGACGTTCTTTAAATGACGTTTGTTTGGACGCACAGCTATTCTGAGCTGTGATATTAGCTTGCTGACATCGGCTTGATTCATTTTAAAACCAAATTTTAATTCACTAAATCTGGGTTCACGTAATGATGGCCAGTCCAATCAGCTGAGAGAACAGAAGACGTTTAACATCTGATTACATGGTATTAACAGCGCACATTCGATTGTAACTAGAAACATTTTCGATACTTGGTTATATACTAAATATAAAGAATGGTGAAATGAAAGTTAGACATAAATAAAACTATTTATACGAACTTACAAAAAATCAAGCACACAATTTAACTAAACTATCTAGTTGGCACGTAAATAGCTAGCCGGTACGTAACAGAACCAAGTGAGCAGCTATCGAGAAAATCTATCGATTGCTTCGTAACGATTACCAACCAATTGAATAATTTAAGCGTAATTCCATTAGCAACATAATAATCATTGAAGTAATATTTGTCGATGATTTATTTCTCTTTTATTTATACCTTACGCTATGTGCTGCAGAATGCCTTGACGTACCAGCGGTTCCACCTGTGCACGGGGCAAGTAATGCTGACTGTTTTTCCTTAAATGTACCACTTCGCCATCGTCGAGTTCAAATTTGCCATAATTCTCAACGCAACGCACCTCGATATATAGAGATTTTGGTGGTCGTAAGTTTCCAGTTAAGTCAATGCCCTGTCCATCACCAACGGAACGCATATATGCGGCCAGAGATTTAGAATAATTGTTGAAAAACTGCACTTCTGGCTCACAAAGTGCCGGTTTTATATCACTAGGTATAATAGGTCCGAACTCCCAACGCATGGCTTTGATACGCTGCATTCGCTCATAAAGGTAAGCTAGCAGGCATCGTTTATTTCGCTGTAGTGCAGCATGCCTGTAGTTAAGCAGGGGCCACAAACTCCGATCTCCCGAACTGTTGTAATTAGATGCCTGGGCCACATTCTCCTCAAAGATAGCCTTAATCTCCTCAAGTACCTGTCGTACACCGTCATCGTCGAATCCTGGTATAGTCTGCGACGATCGCTGAAGATCCTTTAACAAATCAAAGGCAATATCGCCAAACATTTTATTTGAACGGCTCATTTTTGTTGATTAGGTACAATACATAAAATTTCGCGCTTTATTATAATCAACACTAATAGGGATGGAACTCATCGCAAAATTTTCATATATGATCTGGTCATACAATTTTATAACTTGAAAGTGGATTAACAAAGTAACATATTAATTCTAACTCTATATATATTTATATTTAAAAATATTTGTATACATGTATACATACATTTATTAAACTTACTTAATTTATGTACACAATTTAACTCATCTGAGCGTATCTAGTATTTTGGATAAATTAATTATCCAATTGGTATTTTCGTCAAGAGTGTATTTCGGACCTTGAAGTATTTGGTCACACACAGCTTACTGAGCAGTGAAAATTCTGAGGTGATTGTATTGTGTGGTGTGTTCATACTCAATTAACTTAATTAAGTTAAAAACAGTGTTAGGTGCACTTTAAATCAACGTGAGGAATTCAACCCGCTTACTAAAACAGCCACGTATAACGGTCCGCCGGTAAAAACCGCACGCGTACGAAAATATGGCAACTGCAGCTAACACGACAGCTGGACCAGCGAAAGACGGTGCGCCTGCACCAAATGCACCAGCGCCTCCAAAGACTTTAAACGGCATTGTGAAACAAGTAAGTGTACTTTTAAAGTGTTTTCCAGTCTGTGTACTATTTAAAGCAAACTCAATTACATGGAGTAAAGAAACCTCATATAACTAATATAAAATATGTGATTATCAGCGTGGCAAATACGGCAAATGCCACTGAAGCATGTGCGAAAGAGATGCTCATATAGGCGAGTTGTGTGAGAGTGACACGTCGCACACGCTTACACACTCATACAATGGCTGAATAGCATAACGTAAAGAAACGAAAGTTATCGAAGGTGCCAACTTGGCAGATTTTCTCGTTCAGCTGTGGTTATAAAATGTATTGAGTACAAATTCATTTACATATAACGTGAGCATATGTATTTCAGGCATACTGTTGCCACTGCCACAATTTTCCCTGTCAACGTCATCAGTCCGTAACAACTTGCCGGCGTTTTGAAACATGCGTTTTTATCTGATAAACACACATACATACATAGGCACAAATTTACTTGCCGTGCGGTACGATTAATACAAAACTATTCGTTTCTAACCTCAAAAAATGCTTGCACAGGCGCAAAACGTATGCACATACATACATAAATGTAAAAACATACATATTTACTTGCATGCATTTTGTATATGAAATGTATGTACTTCCGCAATTGTTATTGTTCATTCCTTATTTAATTTTATTTATATCGTAACAATGAGTACACTTTTAGCTTGTTTCTTTTTTAATACTATGTATTTATAAATATATAAATACATGTAAAGAATCTATCAAAACGGACACATGGCAGTTACTAAAGGTGGTTATCAACGGTTATCAATTGCAACTTATTAAAATCGACTTCACATGTGATGACGTTGCAAGCACTTCATAGCAGTAAAGCTGTGTTTTTGTTTTGCGTTAGTCCGGTCCAATGCCGCGTCATCATTCCAATTTGAATTTCCATCTTACAACTTTTAGGTGAAAGACCTGTTGATATTAAAAAATGCCGGAAAGCCGTCGCATGACAACACCTGTTTATAAGTTTCATGCGCTTAAGTTAATAGGCCATAAAAATCAGTTAACTTATCGCCCATGCGTAGCTCTCTACTAAAGCAATTGTGGCATTAAATAGGATAATTTGACCGATTAAAACCTTAACTTTTAAAAGTATTAATCTTTATGTATATTATAAATGTGTGCGAAAAATCTAAAATTATTAAAGCAGCTCACAAATTGATTACACAACTATTTAAAAACAACAAACCCGTTAAAATTGTATCAGTATAAAAATAAGCGGAAAAAATAATTCCATTTTTAAGGGATTATCCTAAATATTCACAACACTTCCTCAATTTGCCTGTATATAATTGGGCGTTATCACATACACATAGTATGGTCACACCAATTTGGTGCAGCCCTTTAAAAGACCAAGTTGGCGCCACCTATCGACATACTAGCTCTCGAAAACACGTGCTTACATTACTTTGTCTGCAAAGATCGATTTCATTTTAACCTCATTGCTTGTGTGGCGTGCGTGTATTTCAGGTGCTATCTGGTGACACGGTTGTTATTCGCGCCACCAAAGGTGCTCCGCCACCAGAGAAACAAATCACTTTCTCCCATGTACTCGCCCCGAAATTGGCTCGCCGGCCTGGTGCTGGCGGCGATGAAACCAAGGACGAGCCCTGGGCATGGGAATCGCGCGAGTTTCTGCGCAGTAAACTGGTCGGCGCCGAGGTAACTTTTACCTTTGACAAACCCGCAAATTCCAACCGTGAATACGGCTTCGTCTGGTTGGGCAAGGACAAGGAAACTGGTGAGAACGTTGTTGAGTCCATTGTACGTGAGGGTCTCGTAACTGTTCGCCGCGAGGGACGTCCTACACCCGAGCAGCAGACGCTTATCGAACTGGAGGATCAAGCGCGTGCTGCTAACCGTGGCAAATGGGCGCACAATGTTAACGCTGCCGATAAAGTGCGGAACATTAAGTGGGCGCATGAGAATCCAGCGCATATCGTCGATATCTATGGCGGCAAGCCTGTTAAGGCAATCATCGAGCATGTGCGCGATGGCTCCACTGTGCGTGCCTTTTTACTGCCCGAATTCCACTACATTACACTTATGATATCGGGTATTCGCTGCCCTGGCGTGAAATTGGATGCCGACGGAAAACCTGACCTTAGTGTCAAGGTTCCCTACGCCGATGAGGCTCGCTATTACGTTGAAACACGCCTCCTTCAGCGCGATGTCGAGATCAGACTAGAATCCGTTAACAATTCTAACTTTATTGGTACGATTTTGTACCCCAAGGGCAACATTGCTGAATCGCTGCTGCGCGAAGGCTTGGCCAAGTGTGTGGACTGGTCCATGGCCGTTATGAAGACAGGTGAGCTATTGAAGGTCTAACTTCCATTGGCAATTGGCTTGACGTATATAGTGCCCTTTTGGCTAATGCCTTGTGTTGTACTATGTATTTTCAACTGTCGTTTGCCAGATGAAATTGGCGGATTCCAAGAATATAGTGACTGTATCATTGTCACTGCGTTCATTTCACCCCGTCTACAGATATTTACAAACAAACAGAGACTTGTATAGATGACTTATGATAATTTTGTTTATTTACTATAGGAGCTGACAAGTTGCGGGCAGCTGAACGTGTTGCGAAGGAGAAGCGGCTACGCCAGTGGCAGGATTACCAAGCGAAAACGCCTACTTTCAACTCAAAGGAGAAGGACTTCACGGGTACTGTGGTCGAGGTATTTAATGGTGATGCTATTAACGTACGCCTTGCCAACGGACAGGTGAAGAAGGTATTCTTCTCCTCCATTCGGCCGCCACGTGACCAACGCGCTGTTGTTGGTACAGACGGCGAGGAAATCGTAAAGGCTCCACCACGTGGCAAAAACTATCGCCCACTTTACGAAATTCCGCATATGTTCGATGCGCGTGAATTTCTCCGCAAGAAGCTGATTAACAAGAAGGTGCAGTGCAATCTGGACTATATTTCTCCACTGCGGGATAACTTCCCGGAAAAGCACTGTTACACTGTTCTTATCGGTGGCCAGAACGTGGCTGAAGCAATGGTGGCCAAGGGCCTTGCCACTTGTGTGCGTTATCGTCAGGACGATGACCAAAGGTCATCTGCGTACGATCAACTGATTGCTGCCGAGCAACAAGCTATCAAGGGTCTGAAGGGCCTTCACGCTAAGAAGGACAACGCAACGTTGCGCGTCAACGATCTTACTGTCGAGCATTCCCGCATCAAAGTGCAGTACCTGCCTTCTTGGCAACGCGCTTTGCGCACAGAAGCCATTGTTGAGTTCGCCGCTAGCGGCTCACGCCTGCGTCTATACGTCCCCAAAGATAGCTGCCTGGTTACCTTCCTACTTGCTGGTATATCATGCCCACGTTCTTCGCGTCCAGCTCTCAATGGCATCCCAGCCCAGGAGGGTGAACCTTTTGGTGATGAGGCGCTGACGTATACACGCGAGCGTGTGCTGCAGCGTGATGTATCCGTGCATATTGACACCACCGATAAAGCAGGCTCATCGGTTATTGGCTGGCTATGGACCGATCAGAATATTAACCTTTCTGTAGCTCTAGTCGAAGAAGGTCTTGCTGAAGTGCACTTCAGTGCCGAGAAATCTGAATACTATCGACTGCTCAAGAGCGCCGAAGATCGTGCCAAGGCTGCCAAAAAGAACATTTGGGCCAATTACGTAGAACAAGTGCCTGAGGAGAAGGTTGTCGTCGAAGAGGACAAGGATGAGAAGGTTGTAGTAGAACGCAAAGTCAACTACGAGAACGTTATCGTGACTGAGATTACCGAAAATCTGACATTCTTTGCCCAATCTGTCGACAATGGACCTAAGCTTGAAACATTGATGAGCAAGCTACATGCTGATTTCCAGGCTAATCCACCTATTGCCGGCTCGTACACGCCCAAGCGCGGTGACTTGGTCGCTGCTCAATTCACCTTCGATAATCAATGGTATCGCGCCAAGGTGGAGCGCATTCAAGGCAACAACGCCAGTGTCTTGTATATTGACTATGGCAACAAGGAAGTAAGTATTCAGATAAATATTAAAATGAACTCCGCAAGCTCCTTAGATCCGTTTCTGTCTCGAAGCGAAACGCATGAGTCATAAGTTTGCCATATAAACAATGCACACATGTTTGACGTTAGCTGCGGCCATGAAGTGATGCACACCAAACTCTACAGCAATCTATGAGTGTGCTATGTTCAGGGAACATTGATTTATCCGCACCAAGACTCTGCAGTTGGACCATATTTTTTGATCCAATCGTTGAGCAAAGCGGCTCTAATTCTGCGTGTTTCACATGAATATAACATGCTTTTTGTTGGGGGCATCCAAGACATGGCGCAGTGACAGTCGGCAGTGTGCGACAGAACCACTACCTTTACAAAGATCAGCATTACTAATCTGTTTTCTTTTGCTTATTGTAGACTCTGCCTATTAGCCGGTTGGCTGCCTTGCCACCTGCCTTTAGCAGCGAGAAACCTCATGCTACCGAGTACGCACTCGCCTTAATCGCACTGCCCGCTGACAATGAGGACAAGGAGGAAGCATTGCGCGCCTTTTCTGACGATGTGCTGAACCATAAAGTGCAGTTAAATGTTGAGTTGAAGGTCGGCGGTGGTCCCCATTTGGCCACCCTGCACGACCCAACAACGAAGACGGACTTGGGTAAGCAGCTCGTTGCCGATGGACTTGTGCTGGTTGAGAAGAGGCGCGAGCGTCGGCTCAAGGAGCTTGTGGAGCAGTACAGGACTGCACAGGAAGCTGCCTTGGCTGCACATTTGGCTATTTGGAAGTACGGCGACATAACGCAGGATGATGCGCCCGAATTCCGCTAGGAGATGGTTCAAAGCGTGCAGTAGGCAGGCGGCGTGTGGAGCGCGCGCTGCTGGCTGAAATGTTTGTCTGCCACATACCCGCCCTTTATATATTACAACAACAAGCAACAACTTAATGAATATGAAATTACTAATTCTATAAATACACTCACACAAACAAACACACCAATTTATATACATATATAAATATATGATGCATATAACCACATTGAAAACATTTGAGCAACAGGAAAAAAGAGAAGAAAAAAACATGGAGGAAAGGTTGAAACTTGAAACATTTGTATGCTTTAAGCAGCTGATAAACCGTTCAAAATTCGGTTTTACGGTTTTTAAAACTTTAATAATTCTTTAAACAAATATACAAACATACAACGTAAACAAAAACTAGCAGCAATTGACCATTTTGTAAACGGTTAACTTCCAATAAAATAGAATCAAAGTAAAAATCGACAAGTTACATTTTTTTGCATGCATAAAGTTTTTCTATTTGTAAACCTAAGCGAAAAGTTAAAGCTCGATTATTTTAGATTTGCTGATTTTGTGTTATGGTAATTTTTTTGAATCAACTGATTAAATAAAAACATATTAAAATCATTTTTATACAAAAACGAAAAGGATTTATTTCTTTTGCTCTAGCAAATCGATCTTCTCGATAACCGTCTCAATGTTGAAATCATCTGGCACTTTGAGGCCCTTTTGTCTGTCCACAAGAGCCTTAGACTTACCCTCGATTTCATTGATTTGCTGTTGGACAGCCATCGTGGTCACGCGATTACTAACTGTTGTTGTAAATCTGTGTGAATTTTGAATTAAACAAAAATGGATAATATTTAATCATGCTCATTATACTACCTTTCTAATGATGCAATGTCTTTTTCTGTTTCTTCTTTTGAAATCTGAAGTTTTTTTAACTTTCCTGCCTGCTGGGCCACAGTTAGCTTGCTCTCGATATCCTCGCGCTTCTTCGTATAGTAAAATTCGCGTAAATAATTTAAGTTAAGTTCGTTTAGATTTCCGTCTGCTTGAATTTCAACACATTTGTCCAGCAACATTAAAACATCGTTTGGCAAGTCGCAAACCTCAAAGTTAACGAGTTTCAGAATCTGTTCCAAGTGTTCTCCTACAAAACTCGTTAATACTTAATGTTGTCAAAGTTTTTTTATTGTGTTTACATACCCAAATACTTTAAAGCCTTCACCTCATCTTGCAGTTTTATATAGTCTAAAAATCAGAATCAAACATTAATTTCAAATACGAAAACGCTTGCAATATTTTAAAGACGCACCCATTTTAACGCCAAGATGAATAATGAACAAAACAAACTTTCTTATACCGGTTCAATCAATTAGAAATATAATTTTGGGGAAATGGCGCAAAGTATTAAATTCTTTTCGTAATGCAGATTCAAGTGTCAGTCTCTGAATGTGGCAGAGTTATCGATATTTTTCAGCCCTGAAAATCGAATATTTAATTTGATTTAAATATTCCCATAAAACTATTTTTTTAGCTAATCAGACATGTATTTCCTTGTTTTACCACATCTGAAAAGCAAATATATAAGCTGAATTTAACATTATTTGAATAGCTATCCTATTGATTTTAATATAAATTTTTTATATTTTGCCATTCGGCTTACAGTTGTTACTCATTGCATATTGATAAGGTTGTACATTGCATTCATTCACTATTCGCTGTGAACGTGACACGATGTGACGTCACATTTGAACTTTCTCTTACTATCTATTTATATTTGAATTCAGTTTATTATGAATAGTCATCCGCCTTGATCATAGCATGTAATAACAAAGTCTTTTTAATATAATATTTTTGAAAACAAGCTTTTGTCATATACAAGATTCTCAAGATGTGACATCATGCGCAGTGAGAGCTAAGTGATGCCCATTTATTTGCTTACCTATGTTTCTCACAGCCATGGCTTCTACTTTTTCTTTGTTTATATATACGCGTTTGTCGGTGCGGTTACTGTTGGGGCTTTTTAGCACGGGCTGGTGTGTTAATTTGTGCAAGCAAAATGCAAAATATTAATACAATTGTGAACAAATAAATAATATAAATACTGTGCTTGACGCAAACGTCAACTTCGTTAAATGTATTTAATGTATTGCAAATCTATCGATTTTTAGAAACGAAGTTGCAAACTAGCGGTGTGTCTGTGTGTGTTTGTATGTTTATGCGTATGTGTATGTAAGCTTACATACATTTGTATGTATATTCTTATGTACTAATAGAAAACTCCAGCCATTAAGAAAAACAGCAAAGGTCCATAGCAAAAATGTCTGCGACGGCTGCCAATTTTTTGGGGATGGACCTTATCTCATCACTGCCAACTGATGTACGCGAAAAGCTAGCCGAATTGGAGTTGGAGCTATCTGAAGGTATCAAATTTTAATTGTATACATGAAATTTAGATTAAGTTTGCAACGCAATAGACATATTAATTAATAGTTTTATATGGTCATCAATATAAATAAACGGTGCTCTTTCTCTATCCGATAATATCGATAATGTAAAATTGGAACACGATGTACTCGTAACCTGTCATGGGTAACATCAGATATTTCCACTAGGAAATTACCGCAGACAGCAGTCACTGCGGGTAGGCAAGAGGGGCTGAGGGGTGGGGGGTCTTTGTCATCGCGCCAACCCCTTTAACTGCTATTCATATAAAGCGTCTGCTTGTGTGCGGTTTTGTGGGATAAACGACATGTGTCTGCACGTTCATACATACATACATATGTGTACATGCATGCCTGCATGTGTCGTATGCGCTTGCATGATTACAGATGAGCACATAGCACATATATTTTTTAGGTTTGTATGCGTCTGATGATATGACATGATGATTATTTACATAAATATATACATATATATATATATATATAACAGATGGGTTCTTCAATTCTTTTGAGAGGTAGTTTAGCCTAATATGCGTATGTGGATACATACATAGCACAATCAATTAATAACGATACACTAAGGCATATCTGTTAGGTGTGGCTTATCAGTTTGATGATAACCCAAACCCGGGTTCGGCGTATGTAAATAAGCTAGATATTTTGAAGAGTAGAAAATAGTTTCATTTCTGTGATTGTTTATTTTAAGTAATGATATATGGCAAGGAATTGGGTCATATCATATCAATTTCGTGTAAATTAAAACTTATATTTGACATTTTTCAGGGGACATCACACAGAAAGGATATGAAAAGAAACGGGCCAAGTTATTGCAACCCTATCTTAAGAAACAGGAATGTAAGTATATAATGTTGTTGTCCATTCTGATTTGGCCAAATGAGTTTATTAACGGAAACAACGTGATTATTAATAGTAAACGATGTGGAAAAGGCAAAGAACTTGCCGCCACCGCCATACTACAACATAAAAGATACCAACAATAGCAACAACAGCAACAATAGCAACGTCAACAGCGATGGCGTCATCATTTCTAGTGAAGGCTATAGTTATGTGACTGAAGTACCTTCATTACCCTCATCACAACAAAGGCATTCCAAAAAGTCTGACTTCCACCAGCCTAGCTCAGCCATATCAATATCATCATCATCCGCAACGCCTCAGGGCGGATCTGGTGCACCTGGCTATGAGAATATGCGACCGCAAGGCGGTGCCGTCGGCGATCCCGGCTATCAGAATACCCGCGAACCCAACACCTTCCAAAACCATGGCGCACATCCCCCATCAAACAGTAGCCAGCATCGGCAACGCCGAACACAACGTAAAGTAACGCACAATGAGAAACGATATCATTCCGGTAGGTCGATTAAGAGAGAAGCATTATATTCAATTATCTAATTGACGCGTCTCTTTTGAATAGAGGTGCGCCAGGAAGCTGTACAACAGGCACTGGCTGCGCTTAAGAGTCGACCAAAGCCGAGCCTGCCAATGCCCTCTAAGCGCAGCTCTGTGCTTAATCGGAGTCCCGGGTGCAACGATGAATTGGATTCATCCAGTGATGACGAATCGATACCAGAGGAGCTCATTTCACCCGACAAGGAATATAATTATCCGCGTGATCATATAAGTAACAGTATGCTGCCTCCGGAGCCAATTATAAAGCCGCCAATACGTGAGTCATCCATGAGCGCACAGCAACAGCATTTACGACACGATGTCAAGCAATCTCAAGCGCCAATCCAGAAATATCCATCGTCGGGCAGCGCCGCCGAGCGACGGCCACCGCAGAATTTACCGCCTCTGGTGAGTAGCCCAGACGAAACGACTTCATTATTTATGTTCAGTTATTGCTTTGTGCTCAAGTCGATTGCTCACAGTTTAAAATTAACAAAATACAATTATGAGCGCTAGCTAGACGAATTATTGATGACCCAATGACATGTGCTAATGCACTAGACAGTTAGATAGACAGCTAGTTAGATTTATATACATTTAGAACTTTGTTTTCAAATATCTTTTTGCTCCGTGCGCAGCCCACATCGGACACTTCGAGCACAGACTCCCCACCAATTGGATATAAACGGGATCATGAATTTACTGATAAGGCCTATAAACAAAAGCATTGTAAGTATATCGCTTTCTCCAGATCCAATTTCATTTTAATCACTTATCAATTTCTATATTCCGTTTAGTTAACGCACCAGACATTACACAGTTTAACAACGCACACCGCATCGCTGATCGGGTTACACGTTATGTGAACGTCTCTCAAACGGAGCTGAATGAAACTGATGCGAACGGCAAATGGAAGGTTTCGGCCAAAATTCAGCAGCTGTTAAACACTTTGAAGCGACCCAAACGACGACCGCTGCCCGAGTTTTATGAGGACAATGACATTGAGCTGGAGATAGCCGCCAATCCCAAGGATCCGAATGCACCCAAGCCCGAGGGTAGCACCATGACTCCAGTGCAAGGTGAACAGCTCTCGATACCAGCCGGCTTACCGCGCACACTGGAGTGTGCGCTCCAACGCTACGGCATGAATTCCTTTAAAAGCTCAATGGCCACCGTCTTGGATCCTAATGGTAAAATTACCACAACACTGACCTATGGCAAATTGCTATCGCGTGCACAAAAGATCGCCTACGCGCTGTCCACAAAAATCTTTAGTAAAGGACCTGAGCAGGTGACACTGAAGCCAGGCGATCGTGTTGCTCTGGTCTATCCAAACAATGATCCCTTGAGGTAAGTTTTTGATCTGAAACACTTCTTCGGCCCCATATAATATTCTGGAGTATTTCTTTAGTTTTATAACAGCCTGGTATGGATGCATGTTTCGCGGCTTGGTGCCGCTGCCAATTGAATTGCCGCTTTCAAGTTCGGACACGCCACCACAGCAAGTGGGATTTTTACTAAGTTCATGCGGCATTACGGTGGCTCTAACATCGGAGGCATGCCTCAAGGGACTGCCCAAGTCGGCAACTGGCGAGATAGCCAAACTGAAAGGCTGGCCACGCCTACAGTGGTTCGTGACCGAGCATTTGCCCAAGCCACCCAAAGATTTCAATGTGGGCAATTTGCGTATTGAAGATACGGCTGCGGCGTATATTGAGTATACAACTGATAAAGAGGGCAGTGTAATGGGTGAGTTCCTAGTTCAGAAGTTTATAAACAAATGTGCTTAGCCTCATAGTCTGGCTCTTGTGATAAACTGCACGCTTTTCAATTGATTTCTTTTGGCATTAAAGTTAACTGACGTCGACTCATTCAACTCTTCTCCTTTCAGGCATTACTGTCAGCCGAGCTGCCATGATCAATCATTGTCGTGCATTGACAATGGCCTGCCATTACACTGAGGGTGAAACCATAGTCTGTGTGTTAGACTTTAAACGCGAGGTTGGCTTATGGCATGCCGTTCTCACATCCATACTGAATGGCATGCACGTGGTATTCATTCCGTATGCTCTGATGAAACTGCGCCCATCGTCCTGGATGCAGCTGATAACGAAACATCGGGCTTCGTGCTGCCTGGTGAAGAGCCGAGATCTGCATTGGGGCCTATTGGCAACAAAGGATCATAAAGATATCTCATTGGCTTCGTTGCGCATGCTGCTTGTTGCCGATGGCGCCAATCCCTGGTCGTTGTCATCGTGCGATCAGTTTTTAAATGTATTCCAAGCTAAAGGCCTGCGATCAGACGCTATTTGCCCCTGTGCCAGCAGCTCTGAGGTGTTCACAGTCTCGCTGCGTCGACCGGGGCGCTCATCTTCAACTGGTTTCTGTCAATCGGCGACTGGACGCGGCGTATTATCCATGGCCGCACTCTCGCACGGTGTGGTTCGCGTTGACAGCGAAGATTCTTTGACTTCGCTCACACTGCAGGACTGCGGCCAAGTTATGCCAGCCGCACAAATGGTAGTTGTTCGCTCAGAGGGCGCACCGGTGCTCTGTAAAACGGATCAGGTGGGGGAGATATGTGTGACGAGTGGCTCAACTGGTGCTAGTTACTTTGGACTCGATGGCATGACAAATTCAACATTCAAAGTCCAACCCCTCTTGGAGGATCCAGAGCAGCCGAAGGAGAGTGGCGGCACAATTGTGAGCAGCCCCAAGCCAATTAGCGAAGAATACTATGTCCGCTCAGGCCTCTTGGGCTTCCTGGGACCCGGTGGTTTGGTGTTCGTGTGCGGCTCACGTGATGGCCTGATGACAGTCACCGGTCGCAAGCACAATGCAGATGACATCATTGCCACGGTGCTGGCCGTCGAACCCATGCGCTTCATCTACAGAGGACGCATTGCTGTATTCAGCATTAAAGTATTGCGCGACGAGCGCGTCTGTGTCATAGCCGAGCAACGGCCCGATTGCTCCGAGGAGGAGAGCTTTCAATGGATGTCGCGCGTACTGCAGGCTGTTGATTCCATACATCAAGTTGGCATTTATTGTCTGGCACTTGTGCCGCCCAATCATCTGCCAAAGACCCCGCTGGGCGGCATACATTTGTGCGAGGCGAGGCGTCGCTTCTTGGAGGGCTCCCTCCATCCGGCAAACGTTCTAATGTGTCCACACACGTGCGTCACCAATCTACCAAAGCCGCGAGAGCTGCATCAAGGTGAGCGATTGTTTGCTTATTTGGAAATACGGCTAGCATATAACCTATTGTTAATCTATTGGCTTTGTTGGTTCCTATCTGTGCTTTCTTTATACATATTCGTATCTGATAAAAATACAAATATTGTTTTCCTCTTTTTTATTAATCACCAACAACAAACAACTACAACTACAACAACAATGAAATGCTGCGGTTGCTTCCCACTATGCCCACTACAATAAATACGCACCACTAATAAACAACAACAACAAACAAACAACAAACAAACAACAACAACAACAATTACTACTACTACCACACTCACCTCAACACTGTATCACATATACATAATACAAAAAACAATACAATACCTATACAAATACCATCAAAATATGTCAACAACAACAACTAATTGCATTGCTGTGCTTTCAAATTAACAAAATTCACAATTAATGCATTTGCATACGATCTATATAACTCATACTGTTAATGCGCATATCCAATCGAAATCCTTGTACAAAAACAACAATACCATTCTACTACTAACTACCAAAAAAAAAAAAAATAAAATAAAAAATAAACCAAAAAGGTGTGCAAACAACTGCAAAACTAAGCTCAACATCTGGCTGTGGTATTACAGACACGGGTGTAGGACCCGCCTCCGTCATGGTTGGAAATTTAGTGCAGGGCAATCGTTTGGCTGTTGCACACGGACGCGATGTGGGCATGGCTGAAGATGGGGAGCGTAAGGTAGGTCAATCGCGCGCTAGTTAAACTCACCAAATTCCTAACTAATTTATCAATTTATGAACAGCCCCAATTGATAACGGGTGTTCTGCGTTGGCGCGCTAACACCTCGCCGGATCACATAATATTTACATTGCTCAACTCAAAGGGTAAGACAGAGTCCATATTGAATGGATTTCCTTATCTAAGACTTTATATATTTCCGTAGGCGCCATAGCAAAAACGTTGACCTGTTCTGAGCTGCACAAACGTGCTGAAAAAATTGCTGCCCTGCTGCAAGAGCGTGGAAAAATTGAACCAGGTGATCATGTTGGTAAGTTTGAAATAGCTCGAGATCTTCTACACAGACTCAGACTAAATACAAGTTTCATCTTAAATTTCTAGCGCTGATATTCCCACCTGGCTTGGACTTGCTGTGCGCCTTCTATGGGTGCCTTTACCTTGGTGCAATACCTATAACAATTCGGCCACCGCATCCACAAAATTTGATAACAACTCTGCCCACTGTTCGCATGATTGTCGATGTTTCGAAAAGTGGAATTGTGCTCTCTATACAACCGATTATTAAGTTACTAAAGTCAAGAGAGGCGGCATCATCAATTGATCCGAAGACCTGGCCACCCATACTCGATATCGATGATAATCCCAAGCGTAAATTGGCTGGCATAGCAACGGTCTCGTTGGACTCCAGCGCTTATTTGGATTTCAGTGTATCGACTTGTGGTCGTCTAAGCGGCGTCAATATAACTCATCGGTAAGAAGTGATCAAATTAATCTAAGCTGCAATAATCTAATTTTCCATGTTTATGCAACAGATCTCTGTCTAGTCTGTGCGCCAGTTTAAAACTGGCCTGTGAGCTGTATCCATCCCGTCATGTCGCCTTATGTCTGGATCCATATTGTGGCCTTGGCTTTGTTATGTGGACTCTTATAGGCGTATACAGTGGCCACCATTCCATTCTGATTGCCCCCTATGAGGTGGAGGCCAATCCCAGTTTGTGGCTCTCAACGCTGTCGCAGCATCGCGTGCGCGACACATTTTGCTCGTATGGCGTTATTGAGCTATGCACTAAGGCATTGAGTAATTCGGTTCCATCGCTCAAGCAACGCAACGTGGATCTGAGATGTGTGCGCACATGCGTCGTTGTTGGGGAGGAGCGTCCGCGCGTGACACTGACCCAACAGTTTTGCAAATTGTTCCAGGGCCTCGGCCTGAACACACGCTGTGTATCAACGTCCTTTGGTTGTCGCGTTAATCCAGCCATATGTGTTCAGGGCGCAAGCTCGGCTGAAAGCGCCCAGGTGTATGTCGACCTTAGGGCTTTGCGCAATAATCGTGTTGCATTGGTCGAGCGAGGTGCGCCCAATTCGTTGTGTTTAATTGAATCGGGCAAATTGCTGCCTGGTGTAAAAGTAATTATAGCAAATCCAGAAACTAAGGGTCACTGCGGTGATTCACATTTGGGTGAAATTTGGGTAAGTTATTATTTAACTAATATAGAAACATTTTAATGGCAAATTCCTTTTCCATATTTAGGTGCAAGCTCCGCACAACGCTAATGGTTATTTTACTATTTACGGCGATGAGACGGACTACAATGATCATTTCAATGCCAAACTGGTCACGGGTGCCACCTCGGAGATGTATGCACGCACCGGATATTTGGGCTTCTTGCGGCGTACCGAATGCTCTCAGGCAGCCTCCATATTGGACGAGACCACACCAAGTGTAGCAAGTCGTGACAGTGATACAGAGTCATTGAACTCAATGAGCCAATTGCAATTAAACTTTTCAAACACTTCGCTGGGCGGCAACTCGGAGCATAGCCTGGTGGGTGGTGCCGTTAATTCCAGTGATCAGGAATTGCACGATGCTGTGTATGTGGTTGGTGCTCTGGACGAAGTGATTTCGTTACGGGGCATGAACTATCATCCAATAGATATTGAAAATTCGGTATTACGCTGTCATAAGAAAATTGCCGAATGGTAAGTTCTAGATTATAGCTTGCAAAAGGAACCATTAAAACATTCCGACTCATTTTCATCTCAGCGCTGTGTTCACTTGGACCAATTTGTTGGTTGTTGTTGTTGAACTGGATGGCAACGAATCGGAAGCGCTAGATTTGGTGCCCTTAGTCACAAATACGGTACTGGAAGAGCATCAGCTGATTGTGGGCGTTGTTGTAGTCGTTGATCCTGGTAATTGCAGTTTATATACTAAATCAAAATGTTTGTTTCATGCATTGAAATTCTTCCATTTTAGGTGTTGTGCCCATTAATAGTCGTGGAGAGAAGCAACGTATGCATCTACGGGATGGTTTTCTGGCTGATCAGTTGGATCCCATTTACGTAGCATACAATATGTAAATAGTATTATAGCGCTAAATCCTGCGCCATCCAAATGTATGACACACAAATATTTATTCATCATCATATAATGACTTTTCCTTGTAATCATGAAACACATAACAAAAGAACACAATTAGATTTGCATGATTTAGAAGTATTTGACATCGACAAACAAACAAACAAAGAAAAAATAACCGAAACGAAATTGCTTCATCCTTAAAAACGACATTAAATCATAGTTGATACAATTACCACACTGACTCTCCTTATCCAAAAATGCCCAAACTCAATGACACTTTATGTATAAAAGTGACGACAGCAGAAAAACACAATATTAACAACTTTCTTTATGAAATGCAATAAACAATTTATATAAATAAAAAAATTATAAGATGACTAAATTCTTATGTAGGATTCAATGGTTTGGTAACCGCTTGCAACTCGGTGCCGTCACTGATCGTATGCGTGCCGCGATCATGCCACCAGCGGCATATTATAGTGCGACGTCTGCGTACGACCAGAAAGATAAGCATGATCCAGAGGCCTTGAAGTCCATTTATCATATCACAGAGCAATAAATAGACTAAAATGAAAATAATACATTATTTATTATATTTTGACATTATTTAATCATAGCGTTACCTTCGTTTCCAGGCGAGTAGAACGTAACTATTTCGAAAAGCCAGGCTAAGATGATGATAATGCCCAACAAAGCTACACACTTGGCGCTGTTAACGAAGACAGAGTTTATTAATTTATAATCTAGGACCAATTTAATTTCAAGCACATACTCTTTTTTAACATCCTCGTATTTCTGCTGATCAAATGGGCGTATGGGATTCGCATTATCCTTTTCATCGTCATTGGCACGCAAATAGCCGTTGGTTTTGATGCGTTGAAAGCCAAAGAAAGACATTACCATTACCTAATAATAAAGGAAGAGAGTTTATATTAATATATAGGTATTATAGAATTATATATTATAATACTCGTTCATGAAATCAAAAGAGTATATTGGTTTTGCGGAATCTTTGTCTTGCTGTTCTTATGAACGCAAAACCTGGAGGCTAAAAAATTGAAATTTGGAGCAAATAATCGTTGGTACACTTGTCTTATAATACGCCTCATAGAGCCATGGTATATACTATAGCTGATCTCAGAGAAATTCTATTGTTTAAGCTGCTAGAGACTTGGAATTTTGGAGTTGGAATTTGAGTTAAAGCCCCAAAAACCACAGAGATCTCAAAATTGCATTGTCGAATATGATTTTTGGAATACATTTATCTATAAACAAGTTTTATGCAGTCCGAGATGTCCAACTGCAACATTCGTGAAACTTACCAGAAAGCTAAGACCCAACAGAGTCGAAACGGGTGGTATGAAGTAACGCTGTGATTCTCTAATGGATTCCGTGAGTCCCTGCTGGAAATATGATGGCATGCCCTGCAAGCCCTTCTGCACGGTCAAGGTAACTAGGATAGCTGGTCCAACGATGGCGAATGCACAATAAGCGCCAAAATTCACAATGGTCCACGTCTTATTGAACTGAATGTAGCGCGGCAGCTTGTACCAAATATTCAGCAAAACATTGCAGCAAATGCAGAAGAACCAGAAGAAAAAACTCAATATGAAAAACTGTATGACATAGCCGATGAAGCCGCCGGATGGTATGTCATAGATGTGGACCATCGAGTGCACGAAATAGCCGCAGGCCAAGCACAGCGACATCATGGCCAAGGACCAGCCGTGCAGGTTGCGCAACAGCTTCAGCGTCAGGTGCAAATAGGTAACCAGCAGCAGGCAAGGCATGCTGATTAGCATCATAATGGCCACAATGACCACCTTCGCCTTGGACACCTCCTCCACCTGCGTTATGCATATGAAGGCCAGCAAATGGCCCGATTTGTCCTGGTCCAGGCAGTAATTTTGCTGCACAGTATAAGACTCGTTGCCGTTCTTGTCGATGATCAGGAGCGAACCATCTTGCAGGACAAAAAATAGATCTTCTGTATCTTCGTATTGAAACGAGCTGAAAAAGTTAACACTGCAATGAATACAAAGAGTTACAGAGCACCAAAAAAAAACCACAACAATAACAACAGATATCTTAGATATATGTATATATATATATATATATATGTATATATATATATATATAATTCCTGATGGAAACTTCTGTGAAGTCTTCCGGAGCTACATACCTATTACAGGGATTGCCAATTTCGATGGGCAATTCTGTTGGGATTTCCAAGTCTTCAATGCAATTGTCATAGAGCACCGCACTGATGACAGTTGGCTCAAAGCCCAGCACGGCATTATCGCACATTGAGTCGCTCTGGTTTTCACGATAAAAATCCAAGTTTTCGCCCAGTGGACAGCATTTTTGTATCCTGGAGCTAGACGACGCTATGGGCTGACTTCTCGACTTCTCGCGCTGTGAACAGTCCGTGGGCTGAGCTTGTTTCCGGACAGCTGTCAGCACGGGCGCCCGTGTGCTCGGCACTGTTGTTGTGCTCCTATTCTCTATCGAATCATTTGACATTGGCGTCGTATAAACATCGATGGAACTTGTATTGCTCAATCGTTCCCATGTCGTGCCTGTACTATAAACAAATGGTAGTTCAATTAAACGGTACACCAAAGCTAACAAAGCTAAGAACCTGTCAGTGGCCAGTACATCCGTAACACTAGAAACATCTTCGGCTTTGGCTAGCATCAGAATAATGCAGAGGTGTGTCACAAGACTTATTTTTACATAATATTTCCAACATTTTGTGACCATTTTAAGTGTATTGCAATATTTATACTATTTTCTCTTGTTAAATGTAATTCTGTTAATGTTAAACTGAAAAGAAAACAATAGAAACATTATTTTAAAGCAAATTACAAATTAAGGTTATTATCATTTATCATCATGATCATTAGAATCAATATATATAATATCATCATGTTCATTATGACTTAAAAATAAACTAAATGAATATAATTATACAAAGTTATAGTCATGAAAATCATTATTATTAATCATTATTATTAACATCATTATGATCATCATGATAACTATAAAAGTCGTTAGGATTATAATATTTTTTAAAAATCAAACCATTATTTAACATTAAATTAATTATAAATAAAATAGTAGTTAACAATAAATAAACTAATTCTACAAAAATAAATAAATAAAATTTTAAATAAAATATTTAAAACTAATAAAATGAGTACTTAAATTTATTTATATATATATATATATATATATATATACATATACATATATATATACATAAATTAATATTTGTGTTTTATTTTCTTTTTATTTTTATATATTTTTTATTTTATATATCTTTTTAAAATATACATACATATATATTTTATATTATATAGATATATATTATGTAATTATTTTTATTTAATGTTTTTTATAATTTTTTGTGGTTTATATATATATAAAATATTAAATAAACATATATAAACAAAATATTTTAAAAACAGTTAATTTTGTATTAAAAATACTTTAAACAAACAAGCGAATACTTAAAATAACATTAATAACTAAAGTAATAAAGCAAAAACAAGTACATAAATAGTAAATAACAATTATTTTTGTATATAAATTGTGCATTGCATTCCATTGCATTGCACTGCACTGCACTGCACGGCACCTCCGATCCATACCAACTTAGGGAGACGACTGAACAAGAGCTGTAGCGAGCTCTGCCTTTTATAGCTGACCGATTTTCACTCAGACTTAAACAGAGCTCTTGAGCGGAGTTTGCTCTTTTTTATGCTCACTTACTTTCACTCAAGAAGTAAAAAGAGTATATTGGTTTTGTGCATTACTTAAACAGAATATTTAAAGTCAATAGACAATCTCATTATTACGGTTTTCATCTTAATTATCATTAATTAAGATTATTATTATCATTATGAAGCTCGGCACTTGTTTTTCTCGCTGTTACATATTTACTCAAATAGAGCTGAGTTGCTTTGGAGTTAGTTTTCATATGCTCTATTTAAGCAATGCAAATACAACGATTAAGATGGACAAACAAAACGCAGATGACCAATTAGACTGAATTTAACGCCAGATCAAGTGCATATGTGAGTGTCTGTATCTACGTTACGCGCATACTTCTGTTATACTGTTACAAATGTACATACATACTTCTGCAGAAAACAGTTATAATCAATGGGTTCAGCGTAAAATTAACGGCTATCAAGAACAATGTTCTTGCTTGTATTATCTTTTACGTGTCTACTCCAATTATAAGGCGCGTTCACACTTATGACGTCATATTAATGAGTGTGTGCTGATCAGAAATTCTTGTTATTTTGTGAAGAACAGCAGTAAAATTACTTATGACTTATACATGCCCGACATACATTTGTATCGGCCATATATAAATGAAAACATTTTTCTTTAAATGCAATGATAAGCAGACTGACGACTCCACAGAGTAGGGGAGACATTGTTGTTATTGTAATATAAAACTAATAATAGCGAAACACAGGCCACAGTTGTTGCTTGCTATAATAACTATAATAACGTATGCACGAACACAGGTGCAAGCCAAAAATTCAACATTAAGGGAGACAGGTGTGTGTATGTATTGGAGGTGAATCTTTATATGGAACTCACATGTCAATAAGCCAAATCGTTTTAGTTAACACAGTTGATGTATGTGTTTGTATATTATCTGAATATTATCTCCACTAATATGACAAATTATCGAATAATACTTATCAACGTAAGTAAACGTTTTCTTACACAATATCGTTTCGAACATTTAACACCTTATTTTGAAAACGCAACCGATGGGCGCGCACAATGAAGTAATACTAGCGAATAAATGCGTCCAGCACATAAGTGCTGTAGGCGCATAGCCGCTGATAAGATAACGAAATATAATCGCAGGGCTACAGAAGCCTTTAGTATTTTTAACACAATTTTCTAAAAATAATATGTATTTTTAATTTATAATTCTTACTTCTAAGATATATAACTAAGTTTAATGGAAATAATGCAACGATACCGGCGTAGTCGTCATTCGATTGCCAATTTGAAAAATTAGGATCTTATTAACTGATATCGATAAGAAACCCGATTGCAGCACTGCGTATAACGCTCATGCAACCATGTACAATATAGTACGTTAAACGACTACTAGATGTCGCTTGCGACATTAGCAAATGAAAGACGCGCTGTGATTGGTTGACTGTACGCTATTCGGGTTACTAGTGCAGAAGTAAAATGTAAGGTAAAAGTCGCTCCAACAGTTTGCTTAAGAATAGTTAAATAATATTAAAAAATAAGTATTGCAACGCGTTCGCAATGTGATACCAAGTTTAATGGGTAAATGGCATTAAATATAAATGTCAATTGTGCTAATCTCACATAACTGTGGCAGTCTGTAAAAATTTTTTCGGTTTTATAAATGGCGGACAATGTGCGTTGGCTTCAGCTCTATAGACACACGCACACTCACTTATTCAATTACACATACAGACACGAACAATTGTGTGTGTCGAGTACCTAGCACTACGTTAAGTATTGAGAATGTATAATTTGGCAAACCTGGCTCAGGGCAAAGCATCCTTAACTGTGTGATTTGTGCGTGTGTGTGTGTATATTATTTTGGCGCCATATATGCAATTAGCAAACATTTTTAATATTCGAATTGTAAACAAAATGTTATTTCTATGAGATTTTGTGAATTTTATCGATTTTTTCTGCACATGTACATGCATACACATATGCGTCAATACAACTGTATGCGCAAATGAACGTGAGCGAATACCAGTTACAGTTGATGTTGCATTTACCAGTAAATTGTTTTTGTTTTAACAAACTTTATTTTTGTGTTTCTAGATAATGTGCGTTTTTCGAGAAGAGCTAAGAAAGAAATAAATCGTATTTGAGATACCAGAGTACGCACACACGCTAACACTTTCACACACGTACGTACGATAGTTTTAAGCAGAAAGTGGGTGGCGAAGGCATCAAACGCAATAACGACGCAAAGGCTGATCAGAATATAATGAGTGGTCGCGGTAGCCGGAAGCGTGGACGCCCGCCAAAGACGCCAAACGAGCGCTCATCGGGACGTTTCAACTATCATCTGCTCAAGAAACCAAAATATCTCAGTGAAGGTAAATCCCAGCCAAGCACTCCATCGGCGTCGCGCTGCATCTCACCACAAAGCGATGAATGCAGTCGCGGCAGCCACAACAATCGCAGCGGACGCGGTAGCGGATCAAAAAGGGGCCGTGGACGTAAATCGAACGCTCACGCTAACACCAGTACCAACAATTATTCAGGAAGAAAAGGTAAATATATAATAACAAAACAAAGGAATAGATTAAAATAATGTAAACATTGTAATATTGGAGCTAAACATGAGATAACGATAATAATACCATTATGATTGTTATACATAGATCATTATCACTAAGTAGTACGTATTTGGGGTGAATATTAATGGACTCAGCAGTCTGAAAAAAATCTGTCAAGCTTTTTTTATACGAAAGCAAATTGTTAAAACTCCATTCCGATTGACAAGTAAAGTAATGTGCTATTGTCCTCGATTTTTGAACGAAATTGTACAAATTGTAATTAGTTGCAAGGCTGTTAGTCTTCAAAAGGAGTCCAAAGAGAATAAAAGCGAGGAATCGGTGACAAAAATCGATCTTTTACGTTCGATTTTTTCATTTAACGACTCCACCAAGTCTGGTTTAAAGCCAGGAATAGGTCTAGAAAGAAGAAGAAAGGGGTGTAAAATGACAGGCATGAGCTCTGGTCGTTTAAAGGGTAAATGTTGAACATATAGGCACAGATATATATATGTATATATATATATAATATATATATATATATTGATGTTATGTATTGTATTGTAATTCTAATTGTTTTCCCGTCTAAAATTTGTGACAGGTTTCGAGTCGGAGTATCATTACGGCTCGGATTTCGGTGATTCGGATGAGGAAAAAACCGATAATGAAGATGATTTGCTACTTACGCCTAGCGATGATGAAAGCTTGGATGCTGCCAATGAGAGTGAGTCCGAGTTTTCAGTCTGCAGTTTTACACAAAATGGCTTAGGCCGACCACCGCGTCCGCCCAGCCCGGAGCCAATTTGGCTGCAAGAAGGTCGAGAATTTGAGCCACTTCAATTGCCCGACTCGTCTGAAGATTTATTTGTAGACAATGCGCATGTTTTGCGCGCTGTAAGTATTTACGAAGTATTGAGACGCTTTCGTCACTTGGTACGACTTTCGCCTTTCCGATTTGAGGACTTTTGTGCTGCACTGGTCTGTGAGGAGCAGAGTGCACTGCTCACGGACGTTCATATAATGCTCCTGAAGGCGATATTACGCGAGGAGGACGTACAGGGCACACATTTTGGGCCGCTCGATCAAAAGGATACTGTTAATATAAGCCTATACCTGATAGATGCCATTACCTGGCCAGAAGTGTTGCGCAGCTATGTGGAAAGTGACAGGGAATTCGATCGTAACGTTTACAAAATACTCAGCACTGGCGAATATCCCTATACAGGCGTCGAACATCGTCTGGTTGTGCTGCAGTTTTTGGCTGATCAATTTCTAACTGCCAACTCGGTGCGCGACGTGATGGTGCAGGAGGGTCCCATACATTATGATGATCATTGCCGCGTTTGTCATCGCCTCGGCGATTTATTATGTTGCGAAACCTGCCCCGCTGTCTATCACTTGGAGTGTGTCGATCCGCCTATGAACGATGTACCTACAGAGGACTGGCAGTGTGGCCTGTGTCGCTCGCACAAAGTCTCTGGAGTTGTCGATTGTATTCTGACGCAAGAGAAACAGGGCGTCCTCATACGTCACGATAGTCTCGGCGTGGATCGACATGGTCGCAAGTACTGGTTTATTGCGCGACGTATTTTTGTAGAGGATCAAATCGACGGTGTTACTTGTTGGTACTATAGCACGACAGCAAAATTGGAGTTGCTGCTGAAGCGTTTGGATGCAACAGAGCTGGAGACTCGACTTGTTTCTCAGCTGACTGACCGTCAGGAAGAAATAGAGCGTCAGATGAAGCTAACCGAGTCGCTCACCAATGAGCACAAACATAACAAGCGCACCTTATTAGATCTAGAGAACGAGGCTACACAAGAATTACTCGAAAAGGATTCGTCCAATATTTCAACAGAAGAAAGTAGCGATCAAGCGGGCGAGTCCGCTAAGAAAGCTGAAGATAGTAAAATGATAACGCGTCAAAAGACAAATCAATTAAACAGCGGCACACTCTATTTCAAACTGGGCATGGAGCAGGGCTTTAAGAACTATGTTAACCAGTACGCCACCAATCCCATAGCACTAAACAAGCCGCAACGCAATGAGGAGCGCGATAAACGGCGTCATCTCTCCCACAAATTTTCCCTGACAACTGCCTCCGATTTCAAATGGATTGGCATTACAATGGGTACATGCGACAACATTATCACAACACTACGTCAAACCCTGCTTAACTTTGAGTCGAACATAGCTGCGTCCTTCATGAATAGCAATTGGCTGACCAACAAGAAAATGTGGAATAATGCTGTAATGAATGCCAAACGGGCCACAGATTTCGCGGCTGTTATGCTGCTGTTCCAATCGTCGCTGAAGAGCGTCGTCTTTGCCAATGTGTGGCACGAGCAGCTTGGGCACATGCATCTGCAGCGGATCACAAGCGGCGAGCGTGAAGAGCGCAAAAAGCAGGAGAAGCGTGAAAAGCGTGAACGTGACGATGAGGAGGAGCGAAATCGTCTCGCTTTTAATTATATCAAATATTCGCTGGGCCTGAAGCATCAGGTCTGGAAGCAAAAAGGCGAAGAGTATCGTGTTCATGGTCAATGGGGTTGGCTCTGGCTATCCAGCAGTCGACGCTGCGGCGTTCGTGTCCGGCGTACACGTGCCCAGCCCTTGACACACAATCGCATCTATGTACACTACACGTTAGGTGAGGAGAAGAACGTCAATGAAGTTATCCTCGTTGATCCGCGAACTCAGCGCTTCATTCAGCAGTGTAAGACAGTGCATGATGCGGGTCAGGTGTGCCATTATTTGCCCGAACAGTACACACACGTAAATATTGTCGAGGACGTTGGTGAGCGGGTCAATGGTGTTATTGATGTGAGCAAAGCATTGTGTGAACCAGGACGAATCTATTATCCAAAGGTGGCGCGCAAATGTCGCCTGGATGATTTGCTGGAGCGGCGCACCAAATTGGCGGAGGTCGAGAAACAAATTTCTATAAAATCGGATGCGGATGGTGATATCAAGCCACTTTTAATAACAACAACAACAGCTAATGGGACAGGCAGCCATAAGCAAACGTATCTAGAGAAGCGTTTAATGCGCCTCACAGAATCCTCAGGCAGGAGTATTCCATCCAACGTTAACTTAGATCTCGTCAACTCACTAGCCAAGCAAATACAAACAGTGCGTTTGCAGTTCAGTCAACTGAATCGCTACGCCAAGACCTTCCGCTGCTATACGAAGGAGTGCAATACGAATTCAAATGCTGTTTCGCAGATTACTCAGAACACGTGTTACTCCCCTCTCTGCCTACAGAAAGCACGGGCCAAGAAAGAATTGTTGTTGCTGCTGCGCAAGGCACACACAGCTGGCAATGGCTCGAAGGAGACGGTGGCAGCGATTTTGGGTGCAGTGAAAAAGCCGTCCATACTCGAACAGAAATTAACAGAGGGTAAAAAGGAATCTGTCCAATTGGCCATCGATGAGTCCGATGATCACAAATTACACGAAACCGAAGCGCCCCTCGACTTGCTGCAAGACTGGGAGCAGGCACGCGCGCATGCAGTCACCTTTAGTGATCATTTGATCACAGGTTGCCTACTGAAAGAAACCGAGAATACAGAGAAGGTGCAAGTCAAGGAGGAGCAAAGTACAGCAAGTAGTCTGAATCCGGACTCAAATACTCAGGACTCCGACAAAATGGACTACATTGAGAATATGGACGTGTGCAGTAATGTTGAAATAGAGAGCACAGAAGATTCACTGACTGTGGCAGCGAGTTCAACGGCAAATATCGACGATATTGATATGTTTCCCGGCTTGCGTCGCAAGCGCACACTGAAGCCTAAGAAGGCATATATTGGCACCAAAGATGTATTAGACCAAACTTTGGACAAAGATATACCGCTCAACAAGCAAAATCGTAGATTTCCCATTACTCAACGTCCTGTTAAACGTGAGGATGTCACCAAATATGAGCGCGAATATTTTGAAAATGGCAATGAACGTGTTTACTCCTCAACTTCACCCAGAGGTCGCGTCTATCTGCTGCGTGATGAGTCCAAATTGTATGAGCAATCTGTGAAAGCTGATGATAAGACAACAGTTGTCAAGAAGGCAAATTATGCGCGCTATCCGCTCATTTCCAATTTCCTGACCCATAAGCAAAAGCGTAGTCTTTTGGTCTTGCCACGCTACGAGCTGCTTAAGCTATCCCGTCTGGGCGGTAAAGCGCCGGCTAGTGGCTTTCATCATGCCGCCAAAAATAACTGCATTTGGCAATACCAGTGCTCTAGGCCTCTGTTCCGTACATGCTGGTCATATCGTACATCCAATGCCACAACTTTGTCGTGCATAGCATTGCAGTTGCGAATCCTATGGTCTTGCTTACGCTGGGATGATATGATTGCCAAGCCGCCATCCGCTGATGGAAAGCATCAGGTTACAACAGAGAATGAAATCGTGACATTAGAACTGCTTAAATTACGGCACGCCGGTCGCTATGGTGAGAAGACGAGTTATCTCCGACGCAAGGTTGTTATACCTTTGGAGATGCCAAAGACTATCAGGGGTAAGTAACAGCTTCAATTTGATAGATTTCATAATTAAGAATTGTCAACTTCCTCAGAGGTAACTTCAATCCGTTCGGGTCTGCGCAAACGAAAGCGCGCCGAATCCCCCCAACCGACAGAACCACAAATAAGCGAGGAATGGGTGGATGAGGATAAGCTTGAGCTGTGGGAAATCAAGTTTATTGGCGAGAAGCAAGAAAAGGCACGCTTAGCCACTGTGACACGTTCTGTGACTTCGCGGCAACTGGAATCAAGCAATGGCTCCGGTTCTAGTGTGTCCGCCATTGGCAGTCCAGGCGGTGGACGGGTTCTGTTGGCACCAAAACCTGGCGAAGATGTCAAGGATAAAATGGAACAGCAATTGAAGCTACAACGGGCAGCTCATCAACAGCGTAAAGTAATTGGTGTCAACGAAGTCACGCGTTCATCAACACCTGGTAAATATTTGAAATTCATAATTTAATAAATTGCTAATATAATCAAATGCTTGCAGTTAAAGGACAAGTGATTGGTAGTAGACGTGTGATAGTCAAGAACCCGGATGGAACAACGCGCATCATACAACAAGCAACCACACAATTGGCTCGCAGTTCAGCATCAGCAGCATCGTCAGCAACAAGCCCCTCGCCGTCTTCGAATGCATCGCAGGGCAATGCCACATCAACGACACCCGCTTCCACGCCACACAAAGTACAAATTATACGTGGACCCGACGGCAAAGTGAGCGTTCGTGGACTAAATCCAGGACAGCAGCTGGTGCAAATGCCAGACGGCAAACTGCATGTCTTAACGACAACAACATCAAATGCAGTGACATCAAGTGAGTGCATCAAACAGTTGTTATTTATCTTTATTGTTGTATATATAAATTCAATTCATGCGTTCAGGTGTCAAGGGTAAACTGCCAATAAAAACACTGACTGCGCCGGTAGCATCACATGCGCTGCCAACAGCGACGGGTGCTGTAAATGCAACATCTCCAGTGATCAAACAAATTGCAGTAAAACATGTTAACATAGCTAAATCACCGGGTGCGCAAACCCTTGCATCATCTCAACGTGTTACTCTGCCTTTAGCACAAGTGAAAAATAAATTATTGCTTGCGCAGCAGCAACAACAACAGCAGCAACAGCAGCAACAGCAGCAGCAGCAGCAACAACAACAAACTGGTCAGACCAGCACAGCTTCGCCAATTGTTCAGAAGCTTGTGCCGAAAGTTGTAACAACTGCTTCGCCGAATCAGCAATTGTTTGTTCAACCTGGCTCAAAGTTGCTGGTCACACAAGGTTCGCAAGGACAAAAGGTTATCATATCTGCATCACCAAGTCAACAGCAACAGCAGCAAGGCACTGCAACAGTACAACAGCAGCAAATTGTTCAAGCACAAACAATTCAACAGCACATCCAACAGCAGGCGCCACCACAGCAACAGCAGCAACAAATTGTGGTTAACCAGCAGATGGGCAGTCAGCCTACACAAAAGGTGATACAGCAAATTGTTAACACAAGCAACGTGCAGCAGCAAATTGTTGTTGGTGGGCAGCGCATAATATTGAGTCCTGGTCAAACGATCGTTACGCAACGCAATGTGCCGCAAAGTCAAGCCCTGCAAATGGTACAGCAGCAAATACAAACACAACAGCAGCAACAACAACAACAACAGCAGCAGCAACACATCGTACAGCCACAGCAACAATATGTGGTGCAAGCCAATCAAACTGTTCAAACGACACCCACAACGCAAACAAAATTTGTTAAACAGGTGGTGGTGCAACAGCAGCAACAACAGCAGCAGCAGCAGCAGCAACCACAAGTGATCGAAGAGAAACCACAGAGCAGTACTACTGAAAACGCTGAGACAGCCACACAACAAGTGCTTGTACCCAACTCAACGCTGGCTCAACAACTGGCGCAAGGCAAATTGCAAGTGGCAACAATTAATGGACAGCAAGTCATTGTCAAGCCGTTGGGCAACAATCAAGCTCAAATCGTGGCACATATTAAACATCAGGGCGATGGCAATGCCCATATTGTGACGAACAATGCCACGCCCGCCGTAGCCCAAGCGAGTCCGCAAAACTCACCTGCTAAACAGACGCAGCAGCAAACTGTTGTGCAACAAAGTCCACAGCAAGTCGTTATACAGCAACAGCAGCAAGTTCAGACGCAACCACAACAACAGCCGCAGCAGCCACAGCAGCATATTGTACAGCAAGTGGTACAGCAAGCGCCAGCACAACAGCCCTTAAGTGTTGAAGAGAGTCTCCTGCAGAATCAGCCACCTGGCACAGTGATCAAGTGTGTGACGGCACAAGTATTGCAAACGGAGCACGGACCACGTATTGTGCTGCAAGGACTTGTGGGCAATGACTTTACAGCACAACAACTGCAGCTGGTGCAAACGCAGGTGAAGCAACAGCTAATGAAAGGTAAATGCTCAATATACTATATATCGCTAAGTTGCACACACTAAAATACTATATATCTTTTGTCATCAGCCCAAGAATCTAATGGCAAGCTAGGCGTTTTAGGCCCTACAAAAATCTATTTAGCCGTGCAGCCAGAAACAACGGCACAATCGTCACAGCCGCCGCCCCTAACGCCCGTGCACCAAACGGCGACACATCAACAAGTGAGTAGCTTTTAAATGCAAAAATCATATAGGGGCGAGAGAGAAAACGCGCGGAACTCTTAAGCACTTAAATAAAACGTAGGCAGCGCTTAAACCAACCAACCAACCAACCAACAAACCAGTCGACAAATTATTCAAGACACATTGTTATATCAATAATAATTTAAAATATAATTTTAAGTTAACATTTACCAGAGAACAAAACGCATGTTGCTATGATTTGGAGTAATTTTCATTTATCAATTTATTTTTTATTTTCCTTTTAATTTTTACTTTTGTTTTGGTATCTATAAATTATTTGTTAATCCTCGAAAAATAGTTTACACATTCCACTGTGGAACGTGAGAAAAGCGTGATTTAAGCAATTGCCCAACGAATAGTTCGCACAACAAAAAGGCTTAATTTTGCAATATAATTATTTGTCAACTAATTCTCCAACATACAAACACAGAAAACGTACATAATGCTACACACATACACACACACACACCTCTACATACACAGACACACGCACACATCTATAAATATATACAGACTCTCATTAATAAATTATATATTGTGCAGTTGGCGAATATATATTCTAGAAACGTGCATTTTCTTCAACAAATTTTAATTATCATTTAAAATATACACGTATTTATTTAATTTGTTTAATTTTTAGTACCTTTTTTATTATGTTTATAATTAGTCATGTAATTTTAATTTAATGCCATCTAAATACTTATCGTTAAGCTTAAGAGAAGAACGAAAACAAAAACAAATAGCAGATAGTTGATAATACATTCAGCACATTGGTTCAGCCCACACCTGAGCATTTCAACTGAGTTTGTTGTCGTTTTTTTTTACCTTTACCTTTTAGCGAGCAATTTAACAGACTGTGACCGTAATTTTTAGCGACCAGGGCAAAAGTATTAGACAAACGACGCGTGAAATGCGTGTAGAATTTTCTTGCCTAGATTTTCAACATTTTTGGTTTTATAACTATCTATCTCTATTGTCTATGTTACTTGTAATGTATGTAAAGCGCTTTTTGCAATAAACGAAATGTATTGAAATATACAAAATAACGATGACCAATCCTGTTTCTTTTCATACAATATACTCAAGAGCAGATCAACTAAAAACATAAATGAAAAAATATATATAATATATATATTATATATATATGTATATATATATATATATAGCTGTACATTTATTAATTCTCACTTCTTATATTGATAGATTCTACTGAGACACAAAACAAAAAATAGAAAAATAAATTTATAAAAAAACAAATCAAAATAAAAAAATTATAAAACAAAATAAGTATTTTGAAAGCGTAAAAAGTTGGGCATCACTTTAATTCAATTTTTTATTTTCAATTCAAAAATCAATTACAAATTTATTAAGTTTTTTTCAATAATTTTGTAATATTTGTAATTTAAAACCAAAATATTTTATGCATTGTAAATATTCTAACATAAGATAAAAAACAAACAAAATTGCAGCAGAAACTGTGTCGCCTAACTGTTAATTCGAGGGGTTAGCCAAAAAAATTAATAACCTCACACTACCTGTAAACACCTGTCACACACGCTCAAAAATGGACGTCCAAAAAGAACAACCAAAACGCGTAATTCAATTTCATTTAAAACTAATAACTCTTAAGGCTTTGACACGCATATATTTTCTCCATATTTTCAAAGCCCCTTCCTTTATTTTCTCTATATATAATATATATAAAAAAAAAGAAAACCTAAACAAACTAAGCACAAATAATTTTATTGAAACTGTGGTGCGTAAATTTTTGTTTCTGAGTTAGTTGGATGATTATTTGCAAATTGGCCTTTGTGTTGACAAAAAGCGCTCGCTTTCTATATATATATAATGTATGTATGTACGTATGTATGTATGTATGTGCATACATCATACATATACATATTCATATGCAGTAATTCAAAATGTATGTATGAAAAGAAATCGTTGTAATTCCCAGTGTAAGCAAAATATATATGAAAAAAAAAACAAAACAAAACTCGATTTACATATGTTAAAAAAAAAACAAAGACTTTAATCAGATATCAGTTGAATTAGTTAACAAAAACAGAGACCGAACTAAATTTGTTGTTTCCATGGCCAAATTCAAATTTGCTTTAAAAAATCTAATAAAAACAAATAAAAATTTATATATATATTATAAAATATATATATAAATATTGCTGAAGAGATTAACCCACACACAGAGTTTTAGTTGGCTGACTTATAATACATATATATATTATATATGTATATATATGAATCGGAGGCAGTGCTGGTATTTTAATACCAAATGGCAAAAAATAAATAAAAAACGACGAATTTCTACCCCTACGTCCCGCGTAAGCGCATGCAAAAAAGCTATAAAGAATATATATATATATCTATATATATATATGAATTAATAACACAAAGGCTTAACCATATTTGTAATCATCTCATCTAAATCGAAATAAATTTTTACACTTTAAAAAAAAAACGAAAAAAAAACGAAAACTTAAATACCAGAGTTTCACACACACACACACTAACAAAAACACGCAACGTATCAGACAGTCAGTCAATCAATCAATCAATCATAGCTCATACTACACGAAGCTACACGAAAAGACGTTCAAAAATTAAAACATTTTTGCCGCAATTTTCATAATAAATATTTTAAAAGCAAGCTTTTTTTTAAAGAACTAACTTTGTACCATTAAAAATCAATTTCGAATACCTTTAAAATATATAAATCCATGCTGCCACTACTTAAAAAAAAACCAAACCAAAAAATGAAAACAATCCAAAACGTTATCAAATGCATTGCCTAAAAAAATCCGTGTGTCAACAACTACAACTCCCAAAAAATGAAAAAAAAATATCACGTGTTAATCTCTTCGTCAAAAACCAACTACTACAACAACATCTCAACCACAAACTACTACAAACCATAACAAAATCGTAAAAAGGTTGCCTGGAATAAATACTACAACTGATCTCTGATTAAAGCCAGGTAGGTGCCTTATCATATCTACCATTTAACATACCTTAATTAGCAACTATCGACATAAATAACTATAGAACTATATATATATATATATAAATTAGTTGAATATTGTTTGGTGTAAATAATATGATGTTATACGATATACAATTAGGTTGGTGGCATCTCAATTGTGTACGTTGTAAGCTCGAATTATGTTGTGCCAGGCGGTGATCAAGCTAAGCCTGACAACAATGATGATGACGATGAAATTATTGTTGTGTGCAGTCCGCCGCGTAAGAAGGAAAAAGCTCTAGCAACAGTTTCCCCAACAATCGCTGAAACACCAAGCGAAGCCACTGTGACGTTGGCTAACCCAAGTGATGCGGTTAGCGCGGATGCAAGTAATGATGATGCATGCAACAACAGCAACAGCGACGACAGCAGCAACAACAATAACAATAACAATAACAACGATGACAACGACAACGATAACAACAGCAGCAACAATAATGAAGTTAGTTTTAAGTCAGAGGCGGAATGTGAAGAGCTACCTGTAGTTAATGAACAATCTAATCATGATCATATGCAGAAATTAAATGAATTTGATAGTGCTAAAGCCGTCAATCGATATATATTGCAGACCAACGATAACACCAGCATCAACAGCAACAACAACGACAACGACGCCACCGCGCCTTCAGCTAATAATGAGGAGGCTGCCCCAGCCAACGACAGTTGCTCCGCAGCAAACAGCACAAGTGCCTCTGGCAATGGCATCGAAGTCGACCTCGACTCCAGTTGTCTTGCCCAAGCTGATAAGCATAATAGCATCACAACAACAACCACCGCCACCACCATTATCAACAACAACAACAACGGCAGCAGCGGCAGCAGCAGCAGCAGCAGCAGCAGCAGCAACAACAACAACAACAGCAACTACAACAACAACACAGCTGGAGCAACTGCTACGGAGGCGAACGTAGACTATGCCGTAGTGGCATCATCAGGCGATCTCTGTGCGACATCCTTACTGCAAGGCAGCGAGAATGAGCGAACCGAAGATTTTGTCGTAACCAGCGGCTACATACAAGAAAGTAAGCTAATATATCAAGTAAATCACTTGACTATATACTCATCTAAGAAAAATCTTTTATAGCTATAACAAATGTACTCAATCAAGGCAATCTGAGTCCAGAGCTGAAGGAGAAATTGGTGAACATGCGCCTGAAGCAGGAGCAGCAAAATTCGCAGAACTTGGGCGAATGGACGCCATCAGCAAATAGATCGAATTCTATAAGTGAATGCGCCAGCACCTCTAATCGCCGACGCACTGCTTCGCGGCATAACAATAACGACGATGATGAATGGAAGATACGTACACCGTCTAAACGTCATCATGGCTTGCCCACCGTTAGCCAGAATAACAATAGCGCAGTTAAAAGCAATCGAAAGCCACTGCCTTTGGAGGATGCGGCAAACCTGAGTGAACCCAAGCAAACGCAGTTGGAACGCCATAAAGACTTGCTAAAGAAGAGCATCTTGCGAAAACGTTCGCTGCTCGAACGCAATTTACAAAATGAAATTCGCGAGGAAGTTGAGGCCAAATCCAATCGGCATGTGCGGGCCATGAGCACAACAACGCCAGAGAAGCCAATCGAAAATGAGCGCACGTCAGTGTTCACTGAGCGTCTGATGGATCAAAATACAGAGCTCAAACGGTTAGTAGAAGTTATAAACTTGTTTTCTATGGCGAAACTATAAAATATCAATTGAATTGCAGGCACAGCAAGCCGTCAATTGGCCGCAGTCTTGGCGCTGAGCCGACAACACTGCACAACAGGCACGGAGTTGGTCGGCCCAAGAAGTTGACTCGCAAGAAGGAGAAGCTATATTGTATATGCCGCAAACCTTATGATGACACCAAGTAATGCAATGCGCAGTGCATATATCTTATAGTACTTATTAAATTAAATTTTTTATAATTATAGATTCTATGTTGGTTGCGACTTGTGCAGCAATTGGTTCCATGGTGATTGTGTTAACATTACCGAGGAGGCGTCCAAAAAGCTAACGGAATTCATTTGCACCGATTGCCAGAAGGCGCGTGAAACTCAACAACTTTATTGCAGCTGTCGGCAGCCTTACGATGAATCACAATTTTATATTTGCTGTGATAAGTGCCAGGACTGGTTCCATGGTCGTTGCGTTGGTATTGTCCAAAGCGAAGCGGAGTATATTGACGAGTACGTTTGCCCGGAGTGCCAGCGGAATTCGGATGCGAATATTGCAAATATAAAGAGTCTAACGCAGAGTGAAGTTATTGAACTCAAAAGCTTAATCAAGCAAATACAGGTAACCAGTCAATTAGCTTTGAAGTCAAGTTAGTTTTGTCTCTGACCCAACAATTATATTTCTCTTTTGCAGTCCCACAAAAGTGCCTGGCCATTTATGGAGCCGGTTGATCCGAAAGAGGCACCGGACTATTACAAAGTGATTAAGGAGCCTATGGGTATGCTCTTCTATATTGTTATATAAACTGTAAATTTTAGTCTAAAATCTTCGACTTGCTTCTCTCATGCACAGATCTCAAGCAGATGGAAACGAAACTCGAATCAAACACCTACAGTAAGCTCGCTGAGTTCATTGGCGATATGACGAAAATCTTTGATAACTGCCGCTATTATAACCCAAAGGAGTCCTCATTCTACAAGTGTGCTGAAGCACTTGAATCGTTTTTTGTACAAAAAATCAAAAGTTTTCGAGAAAATGTTGTTGGTCAAGGCAATTAAAAGTCATTGGAACGAAGCTTTGGCTGTTCATACAATTGGCACCGGTTGCAATGGATTTAGTTGGGTTCATCACAACCATTATAAAAAGCAAAAGAAAAAGCAAAAAAAATAATGATTTTATATAGGTAAAAATAAAAAATAAATACTTTTACTACAATTAAATTTAAATATACGTAGAGGTTAGCCTGCTCTAATATACATATTACTGTATTTTTAAATATATATACATTATATAAGTATATAACATTAACTGAAGCTAATATATAAGTAGTTGTATTCTTTTATCTTATAAATATAAACGGAATATGAATTTCGTAATTAATTTCAAACAATTTTAAGTTGAACTTCATGTGAAGAACAAGAACAACAATCCAAGTAGTTTTGCCTATGTACAGCCAAAAATGATATGTAAATAAATAACACACACCACACACACACATGCATTTGTTTTGATACATATGTATGTACAAAATATAACAATATATGTAGTATATAGTATATATATATGAATATGAATATTATTTAGAGGATTTATCACTATATTGCCTGCACTTATGAACGCCTAATGCGAGTTTGTGTCAGTGAACGAGCAATTGTATTATATTTGTAAATAAAACAGATAAAAGTAACTTGAATTGTTGTGCACTGAATAACGGTTTGTGATGTGGAATATATGAAATCTAGTAATATTTAAAAAGCTCAGATGTAGACTTAGTAAATTACCATAAAACAAATGCTATAAAAGTTTTAAGGCTCAGATCGAGCGAATTAGATAGAGCTATAAATAGTAGGTAAAGGGAAGAGGTAGCATACATACCTGTATAAGTGTTGCACATGGTGCAGATTGTACGGATATATATATCTATATATATGAAAGCAAACAATAATTGAAACGACGTCAGCTCATTGCGGGGTTTTTCGGGTATCTCCAAGTCGGATGCGCCCGACTAGAGCCCACTTATTTGATTTTTTTAGTTTTGTCATCCTTGAAATATTACAAGTTATTAAGAGTTAAATAAGTTATAAATTAATGTATGGCAAAAAATATTAATCCAACAACTATTTGTTTTGCTTGCATCGCATCGAGCGGTTATCGTATTTGTTATGCATTTGGCTTTTCATGTAGCCACGGACGGAATATGGGCAATGTCGAAGGGTAATGTGTGTCCGGCTTCAGCACAGATTCGGGCCATGTATTGGAGACGTCATTAGCATTATTGCGGAATGGATATGTGGCCAATACAATTGGCAGCTGCAATTTGATTTCCTTTTCCAGAGACTTCGGCTCGATGACGAAGAAGACGTCGTACGTAATTTTGATCAGATGGCAACCGTGGAGATTGGTTGGCGGCAACGGCGGCACATAGAGGCTGTCATTGTGCCACTCGTCCTTGCCGCCCGGACGTATCTTGCCACGCACCAAGACGGCTAAGGCGCGCTTTTCCGTTTGAACTGTCTTCCCGCGAGCCAAATACTCAATAGTCTATAAGACAAGATTTGATTAGACAGAACATTAAGCTTCGAGTACTTTTCTGAACTTACCTCAGTTAGCGATGCCTTGGTTCGTTTTATGGTAACGTTGCTAGCATTGGATATGAATGCTGTGACGAGTATATTCTCGCCGGGCACATATCCACCACGATCCAGGACCACACGACATTTGATCTGACCTCCACCCACGCAGGCAACAACGCCCAGTTTGTGTTCCACCTCGCAGGTGAAGGGTTGCTATAGAGAATTTAGGATTAGCAGTTTCCTTTAAAGTACAATACAATACTTTATTTACCGATAGTATAGGCTTCTCCAGGTTCAAATCAATGGGATTCATAACGATGAACACTTGATGGTTCTTGTGTGTCAGGCCTTTGGGTTCGCGCAATGCTGCGGTACAGAAATACTGTATCCAACCGAAGCTGCCCAGGAATGTCGAAGGCAAGCCGATGGGCAGACCCAATTTGAAGGGAAAACTATGTATGCCTGGCGATAGTATTGCAGGACCCTGATCCACATCGCCCAGTAAGCGCATGCGAAAGTCTATGTAATTCTCTTTGTCGTAGGTGCGTTCCTGTCGCCCACCTGCGCGCACCACGCCCTCGCCCACCACATGGAAGTGCAGACCCAGAGCAGGTGTCTCATCTTGTAGCTCAATAAGTACGCGTCCCGACAGAAACTGACCCGGAAAGTACAGCAGCGACGTATTATCGAATATAATCAGAAATTTCAATAATTTTCGAGGCATATTTCTGCTTTAAGAGTTCAGATACGCTTATGACCTTGAAATACCTGTTGTATATAGGTAGGAAAAAACGATGAATTAGTATAGCTTAGTTAAGTTTTAAATGCTTTTTAGATACACATATCTAATGAACTATTTGTGTCGGAGAGAAATTTACAATAATTTTTAATTGCCATTAAACGATGCAAAAATCGACGCAATCAAAGCTTTTCCCTTTTTAAGTGTCGCTGCAGATTGAGCTTCATTATACACACACGCACACACACATTCCCACACGCGACATACACAATATATACAATATATACATATTTTCGTTTGAACAATCCGTTTGTGGCTTTATAAACGTGGGTGCAACGCCAAAATGCTTATATACTCGTACAATGCCCGAATACACTCATATACTCATTGACGTTTTGTTTGAATACCTCTCGTACCTAGCTTCGTACGTTGCGCTATTATTGCTTTATGTATTTTTCTTGATTTTTTATTTTCCTCTTTTTCTTTTTTATTTTTAAACTATCTCAGCTGCGCAAGCGCTTTTGGGCCGCTCCAACAAGTTAACAGCGCGCACTGACGATTGTTTAACAACTAAAGCTGTTACGATTTTCAGCTAGCTTAGTCGACTCGGCATCATTTCTAGAGATGGTACAGGTACGTGCTTACTCATGCGAGCAGACTGAGCTAATGAAAGCTACGCTACTGAGTCCCATTTTATCCAACAATTTAGAATGAAAATCAAAATATATCAACATTTAATAAATGTAAACAATTATTTAAATGTATTTTCCTGTTTGAAATGAATACATATATAAATAGTATACATTTAATATTAAACTTGAGCTGAATAGAACCAAAAAAAAAAATAAATGAAACATTTATCCTTTTTAGCAAATTTCTATTGAAAGTCTTATTACAACTTTTACTAACACAAAATATTTAATAAATATACAATTCGCTTCTTGTTTTGGCAGAACTTAAATATTTGTAATTTGCACATCTCTATTTAAGCTCTTTTTTTAAGTACATACATTCAGGCTTATAAATGTCTGTTGTGTTGACGCTGAGCCAAAATACAGGTTTGAAGCTAGTTTGAATTGCTCAGAGAGCGATTGGGAGAGCAGAGAGAGACAGAGAGAGAGGTGAATTAAGCTTGACACTAGCAGCGTTAGTTATTTGCACTCAGAGTGGTGAAGTTGGGGGTGAATATAAGACCAAATTCAAATTATGCGACTATGATCAATGTTTTGACTAAAGCTTTTTTTATTATGTTTGTGCAATAGTTTTTTGGTCATAATAATTATAATATACTGTTAAATGGAATTAATATAATATATTTTTTTTAAATATTTTCTTAAGAGCAAACCAAATTAAAATATTTACATTTAATTTAATATTTTAAAAAAATTTCGTTAAAAACATTTAATTATAAGAAAGATCAGACATGATAAATCTTTAAAAACTATTTAGTCTTAACTTTACACCGAAATTGTGAGCTTTTAAAATCAGCTTCACAAGTTATTATAATTTTAGGTAACTTTTGCAGTAGTTACAACCACTAAACTGAAAGTGAAAGGTTAAAAACCGTAGCAAAAAAACTTGACGACATGAAAAAATAACAACTTTTTGCAAGTGCAAGCAATGAGGAGGAAGGGAAGGAAGGACGACGTCACGTTTTAAATGGACTAAACGAAGTCAAAACCAGACTTGACGATTGCAGTTGGATAACTTAGGAAAAGTGGTAAACTTGTTAGATAGATACAAACGGCTCTGCTACACATAAAAGCTTTTTGTAATTGTGTTTTTATTCACTATTTATACACCTGAATCTTTAGTTTCATAACACTTTGCAGCAATTGCAAGCAAACAAACAAACAGTCGATTGACTGCTAAAGCAGCATAAAATTTATGCGGCTGGCGAGACCAGATCAGTTAAGCTTTGACGTTACATTAAGAGTAAAGAGAGGAGAAGCACAAGAACTTTTGACTTCTGTGTGTGTGACACACTGCAACTGGAGCGGAGTTTACAAAAACACACACATTTTTGGGTACCATTGTATTGCATGACAATGTGCTTGTGTGTGTGCGTGTGTGCCTGCTAAAGTGCTCGAGTCTGGGTCCGTTACGTTAACAAAGCTGCGATGTTACATTAAGAGTGAAAAGAACTTTTTTGGTTGAATGATTTGTGTGTGTGCTCCAGTGCAAGAAGAGCGAAGAGAGCAGCAACACATCAAATTCTGTTTGTGTTTGTGTGTACGAGCGAATGTCTCAGCTGAAGTGCTTGAGCATAGCTCCGCTACGTTAACTAAGCTACAACGTTGTAGTAAGAGTGAAGAGAACAGAAGTACAAGATTATTATTATTTTTTGTTGTATTGAGTCATCTTTGTGTATGTGACATACTGCAAGAAGAGCGAAGAGCTCAGCAGCACACCAATTTGTGTTTCGTTGTGTATAAAAAAAACTTGAGTCTGTGTGAGCGTTGACACAGTATTAGCTAAGTTGGCCCACTGCCAATGAACGTATATATGTATGTAAGTATGTATGTATATAAGTAATGTGCGGCTTGTTTTGAAGCTCTTCAGCGTGAAGCGTGAGTTTCTCTTCAAGCTGCACCTGAGAGTTGAAAGCTTTTTCTTTTGTTATTTTTCTTTCTTTTTTTGGATTTTGTCTTCAGTTATAGAGACGACGCCAAAAGAGTTGGTTGGGCTTGGCGGCGGGCCAGCAAGCAGTTGTAGCAGGTGTAAATACCAGAAAACACATAAGTCGATGTATGCTTATATATAAATATATAAATGAAATATAAATACTTAAAGAAATTGTGCGCTGTTTCAAATCGTAACAAGTTCTTAATGACTGTCTGTGAAATAATTGGGCGAAACATTAAATCGGTAGTCAAAAACAACAATAAACAGTGCCAAAGAACAAGTCGAACAACAACAATAACAAGCGCTTTGGAGCGTGTAGTTTATGTGTTTTTCTTCTGTGTTAGCTTAAGAAATAAGAACCGTTATAATTGCCACTTTTATGTAAATCAAAAGAGCTGTTATGCTCGTTCGTTCCCGAATAGAAAGGAGTATTTGGATTGTGTTCAATGTCGGAGATTGTTTGAATGCCATATTTATGCCTTTTGTGGGCGTGTCAAAATGAAATATGGAAGCTGTGTATTGCACAGCTTAAGAGTTATTGAGCTACACGTTCGCAAATTAATAGGAGTATATAGATTTGGCGCAATGCTTACTGGAAGCTTGGAGATTATTCGAAAATGCTATAGTTCCCAAAATACAGCTTTAGTTCCAAAAAATATTGCGGTTAAATCACTTTTATTGAACTACCTTTGTGATACAGCTTTAGAATTTCTTAGTCTTTACAATTTATTCTCTTGAGCGATTATCACACAGTCAGTCAGCACCTGACTCTACGTGGTACTTACCAACTTTTCCAAATTATATTCCCTTAAAATTGTCTGTGGGCTAAGCTTCATGCGTACTTTACAATGATTCGTTGTAACTTTCTAAGCCCCAACTTAATTCCACGCTCTCGACATAATTTAGCCATTATTAATGGAAGTTAAAGATTTGTGTACACTTGCAAGCTGAGTTGGCCAGTTGATCAGTTCGTACTATGAATGCGATAAATTACTCTGGTCATTTTAGTGCTTCCATTTTAAATGCCAAACAAACTTCGTTTTGGGTGTGGTAAACCTGCTGCTGTCTGGTTACTAACGAGCCGTAGAGTCGTAGAGTGGCCAAAATGCCATGGTGTCGGCGATTTGTAATTCTGCTCGAGTCACAACATACACCCCATACTATGTATATATATATATATATCTGTGTATACACATAGACTTCTTCCCAGCGCCCATTCTAATTTGCTAATCAGAGTAAAGAGACGCTCTTTACATACATAAAGACTGTCGTTTACATTTATGTAGATTAGGTGTAATAAACTCCCTAAGAGTGTATATCTAGAACTACATTACGAAACGTCAAATGCTGGTCTAAATTCGTATTCCTATAGAAAATAGGTGTGCAGGGAAAATGAGCAGAACAGACAGCAGAAGGCGTGGCACTAGACACTATATATAGTATATATATTCCTGAGTTATACATACTATGAATACTATATATAGTGTACTACATATAGTGTATCGTTAGATATATATAAGGCTAGGTTCTCCAAAACATTCTATAGTAATAATTTATAATTTTGCTTCGATAACTCCTACCTTAAAATCGATAAGAATCGATAGTTCAACTTGCTGTAGCTGTAGTGTTTAAATTTAATGTGTAGATTCCCCTTCTCCCTTCCTTCCCACCTTTTTGTACACGTTCCTTTCTCTATCCTACCAAAATATAAGTCGAAATATATAGATATTCATCTACACTACGCCATTATATATGTGATTAATACTAGGTGCAGGGTTCAGGGTATTCGCTAGTCGGGCACTCTCAGCCAGAGCTCACTTTTGGTTTCTTGTTCTCTGCAGAGCTTTGTAAATATCCATTTCATTTAGGAAATTGAACAAAGCAGACGCAGTTCTCTTACGGAAGTACCTCTTTGTTCGCTTTGATTTGTGACTCAGCTGAGAAGCCAAAGGAATTCAGTCTTTGAAGCTGTTTCCTCTTCAACTTGTTTTCATTTGCTTTACAACAAATGTGAACAAATGTAAGAAAATCTTTGGTTTTTAAGACTAACTCGTTGCTTTCTCTCTCTCTGACTCCCCTCAGTGCCAATGATAATGCTGAAGCAGGAATCAGTATCCTTGAAGAAAGCCTCGGTCTCTGTCGTTGCTCCCACTTCAAATTACGCACATTTTGTCAAACAAAACCGGGAAATTTCTTGTAATGCTGACATTGATATGAGCCCCGATGTGCATAATGCTAGGGATAGCTTGCCAGATCTGGTTTCGGTCACGATGGATGGCGAGAAACATTGGGTCTCTGGTGTTGATCCGAGCACGACATGCACCGATCTGATATGTGCGCTACTCAGTTATAAAGATCTCGAGGGAAAGAGCAATGAGCAGTTACCAATATACCACACGTTATGCCACAAATTGGGTAGATCCATTCAGACGTCTAGCCAAAACACAAGCCACAAAGCAACATTAAGAACAAATACCAAAGAAAATGAACAAACTTCTTATAGCAAGGGTCTCAATACCAACTTACATCAATATGTAATTGTTAAACAATTGCGGGACAGTCGATTCGAGGAATATTTAGATGGTAGCACTCGACTAATGGATGTCATTCCGACTGCTGACAAACTGGCCAAAAATCAGGTAATCCAAAGATTTCAACTTCCATATTCCGTATTAACATAAAAAAACCCTACTTCCAGTGCGAGCTCCAGCTCAGGAATCTTGCAGTCGACTCTACAGCGCGCATCTGTAATCAGATGGAGAACCAAATGTTCTCGATGCTATCCATGTCAACCGATAAGGACAGCGGCATGGGCAGTCCCGTGGGCAGTTCCCGAAGTGAACGATACCGTCGAAGGCGTGGAAAAGCACATAGAACTGGCGTGACGACGGCAGGTCCAGCATTACCAAAGCAAACTAAGCAATTGCAGACACAGCCTGGCACTCTGAATCCGAATGAGCATCTTATGAATATTATAATGGCCCAGGATGAGACCATAAAGAGACAAATCTACCTGCTGAAGTAAGTTCGAATCTCTCGCACTCTCTCTTTCTGAGAATAGCTCTCCACGTTTCTATCTCTCACTGCAATCTCTAGTCAAAAGGAGCAACAAATCCTGAAGATTGAGGACGAAAAGCATCGAGCAAGGGCACTGAAGTTGGGTAAGAACTATATGATCGATACATACTTGAATGCACTAGGTAAAGCACCAGATAAAGAACTAGATGTACCTGGCTTTGAAGACCAGCTGGAATGCGTAAGAAGCTCCAACAAACTCGGGCCACAGCCCGCATGTAAGCAAGAAGGTAAGAGCTACAATGTAGGAATTACAATGTTTAGCACAGTTTTAGAACAGTTTTAGTGTAGTTAAAGAACCCAATAAATAATGAGTTGTACAATTCCTAACACTTTTAATATATTTTTAGTACTGCTTCACTTTTAAGTACATTTTTTGTTGTGCATTCGGAACACGTTTTACTATTTTAGTAAATTTCAATAAATTGTAGTTTCGTTTTAGATATATTTTAATTTTAGTAACTTTTTAGTACCAATTTTTGAACAATTTAAAATTATTATCTTTTGGTTCATCTTCAGTATTTTAGTACATTTTTAGTACAACTTCAATAAATTTGTATTTTTATGGCACCATTTTAGAACAACTTCAAAACAATGGGACAAATTTAGTACATTTTTAGTACCAGTATGGTATAAATTAAGTAGATGCTTGAAGTAACTTGAGCAAAGTTTTAGTATAAATGTCTATATTTGTACTCTTTTAGTACAATTTAAATGGAATTTTAGTACATAACGAGTTCTCAATAAAAAACATATATATATTTCTAGTAGATGCTAAACAACCCGGTGAGACATTTTCTAATATTTCGATAGATGCGAATATTTATTGGCTGGAAAAGGTTTACACGTTAAATATGCGACTGCAACGCGAGGAGGAGGAGTTGCTGCGTCTGCATGCCAAGGTGCGTAAGCATCAGATGCGCCACGCCTATCACACGAAGGACGAGGTGCTGCAGCAGATCGACAGATTGGATACGAGCTTGGCCAATCAGGTGAACGACATCTACAGAATAGAGCGCCAGTTGTTGGTGGCCAATGAGCAGCTGAAGGCTAAGTTGGGCGTACTCGAGAGCTTGGGCAATGAGCTGGAAGTGATGCCAACTGCAGATCACGAAGTGGCTGTTGCGACAACAGCTCTAACTCTCAAGCTCAATGAAGACCTGATCGCGCATCGGAAGTCCATAGCTGAGCATTTGATACAAAATCTACAGGAAAAGGAAGGAAGACAAAACTATGTCAAGAACCTAAGCAAAAATAATGCCAATGGCAGCGATCAGACGGATGCCAAATTGTTTAAGAAACAACTATTTTTCGCAGTCGATAATACTGAAACTTTAGATCAAAAGGAGGAACAACCCATGACAAGATATTCGTCAAGTACCGAAAGTAATACGCTTTTGACCTATTTCGAGGCTGACGTCGATATACAGAACTTTGGTACACTTGTTTAATTTATATAAATTGGTTTTTATAATAAAGCTCTTCGATGTAATGGGACTAAGCTTCATGTACTGTTACAATTTACATTGGTTCCAATCTGAGCAACGTTTTTGTATTATATCTTAAGAACAACCTGTATATATTCATTGTTAAGCGCAAATAGTGAAAAAGAGATTCTTGATCAATATTAAAATATAAACTTAAACAGAAATAGTTAGTAAAGTTTACACTAATTTATATAGTAGATTATTATTACTTTTCATATAAAAATGACACAGCATTCATGTGTTTATGTGTTTATGTGAGTGTATGTCATGCGCAAGCACTTATAACGGTGAATCCCCTAACAGTCGTTTGCTTAGTCTTAGGATTCAGAACTGGTTCATCATCGCTCGATGAATCTGAATAGCTAGTGTTTAACACTTTCGATATTTTATTAAGCTTTGCGTCCGTAACAGCTGGCGGCTCCGCCGGCGTTGACATTAATGCAGCTGTAATGAGCTGATGTGTGGAAGGCGCGTCCAGTCCTGGTTCCTGCTCGTTGAGCAGTCCGTGATTAGCCTCGCGCCTCTTCGTGAGCACAATGGCGCCGCTGTAGAGAAAAAGAATTGGCACCACAGCGACAACGACTACAGTTATTAGAAATGTTGTCATTTTCACCTCACGCTGACAGCATTTAAGATCCTTGGACCATAAAACGCGCGTTTTATTCATCTGAAAGATAATAATTGTTAACTGTGAAAACAGAATAAGAACATGTAGTTAACACTTACAATATCCTGCATGTCAAAGCATATTTTGCCTTTGCTCTCCTTGTCCAAATTCTTGTAAAAGTTGTTCATGACTATGTACTGCACGACACACTTGCTGCACTTATTGCTGGGATTTTCGCTCAAGCAGCTCGAGAATTCCCGATACGTGTTTGTGAAGATATCGGAATTGTTGTGTTTGAAGCACTCTGTTTATGGATTAGGTTCACAATGGATTAATCACTTAAATCATATGATTCATATTTGAATTAGTCAGTCTTACCATCACAATAGGCTCGGTCCCAGAGCCCCTGCATCAAACTTTGTGTGGTTGTTAGTATATTCAAGCGATCTGCATCTGTGTAGATCTTGGAACAGTTTTCAAATTTCATCAGATTATTGTATGCGGTTGACATTAGGTCAAATGTTACTTTGCATGCATTGCACAGGCGAATCTCATTTACAGGTAATGAGAACCTTGTGTTGCAGTAAATGAAGTCCTTTTGAGCGTTAGCCAATTCGCGCAAAAAAAGGTCACAGTTTTTGGATAAACTGGGCCTTGTTATGCAGATAACTATAATTATTAAAAGAAAAGTTCGCATCTTTAGACGAATGAATGCTGCTCAGCAGATAGTTGTTCACTGACGAATTTGTTGGTTTATGGTCACTCAAAAGTAAAACGCTAACAGTGCCATTTGAGCGTTACAGCTTTACTTTTTCTCTGCGCTCTTCATAATGGTTACTGCTGTTATTCGCATGTTACTTGCCCTTGCCTTTGCCTCTCTCTCTCTCTCTTGTTCTCGCTCTCTTTTCATACACGATTATTCTGCATGAGTTTGCATAGATACAGTTAGTTGTGTTCGAGTCGTCGGCGCACGGTGTTATGGGGCGTATTGAGCGGCACCGAAATTTTTCTTTGTTCATACAAAAATATTTTAATATCCGCGACGGACGTGTGTTTTGCGGACGGCAAGCTGAATAATTCAAATTGTTTGCCCAGGCAAAGTACACTACGGAGTAACCAAGTATTTTTTCTGTGTTTGTGAAGCTTATAAAGACCATTCCTCCTGGTCAAAAATGCCCAGGGAACTGCGCAACACAGTTGACCAAAATATTTGCTCAGACGACGCGTTTCTACGTACATAAAATAAGAAGAAAAAATAATGAATTAAGCCGAAACGATTTTTAACTATAAAAAACAATAACAACTGTCTGTTGGACCCTTTTTGAAAACAAAATTGCAATTTTAATGATATATGCATGAGAACATGTATACATAACTGTTAATTTGCAGATTTACAGACCTGAAAAAAACGCAGTTCGCTACGGAGTACACAAACCCGAGTTAAATATACATATGCAAAAAAAACATGACAAAAAGGAAATTGTTGCTAAATAATCATGTATTGTGCATATATGCATATCTATACATTCATATGTGTTGAAGTGAATGCAAAACAAGCTGCAAACGTAAACTTGTGAACGTGGACGCCACTCCTTTTGCGCAAAAAGAAAAAAAATTAAATGTAAAAAGGCGGCGTCGTCGTCGTCGTCTGTGCGTGGATAGAGATTGAGTGAGAGCTGCTGCGCCGGAGTTGAACTTCGCATATGCATACATACCAACAAGCATAGGGTGTGTGTGTGAGTGAGTGTCGGCAAATTTCTACAGAGCACATAGAACTATTGCTATTGCACACAACAAATTGTGATAGGTAGGTAAAGCGAATTAGATTAGATAAAAAAGTAAAAAATATGGTAAATATCGTAAAGCGGCATTTTAAATGCTTCTCTTCGGTCTTTGCCGCCTGGTCACACTGCGCAGAAGTTGAATACCAAGGCAACGCAATGCAAAATGCAAGCATAATTGTGATATATTTATGGCAACTGATCGAACAGCTGGCTCGCTACCTTGGGACACCTGGCCAAAAGCTGACACATTGCATTTACAGTTTCTTGAACATAAAACATTGCTCCTTTCCCTGTGTCGATACCGTTTTTGCAGTCGTTTTATAACTGGTTTTTAATTCGACTTGCGCAGTATTTGGTCAAACAAGCTAAAAAGAAACAAAAATCTCGCAAACAGCAAAAGGCTTGCCAGAGAGGGAAACTGTTGATCAACATAGCGGAGAGGAAGACAAAAAAGAGAGAGGGAGAGAGAGACAGTCGCTAACATTGCAAAAAAAAAAAAACAATAACATGAGTGTGATAATCTACAGCTTTCGCTTTTGCTTCTGTTCTTGCTGTTGTCTTAGGCTCTTGTCCGTTCTTTCTTTTGATTATGCTTTGTTATCGTGCAGTTGTTTTAATGGATCTTCGTGCTGCTCTGCTTGTTTATCGCGCATCGGGCTGCCTACGATTTATGCAAATGTGCAAAAGACTCCAATTACATTTATAGTTCCGCAACAAGAATTCAGCAACCATTGTGTTTGCGAGTGTATGAGTGCTTGTGTGAAGGCCACATTGTTGTTAGTTTCTATACTTGACATAATATGTATATGCATGTATGTGTAGTTTTGCACGCACATTAGTGTATGTTATTGCATGCATATCTGCCTATATATGTATGTTTGTATGTATTTCAATATGCACATGTGCATTCTCTTCCTACCATCGTGTCCACTATTTGGAGCTCTTCTTCCTCTTTGTTTATTTTTAGTGTAGAATTCTGGTTACAAAACATATTAATTTCATTGCCTCCATTTCAAAGTCGCTCTGTCTGTTGTTGTTGTTGTTTTGCTATTATTGTTTTTGAGGTTTTTTTGTTGTGTCTTCTTTCGCCCTCTTTGTCTTGCCGAAGCAGAAACAGTTGCGACGTCGATGTCAGCAACAGCAGCAGCAGTGGCTGCTGCTGTATTGTTTTTATTGCCTTCTCCGCCCCTTTCTCTTTCCTCCTCTCTCTTTCCACCAAAAAGTTTTTGTGTGCTTGAGGTTAATACTGGGTTGGGGTCTGCCCGCTTGTACATCGAGTCTGGTGCTGCCGTTTGTATTATATAAATATTGTTTATTTATAGATTACCGTTGGCTTGCACTTTGTATGTAGAATTCATCTTTTTAATTTGTCGCCAGTATTTAAATTTGTTAATCGCCTACGCTGGCGCCCATTAATTAGTCAAATGCGACTCGCAACTAATTGCAAATTATTCTTAATTAATGCTTGTCCAAAAAAGTAAAAATACTCAAATATAAACTTAGCGTATGCATAAATACATAAAATTAATACTCTATGTGGTAGCTTTAACACAGATCTCTCAAGGGAATAGAAGATAGAAGATCAAAGATTGAAGATAGATTCGTAGAAGATATACATATATTATACATATAAAAATTATTATATATCTTAGCCATTTGTGTCCCTGTGGCTTACACTGAGCTAAATTGCAACCTCAGATTCGCTGATTCGCTGAGTAATCAAATAAATTACAATTAAATTTAATATCTGCAGGAAATCGTTGTCCATGTAAGCTAGACAATAGTATTTCTATTGTCTGCAAAAGTCAACAAATATTTACTGAAACATAAATTACAGTTATGTGCAGTCTACAGATCAGGTTAATTAATTTGATTGGCAACAGTAAGCAAAGCTCTAAGTTTCTAATAAAATAAAAAAAAAAACAAGACAATTTACCATGCCGCTTGTTGTTGTAGGTAGGGCAAACAGTCGCTCACTTGGCTGTCCCGGTCGGAGGCAGTGACAAGGGCAGGGGCATGGGGCTAGGCGTTGGGCTAGAGGTGCCTACTCGTTCTTGCAAGCATGTAACGGCTGTTTCAAGTACTTCAACCTTTCTTGATGCTGTGCTTAGACAATGCAATGTCCACTTTTTGCAGTCGCAGTTGAAAATGAATGAGGCAAGATTAAGCAACTGTGGCATCAGCAGCAGCTGTTGAAACAATTGCCAACTGGCGAGAATATGTTGCTTATTCTGGGCTCTTATACTGTGTGGCATTTCTTGAGTGCAGCCATGCCCACACAAAAAGTGTGCGGCAAGGGGCAGACAGCAATGCAATTGCATAATGCGGGCCTTAAGTAATGTTTTTATGAGGAAATAGTTTCCTCTGTTTGCCAGAGTTGCTGCCGGATATAAAGGATAAAGGAATTATAACTAATCAAGGGTGACCTAATATTCCTGTATTTTTTAATATAATTATAAATAATTAAAAATAGGTTTAGCTATTTGGCCGACAACATTTGTACATACTTACAAAGTCGATCGATAATCATTTAATTTATTAGACTACCTAAGCTAATTCCGGATAAGCCCTGCATTGGGGCGACTCCTTTTTCATATTTGATGGCTGCGTGGGCTGCTTTCACCCCGAACATGTTGAAAATTGCCCATATTAGATTCGGTTGACCAGCGAATGTGAGGTGTGCGTTCGATTGTTTCGCTTTGCCTTCATTTATTAGCCAAATTGGCAGTTGACCAAGTGAACAGGAATTGATGTGTGCAAATTTATCAGCCAAAAAGGGTGCAAAGTGCGTGTCTGGATGCGCCTAGCCAATGGTCCAGGAAGTTCAGACGGAGCTTTTGCTTTATTGAATTTCATATATTTAATGCAGTACAGAGAGAGAGAGAGAGAAAGAGATAGACAGAGCAACAAACAGACAGAGAGAGAGAGAGAGTGAGAGAGAGAGCGAGCGAGCGAGCAAGAGAGAGGCTGTGCAGGAGAGAAGGTTTGTTGCTGAAGTAGACTTGCCTGGAGCGCTTCGCCGGTTACATAATGACAAAAACGTTGCTCATGACATTCCGTTGCGCATGGTTGGGCATGAGTGGATTCGGAATCCCGCAAGGGAGCTAGGTGGTCCGGGTTGGGAGGGCCGTGTGTTGTTGCTGTTGCCTCTGTTAAACTTTGTCTACCTTACTACCATTGTAGTTGCTCCGTTGTTCGATTTTTTTACATTTGCCGAGTTGCTTTTAATGTGCTTTTCTTTTCTTTTCTTTGCTATGCTATCCTGTGCATCTTAAGTTTTGCATTTCTAAGGGTTGTTTCTTGGCTTTGCTTTGCATTCTTACATGCACTTCGTGCTTTTTTTTTTTTAAGTTTAGTGCAGCTTCTGCAAAGTACAGTAAAACACAGCGGGCGCAAAGTGTAAAGCGTAAATTGTGTGCTTAAGGTTGACTCAACTTTGCACTCTCCGCTTACTACCCATGCTTCCATCCCTCTATTTGTAACAGCGGCTGCATTTCGACTAGCATTTGGCACGTTCGCAGCTTCTTTTTATTGCGGCTGCAGCCACAGCGAGTTAGAGCCAATTTATATAGATTTACACTGAAGAAAAAACGTGTTAGCATACGTATATTTCATTCAATTGAATCTATATGTATAAATAGAAAACAATTACGACTTCATTTAATTGAATAATTATTCTGATTGCAAGCGAAGATTCATACTTGAATAGAAACTGATTTTTAGCTTTGATTAGATTCGCAATAGCTCTTTGTTTGTTCACAGGCTAATTAACAAGCACCAAAAACTAGGAAGATTAATTTCTACTATGTGCTTAGACTATATATAACATTGATAAGATAGAGAGGCGTACGACAGTTGTCTGAGTCATGGAATCCATTATTGATTGAGATTCTCAGCCGTAGCAGACATGGTGACTATCACGCGGCTACTGTTTGAATTTTGATACCCTCTGTAGAAAATTGTTTGGGGTATATTGTTTTAACACAAATATACATATTGCGGACGGATAAAGATCGCAAATTCAGTGATAAGCTATGTCTGTCTCTGAATATCAGGTAAATGGTACACCTCTATCTTATCATTCATACGTAAAGAACCACAAAACCAATATACTCTTCTCACTTCGTGAACGTGTATAATCTTTCATGTTATTTTAGCCAAGTTGAGTTCGGAGCTGGCAAAAAGTTTTTCAGACCAATGAAGCAATTATAAACTAACAAGATCGATTTATGTTCTTATAATCAATTCCCAAATCAAATTGCAATTTGTCACAGTAAACGAGAAGATTTGACGAAGAATCGAGATGAGAAAATATTGATTTTTAATTTGTTCGTGATTCGTTCGTTGTTTATGATTGTTGCTTGAAGCGTATCAATTGAGTATAAACGCTTTAATGTAATTTGGTTAAAATTGCTTTTCGACAATGTCACGCTCTCACTTTACGGATTACGCAGAGAGGGAATCGACTCTCGACTCTCGACTCTCGACTCTCGACTGTCAACTGTCGCCTCACGACACGGCTTGACTTGGCAACTTTTCGCTTTCGATTTTAAACTGTTACCAAATGTGATCCAGCTTGGTAGTATATAGTTTATATAATTCACAGTTGTATCAAAGATGTGTTGAGATTTTAAGGCTAATAAGAGAGTAATTTAATATTTGATTTTCTTAGACTTATCTTATTTCTTTATGGGAATTGGCCGAACTATAACATGAAATTATCTATTTGTAGAGAAGGACAAAAGATAGATAATAATAAGGATAAAACTTAAAGATAAATTCACTATCTATCAGTGGATTCCACATTCAGCTTCATCTGGTTTCTCTAGTAAAACTGTATACATTAAGATAGCGACTGCTTAAAACCAATATACTCGATTCGCGCGGTGAACGAGCATCAAAATCTCTGATCGTCTGTAATCGATTAGAGTGACGGATCTGCTTGTTGGAAAGCGTATATCCGCATTTTTGCGAAGACTTCAAGCCGATTGACTTGTCTGGCTGAGCTGAGCAAAAGCTCCTTGTTGCGTCCGCTTTCATGGCGGGCGCTCTCAGGGGAGTCCACAGAAAGCGGTGGAAGAAGTCCTATTAGTGTCAGGTTCATTGCCAGCCATTCAACTCAACTTAGCTGCCGTTGAAGCCGCAAGTCAACTAAATCGGCATTTTAAGTGGCTAAGTAAGTCGTGCAGTAATACTTAACTAAACAAAATTTTATACTTTCAGTCGTAAGATTTAGCCGTGAGTCTGGTTTGCAATTGCAGTCGAAAAGGCGAAAATTTCAACTACAAAATTGATAACAATTAAATGGGAAATTATAATTTTTTTCCCATTCAATAATTTTGATTCTATTTTTTTCTAATTTATTTTCTTTTGCTGCCTAATTTACAAACAAATTGCAGTTTGTTATTTATGTATTCACAGTTAATTAAAATGGAAATGCCGCCATGCCCACATTTAATACAACATTTACATGGTACAGCGCGCAGGCAATTTATGTTATGAGAAACATCGAATAGACATATATGCAACCTGGTCTAAACGGTGTAATTAATGGAAAATATCGTGAGCTCGTTCAGGTGTAAAAGACAAACGAAATATGATAGCTAGAAGGAGAGAGATAGAACGCGAAAACCGATAATCGAAGTGAGCTAAGGGAACGTGTTCTGCAATTTAACTTTCTGTTAGAATTTTTAAGGTTCTTATTGGTAAAATTAGATCAGCTTCATCAAATGTAGCTCGAGCTCTAGATATATTTAATCAGTTCTAATAGATTATAATTAACATCTAGAAATCAGCAGCAGCTGCAGCTTAATAATTGTCATTTAAGCTAATGTCTAAGCATTGCCCATAGAAAAGAGAACGCCTTTCTACTGACTTGACCCGATTCAGTGTTTGATTGCAACACAGATACGCTAAATGACATCGAGACGCAACATAATGTGTTGATTGCCTTGTCTTATGGGTTACAATCCAAATGCTGCTGATGAGTCGATGATATAAAGCTAACTCTGGCAATTTGTTGTTGTTGCTGGCTTGAAGAGTTTCACATGAAGGCCGCTGGCCAATTCAATGAGTGTGGGATTTGGAAATGACTACTTTTTATGTGTGTGTGTGTGTGCGTTTTTTGACGATTTAAGCCACTTGTCTTCGCTTTGTTTTGCACTGAGCCAACATGTTGAGTATCTCGCTTTTTATCATAGCCATAAAAAAGTATGTAACTCGAGGCGCTGCGATAGGGAAGTCTGATAAATCTTGTAAATTACATTGAAGACTGCGTGCTCAGGTGTGTGGCTCTTCGGGCTCTACGGCCGTCTGGTTCTGTTCTAGTTGTTTGCCACATGGTCACGTTGACTTTTTATGGCATCGCCGGTTGACCCATGCGAACAAGTTGTTCATGACCTTTTATGGTGCTTTCTGTACATAGCAAGTCGAAACCAAAACGGAAGATGATTCCATGACAGGTTTACTTTTAAGGTGTAGGGGATCTTAGTAAATAGTTAGAGTTAACTATTCCGAGAAGTTGCTTTATATGAAATAATCCTCATAGTTTAGCCGAAAGTCGTGTGACCCACTCGATGTTAGTGTAGCGACTTTTGTTTTCATTTCTGATGGCTATTGAAATTTGTGGCTATTTGTTGCTGTTTTTGTTTTTACTTATTGGAAGGCTTTCAGTTGAGGCGTCAACGCGTTTTGTATAAGAAATTTGCAGCACTTTCTCTCTCGCTGCTGTGGGTCTCTGTGTGGTGCTCTGCGGTGCTGTGGGCGCTGCCTTGGGCATTCAACCTCTGATCGCATTGCTTCATAGAGCCAAAGCTGCGAGACTTGAACAAATGGAACTAATGGCTTCCGTTTGAAATACTTCAGAGCCAAGTCAAGACGAAAGAGCCCAAAAAATAAAAAACTCATTTTGACTGCCTTTTTTGGCGTTGCTTCGATAGGCGCACACAAAAATAATGTGGCAATTCTGTTGAGTTCGTTTTGCTAGGCGCGGTTCAATGAACCGCGCGCCAAGTTTTCTTCAACTGCAAGCAAAAATTTAATTTGTTTCTGTTATTTTGTTTTGCAGAAATTTGCATTTACAACAAACAAAATGCTTGGAACGGCGGTAGCTTGATTAGCAAACAGCAAGAACAACAAAAAATTAACAACAACGAAAACGACGCTCGCCACGCTTGGGTGCCATCAGCTGGGAGGAGTAGGTGGGACAGCAGCAACAGCAGCAGCAGCTATTACAACTATCAACACCTGGAATTAACACAGCCAAACACAATTGCAATGCCAAAACTTTCTACAGACGCTAGCGCTTAGCTGTTGGGCATAACCCCAAAACTAAAGTCAATTCGAAAGCAACTAACAACAGCAGTTAAAACAGGACACAGAAATTAAGACAGGTGAGCAAGCATCTGAGTATTATCCGCTTAAAATAACAATTCATTAATATGGATCTTTGATTGAGTGTTATAAGTCTGCAAAATGTCTTGAAGGTGCGCCAGACTGATGGCTGCACAGATATGATTACGCGTTGGCAGAACAATGAGTAAATCTTGATAGCTTATGCTGGTTAGAAAAGAAACCAAATATAATTGATCTTAAGACTAAAGATCTTAAGTCTTATTAAGTATGCTAAGCCTTAACGAATTGTCACTAGATTAGTAGGAACAGAGATTACTTCGTTTTAAATATCTAGGCAGGCGTTATTATGTAGTGATAAGGCAACAGTCAACAATTAGAAAACAAGTAGAAAATAGACAGTAAGTAGAACGGAAGAAAAAGCAACATGGAGCAAACAGCAAGCGTCGAAAAAGAGCCGGAGAACAGAATGTGGTGCTGTGCCTGGGGCTTGATCAAGCGACAACAGAATGACCAATGTTCCGAGGATGAAGACGGATTTACACATACCAAGCTCAAGCCCAAGGAGTTTGTCATTACGGGCGGCATTCAGCCTCAACTCAAAATTGTTCACATTTCGCCCAGCGAGGAGAATGTCTTTCCGCATGAGTACAGTCATCAGCTGCCCGGAATGGGCATACATAACGTGGCGTTAAGTTCCGATAATAATTGCATCTCTGCCGTCTCTATGGATGGCAATTTGATGCTGCTTAATGTTAAGGGTGGCGTACGCTTGCCACGGGTCAATCATTGTCACGTTAGTAACTTCTGGTCAACGGCTTTCAGCCGCAACACCGACTGTGTCTATGCGGGCTCGGGCAGTGGACACATTTTCAAGTATGACACTACGTTGGGTAAGCTGCAGCACAGCTATGACACGGATCGCTGTGAGAATGTGATGGGCTTGGCCATCAGCGGCGATCAGCGTTTGGTGGGTGCTACCGACTATGCGGGCAATTTCACACTGCTCGACGGCTCCACGGGTCAGGTGCTGCGTCGCCGCAACTATAAGAAGCCGCTGCGAAGATTAGTCTATGATCACAGCATGCGCCACGCATTGGCTGCCTGCGATGATAAAACCATCAAGGTAATCGATTTGCCCAGCGGCAGACTGCGAGAGAGTCTGGCGGCACACGATGCGTTTGTTATGTCAGTGGCTGTATCGCCCGATGGCTTGCGATTCGTTAGCGGCGCATACGATGGCTCCATCAAGGTGTGGGACGTCCGCACGACAAAGAGCTCGTTGTCCTTTCATTGTGGCAGCAATTCGAATCTATGGGACGTGGCATTCAACAAGCTGAACAACAAGATCAGCTTTGTCGGCGACGGCAAGGGCCTTAACATTTACTACTGTTTAGGTAATAGGGAAATGATGCTTGTCTAGAGTCATCTATTTTTTTTATGTATTGTGAAAAATGTTGCATATTTTATGAAAAAAAATTGCATGTATCTAGTTTTGAAACATTCACACAGAATACACACCATATTGTCCTGCAAAGTGAATTTAGATGTCAAGCTTATGCATTTGACGGTTGGCGGCTAACAGTTGACCGTTGCGGTGCTACTAGAATTCCTGTTTAATAATTCAGGTGAGCTCTTTAGCTACTAGTCGTTATCTAGCATTTGGCATCTGCTGTACGCCTTCATCATTGCATTGACCATTTCAATTAAGCGTCGCATCCTTTGATTCGTTCGTGATTTGCGGTCATATTCATGATATTGCGTTGGCAGATGCCAGGCAGGCGAGATTAATCACTTCAATTGGCGAGTTGGCAAGTTGGCCTCATCCATGACTGGGGCTTTAGGCCCGACACACAAACAACTCCACGCCGCTCTTGGCCAAAACCACAAAGTAGAACCCACTTGAGCAGACTTGCCAACTCGTTTTCCCACCATTAAATTGGCATAATTTGTCGAACAAGAACAGCCGACAACAGCGAAGGCAACTTGTTATACCCATTGAAAATGTGAGTTTTTGGGTATGCTCTTCCGGTAGGCAAAAGTCGATTCCTAGTCAAAGACTCAATATAAATAACTATTTCAAATTAATTTCTTTAGTACATATCTTCTAGATAGTTTAGCATACCAAAATTGTAATCAATATTCACTTAGACTTAGACTAGCTCAAATGCGCAGCTCTATAATCTAGTCGGACTGTCGACTGGCATCAAACTTCCAGCTCTGGGTATAATCTAGTCGGACACTGCCGACTAGACAACTCTTACTTGTTTTTTCCATTGCTGTTGTTGGCTTTGTCGTGTATCAAAAAACACTTTTTGAATTGTGAATTCTGTGAATTGTTTTGCTGCTGCCGTTGTGTCTTGCCTACGCGAAAATTCTTTCGAGTTGGCAGCGAATACATAATTCTCTTGCTCTGATATCGCGAAACTCGAATGCAATCAGAATGAGACACAAAACAATAGACCAAAGTCAAATGAAGTCTGATGAAATCCTGGGAATTTTGGACTGTTGAAATATGTAATAAAAGAAATGAAATTTAAATATGAATTCTAATTGGATATTTGATATAGATCAGTTAGATACTAACAATTGAAGTGAATGCTAATTAGATATATGCGAAGTGGGTTTTGTTCACTAAATCATCTTATGCAAGTCGAGTTTTTACCTTTTTTAGCTTGCCACAGCAAGTACTCGAGCTTAACTTTTTGCTACCTCACTAATTGCAGTCAATCTCCATGGTAACTGTTCTCACCTACACCTTGTTGCACCTTTGGCAATCTATCGTCAATCTAGCTGGGAGCTATTGTTCATTGTTGACATTGTTTCTCTCTTTCTTGACACAATTATATCATACGATATCGTGTGCTATTGTTGTTGCTGCTGTAATTGCTGTCAGAGTTGACGGCACGTGTTGCCTTGAAGTTTGAGCTGCTTTTCTTTTGGCTATCCTTGAGCATTGTCGAATATAACGAGCGCAATTTAACGTTTTTCCGACTAATTAGTATTCGTGCAAATATTGGGCATTAGTATTGCCATTAGTATGACTGCAAATTATTATGGCGCAAAGTGTAAATATGATCAAGTAGCTTTCGTTTGTTTGCCCAATATGAGTTGTGTTTACTCGTTAATTGTTGTGCTCCACATTTGATTGGGTACAAACTGTGTGTAATATTATATGCTCATCATGAATTGAGCTGTCGATGGGTAATGCATTATTCAATTTGCGTGTCTTCGTGGCGCAGCATTTCCCTGTGGCACTCGCGTCGTATACGTGATATCTGAATGCAGCTACCGCAGCACGTTTTATCAGCTGCGCTTATCTCGCTTGTCTCTTACTCTCCTGCAATGTAGCAACAATATAGTCAGCATAGCCAGATCAGAGACTATTTTTATCTCAGCTCTGTTTGGTTTTATCTTGTTCATGGCCGCAAATGGCATAACAACTTTAGCTGAGATTAGATAAACGCAGCGCAGCTCGTGCCGGGCTCAATGTGCCTTTTGTCTATGTGTGTGTGTGTGTGTGTGCGTGTATCAAAATCAGCTTTGGTCTATATTTCTTTGTTCTCTTGCATTGTAACAAGTTTTGTGCCCAACTTTGTCTGCTTCCACATAGTGCACAATTCTCTGCATTGTGTGTTGTGTGTGTCGCGTGTGTTGTGTGTGTGCGTTCGCTATCTGTGCCATTTGTTTGCTTCTCTCCGTCATTTATTGTTGCACTCGTATTGACTTTGTGATAATTTTGTCATAAACCAAATATACAACTCAAAAACAAGTGACTTAATATATTTGTGTATATATAATAATAATAATAATAATAATAATAATAATAATAAAAGTGTTTCATTATTCATTGTGCTCAACTACTATGTGCATTGGTTGTTTAATTTACTGTTAGCTTTTGCTCTTGTATAATGCAATTATTCAGCATTTTATTGAAAGTTCAGTTCTGATAACACTTTCCATAGAACACTTTTATTTTCATACTCGTTCACGAAGTCAAAGGAGTGTATTAGCTTTTTTAAAGTACGTCTCTCTCTTTTGAAACTAGACAAGCTTAAAATTAGAAATATGTTTATTATTTATATAAATTTGATTGAACAACGCGAAATACTATAACTTATCTAAGATAAATTATATGAAATGTTGAATTTATGCTCGTGTAGAGTAGCCAGATCTAAAGTATTATATCTACTATATCTTCGAATATTGGGGGCGTGGCAAATTGGCTAAATCCTTTGCAGTTTCTTAGCCAGAGCTGCAAACGTATTGAGTGAACGAGCATTATGCAGTCGATGACGCTCGTCTGCTACAGTTTCATTTGTTGTTATTTTGACTGATTACTCACGCCCTGGCAATCGCTGTAGCGCACTCTAAGACTCGCTTGGGCCCATCTATAAATGAATACCCATACATTAGGTGTACCGATAACAGTTACCTTTGCCATATCAGGGGAAGCAGAAAACAAAAAAAAATAAACGAAAACAGAAAATAGCTTTCAATGTCGATGCAAAAACATTTGCTTGCTTTGCACACCTCACTCACTCTCTCTCTCTCTCTCTCTCTCTTTCTCCCTGTTTGAATTGCTCTCCCTCTCTCTGTCTATTTCTCTCACTTTGACCCTATAGCTGCCAACGCCTTTTTAGCAGTCTTTAACGAATTTTGGCTTAGTTTGATAGTAAACGTTGCCAAAGACTTTCACACACAGTGCTTAGCTCTCGATCTGACCCACCCAGGGAAACTGCGCTTGTTAATAAAAACAACAAAAAATAATAATAAATATAGCATTAAATTATATTGAAAGCAGAAAGTGAAAAGTGTAACGAAAGTTAAAGCAAAGGTGCAATAATGGCACAGGTAAAATTCACGATTTTGTCACTAAAGGCAAACGATTTTGTGATATCAATCAATTAGTCATAGTCAAAATTTAGTTATATTTTAAGTTTACAATCAAGTTTCATTCATTACTTTTAGATCAAGTATGGAGAATTTTAGTTCCAAGTTTATCAGTTACCACTACTTTTTTTGACAATGTCATAATTATTATTAATTGAATTTGCTCTAACTATTTTTCTTCTATTTTATTAGTTTATTACTCTTAGACCCAATATGTGTAGTTTTAGATCCAATAGACAGATTTTTTTCATTCTGATTTTCTTTCCTTACCAACATGGACATAATGTTATTTAACTAAATTTAATTTAATTTATTCATTATTTTTAGACCAAGTATGAACAGCTTTAGATCAAATATAGGTGATTTTTAATTTATTTTAGTTTATTACGTTAGGTCTTAGTGTCAGAGCTAATAACTATCATTAGTCATAGTCGAATCGGAACGTTATCTAATTTCTATTTGTTCTCTCTTTTAGATCCACTATGGAGAAGCCCATGCAGCATGCGCCCGCTCCCGTTGGGAAAGTCTCTCAGATTGCCAACATCTTTCAGCGAAAACCCATTGAAATTCAGCCGGTCGAGCAGCTGAGTGCCGTTGCAGCAGCTCACGCAGCAGCAGCCGCTGCAGCCGCGGCTAATCCAACAACAAACGTGCGCACCGAATCCCACTCGGCCAGGTTTAACAATGCTCGTGCACTCTTCGAAAAGCTGGGCGTGGAGTCTACAAACACGAATGTGAGCACACGTCTGATGCGCAGCAGCTCACGCGAGGATAATCTATACGAAGGCTCAGATCGTTCCTCATCGCGCTCCTCGGATCGTTCACAGTCGCCGCCGAAGCGACGCATACCATTCCCATCCGGCGCCAGCCTCAACCAGAGCAACAACATTTCACAAAACTGCACGGATCGTTTGAATAACAGTAAATTTATTGTGGATCCTACGCCAGCTGTCAAATATCCGCAACACAATCTATCACGACTGAAGTCGGAGGAGTTGAATACAGTGGCCGTGGCGCCGCCAACGACTGGTTCGGTCAGCGCACTCTTTGCCAGCGGCGGCGGAGGCGGCGACAAGCCGGAGAAGCCCGAACGCAAATTCAATTCGAGGGAGCTCATCGAGAAGCAAAAGAAGTGGACCTCACACTTCACCAAGACAAAGACAACACGCACGCACAGCGATCTCAATCGTTGCGATATAATACGCACGGTGCCCGGCACGGGACTAATTATGGATGTTGAGCGGACACCCAAGGCCAGTCCGGAGCTGCGACAGCATGCGATTGTGGTTGCCGGGTCGACACCCGGTGCCACACCGCCGCCGTCCTCAATTCCACCCGAGATTAAGCCACGAAGTGGCAAGATTGGCAGCCCCGTCAAGTCGCCCCCCTTGCCGCCCATTCCAGCCGTTAAGCCAAAGAATGTTAGTCCCGTTAAGTATAACGCAGTGACTACTAAATGCGCCGAGGCAGCGCCTCCGCCGCCACCAGCTAAATCGGCAGCTGTGACGGCGGCCATGCAACGTTCAGCGCTGCTGCAACAGGAGCAGCAGCAGCAGCAGCAACAACAGCAGCAACAACTCAGTGCACCTGTGCCACCTGAGAAGCCACGTAAAAAATCCATTGATCTTATTGAGGATGCAGTGCCAATAACTTGCTCAACGCCCTCGCCCACCAGTTCGATGAGCGCCCATCTGCAAGCAGCCAAGCGAGGATCTATAGACGCACCTGTCTCTGGAGCACCTTATGCAGGTAACAGCAATGGCCTCAGCGGCAGCACCAATTCGGCAACATCTGCCTCGCCAGATCAGGCCAGCGCAGCGTCGGATCCCTCCTCGCCCGTTTGCACGGAGGATGAGAAGCAAGAGAATGAATCCACTGAGAAGTCGGATAACGAGCATTATCAGAACAAATATAACAGTGTGCCAAGGCGACGCCGACGCAGCGACAACGAAGGTAGGCTCGAAATTTATGATTATTTTTTTATCCTTATGTGGTTGGCTCTATAAGGCAGACTCGAGTCTCAGAAACAGAAATAACTGAAATGCCTCTCTAGCTGCCTGTGCGAATATATACTTGTGTCTAAGAAAGGCAGATGAAAATATGAAGTGTCCATAGCTAGATATATATATATATATATATATAGCTTACAGAGTTTTGTTGATTAACACTTGAGAATACTTGATTTTCTCTATATATCTACGAGCTCTGGGAACGTAGGAAATCTGCTCTCTATAGAGCTAGGACTATCCAGCTGCTTCTTCTGCAGACATGTCCTATGTTATACGGCTCATCCGTTGAGTCGGAAAACAGCTGAACGAGTATTGTGCAGTCGGTTGCAACATGCTCAGTTGTTGCAGCTGAGTTCAAACACCTCAACCGATGTCTGTGTGTGCTAAGAGCCCCTGGGCATAGTTGTAGACTAGAGAGACATGGAGTTCGAAGTGAGCCGACGTTAGTTTGTGCGCACATTGGTCGCCAGCTTGCTGCCCTTACAGCCAGCCCATCGTTTATTGTAACATTCTTTTTAAACTGCGCACAATTCGTGACTGCAATCGCCCGCCCCTTGTGCGCCTCCCCCCGCCGTTTATTGTAGTTTGTTGTGAGGTAGGGGCAACGGCAGCGGTAGCGGCATAGGCAGAGGCGCATTCCAATATGGGTCAAACACAGCAGGCATATCAAATGCAGCCCCCACGGCTCGAGCAGCAGCAACTGCAGCATTCCAAGCTCTATGCTCGTCTCCTCCTCGTCGCCAGGTTCTTCAGTGTGCAATGCAATCTGCTGTCGACCATCTCGCTGCGTCTGTGTGTGCGACGACTTGGCGGATTTTGTTGGGATTCTCTTGATATGGCCAGCAATCGACTGAGACGCAGCAGTTTGCCTCTCCCGTTCCCATACATGAAATTGAATTAATTCTAGATTAAGAATTCAAAGATGCGTTGTTCTTGCTGCCTTTTGCCACTGCTGATTACTAAATTGAGCTACGAAAGAAACGGCTAGATCTGGCTAGAGTGGCATCACTGCTCCTAGCAGTGATAATACTCGCTGAATGCCGAGCTATGCACATGCGACCTGCCTATCTGCGCAGCTGTTTCTAGGAAAGCGAAATCGAATGGAGTGCATTGCGGCCTGCAACATTTTTTAATTCATAATTCTTAAGTGCTCAGCGCTGTGTGGGCGTGGCCTTACCTTGATTCTTGATCACAGAGTTGATGCTGCTGCTGCTGCTGTTGCTGCTGTTGTTGAAGACAAAGCAACTGGCAGGCATTATCACTTGCAATTGACTTGGGGTAACATACCCTGTCTTCATCTTGACTCCATTGAGCCCCATTGAGGCCGTGAATTATGATGTTTTTGTGATTTAATATTTTGTGTTTACGAGAACTTATCCGATTTGCAAGCTAAAAACATTTAATTTAAACAGCTTTACTTAGATCTTAATTATAATATTCTTATTAGAATTTATATGCCTTCGCGTATAGCTATAGAATTCGCATAGAAAGAAGCACACATGAATGGGAACTGAATTCCACTGGCAGAACAGGAGGGGCGCCCGTAGGTAGGGTGGCACCCGCTGAATGGGGCTGGCTACCAGTCGCATGAGTCTATAAATAAAACAAAGAGGACTTTAGTTGAGCACTGACACAGGGGCAGGGTGCTTAAGGGCCAGTGCAGCACTAATATCAAAGCAAATCCGCTATTCTATGTCTATTTGAAAATATATATCGTGTCTGCCAAAACGTTTGACAGCTTTGCTCCACTTTATGTTTTCTATGCGTATATATAAATATATAATTAAAGAGACAGAGAATCAACGTCGAGTACGAAGACAGATGTGCCTTGTTTTTGGTTAATCCATTCAAACATTCAACCATATTGACATCTTAGAGAGTCTGTTGTCTGTCTGTTTGTCCAGAGACTAAGCTGGAGAAACGCTGCAGCTGTGACTGAAAGTTTCTAAACAGGGTGCAACAAGTTTTTAGCGTGGACTCAAACCACATCAATAGAGGCTGGTCTTAGCAAGTGCAACAACCAGTACAAAGCTTTTAACATTTCATTGCCGCTAGATGGCGACAGCTGCTCTTATTTCTTAATACATTTTTTGTTTTTTTTTTTTTTCATTTGAATTTATGAATTTAGGCCAGCATTATCAAAGAACAGACTGACTAAACTTATATATGTATATAAGGAGGTTTATGTGTAAATCGAAAAAAAGTACAGGGCATTCATTAGTCCATTACGCACTATTTAGTGTGTACTCCTTGAGGTCAATGCCCTCATATTGCGTGAATTTTTGACAGCCACTTCGCTTAGTTGTTGGACATATTTATGATTTAGATGTTTGCCCACCCAAGCAGCATTCCCTGTTGCTTTTCTTGAGTGGGAAGCTCAGTTTTTCCATAACAAATGTGTACGGACCCCTGTTTTTTCTTGCGCTGCTCGTTGTATTACAAACTTAGTTCTGAAAACCCGAATTCTCGAAAAAAAATTATGCCTAGTGAAAAATGCCTAGTGTCTGTGACACCCTGTGACTCTGTGCACCCTGTGAAGCGAAACTTTTGAGCTGTCTGGCTGCTGCTTGTCTGCGAATCCCCCAAACGGTGGGCAGTTTGCCAAAAAGTGCGAACATAGAGCGAGAAAGAGAAAGAGCGATATATATATAGAGAGAGAGAACAATGTGAGAGAGTTGCTCATTTGCAACTGTAGCCGATCAAAAAAAATTCTTTCAATCTTACAAAATTTTGCGCTTGATCATTTTAGTTAATGTCGCGTTTCGGTGGCGTTTCCATTGATAAAGCAACAAGAATTCAAAATAATTTGATGCTGCGTTCGCATTTCAATTGCCCAAAATATTTCGTTCATTTCGTTTAAAGAAAACTAAAAACCTAGAAATAATTATTAAAAGATAAATTGTGATAAAAAAAATTTCAAATCCAAAGACGAAGCATTGTAAATATGGAATCAATTGTGTTGTGCGTTTTCAGATGATTTGCCAGTGTCAGAAAAGAAACGCGATTAATCGCTGGCATTATCATGGACATGTGTTCGAAGCGTGATTGAATATTACTCGAGATGTTCGATATGTGTTTAGTTTTTTTCTATTTGAATGAAGGTTGCACATTATGCGTTGATTATGTGAGCGGCAAGTTGAAAGTATAGTAGATATGGGCACAGATTTTTGATTCCCAACTGGGAACTTAGAGATATTACAGAGGATGCGATCAGCGGAATAAAGGCGAAATGGATTTTTAGGCTATTCTCATATATTTCATAATTGATTTTTAACTCAATGAAGATATGGTATATCTTTGATACTTTTATTGCGCTTCTAAAGGTCTTATAAACCATAGAGCATATTGCAAGGGCTCGTCGAAAAGTATGTGTCTAAAGTATTCAGTTGGTTGTAGTTTTGGCATTATTGCAACATAGCAACAAGCTCAAAAATAAAACAAACAACAACTATGAAGGCAAGTTGCGATGCTTACAATTTTAGAAATTCATTCTAAATTTGTCTAGCGACAGAAAAGAAACAAAAAGAAGTAAGAATGTTGCGGTGGGCGGGCGCCAACGACTGCAAAACACTCGTTCACGGTTCAAAAACAGGTTCGAAAGGAAGTTTGCATTAACTTAACTAACAGATATTGCAGCTCTATTTGCAATTTTGCCTAGATATACCTGTGTTTGCATAAAACCAATATACTCTTTTGACTTCATGAACGAGTGTAAAAAGAGTCAATGGCTAGACCAATTTGTTCGCTATTGTTGATGGATAAACTTTTCCGTTTCGCTATAAAACGTTTTGTTTTTTAATTTTTATATATATTTTTATCATGCTTTTGGCATTTCTCTGTTCTGCGTCGATTCGAAATTATTTATTAATGTTTTGTTGATATTGAGCACATCTGAAAAATTGCCTTTGCGCTTAGACTTGCATCATTATTTCAATTGGAAGCCACTTTTCGCCTCTCAGCTGGCCTTCGCTCTTACGTTTATTTGTTATTTTTTCCTTCTGTTTACTAATTGCTTATCAAGTCTATTTACTTGAGCGGAAATGCATTTACTTTGGCTATGTGCATTCGAAAGCGACCTCATTCTCTTCATTGACACGCATTCGCCCTTGCCATTCGCTTTTCTCACTCTTACATTAAGTATTCATGATTATTTAATTGAGATACGGTTGATAACTAATTGGCGTTAACTATACTCAAGGGTATGTGTCCTGTGCCAAGTTCTAACTATTTAGAATTGCTCGTTCCTTTGGGTCAGTCTACGATAACCAAATGTGGAAACTACTTGCTCTTTTGCTTGGCTTGTCTATCAGCTCCAGCTCGGTATTCCAAAATGTCATCGACCTGGCAGACAAAAGTTGAGCTACAAGTTAGCCGTCGAAACAAAAACGCAGCCTTTATTATGCGCAGTGATGTAGCCAAAGAGTTCCTGGCACTCACATATAACTCTGAGTTTGGACGTCCCACCTATCATATTGTCAAACAGTATCTAAGATCCCTGCCGGCCACCTATATCCTGCCGATGGGTTCACCATTTCGCTATAAGTTTCAGAGTATGTTAAGTACCTTCTATGAGCATGGGTTCTTCGAGTATTGGTGGCGAATGGATGTTCTTCAAAGGAGTCGGAGCTCATACCATTCCGACGAGTTTTTCGATGAACTTGATGAGCAAGCGGACCAGGAGGATGCAGCAGATACGGCAGAATGGCGCAAAAAACGAGTGGTTCTCACTTTAGAAATTCTGCAGGGTTCGTTTTACTTGTTGATTATTGGGCAACTTCTGAGCATTTTCGCTTTTATCATGGAGCAGGGATATTTTCACTGGCGTCGGCCAGTAATCAACGTTTAATTCGAATTGCGAATCTTGAGAATATTCTTTCTTCTAGCGCTGAACCATGTCAAATCTAATTGTAATTCGCTTTTAATAGCGTCGTGTGTGAACTAAAAACAACTGCGATTTAAAATGTGCCTCAGCATACGAAAATTATTCGAAACCTGTCGAGGTTAGTAAAAGTGTTTTCCTCCATTATTATTTGCAATAAAAGAAGTGGAACATACTATCTAACTATATCTATTTTTTATGTTAAACATATGTACATATATATGTGACTTTGCCTCTTGGGAGGTCCCTCCTATTGTTGATTAAACAAGCCATTTATGTTTGATTTATTCCCATCGGCTGTTCATACTATGTATATGTCTGACCGTCCTATTTTATGGTAACTTCTAGTCGGTCAGTCCTAGCGCAATCACTCTTACTTTTTAGTTTTTTTATTGCTTCTTAATTGAATCAACACGCATGTTTAATTGACATTAATTTGGTGGACAAGCATTTAGAATCCTTCTCAACTTGTTCAGGAGCTGTTAAACAGTCACCGCAACAACAATGTGGGCGCTATTCGGTCTTATTCTCGGATTATCCAACTGCACAGCGACTAACGCTTCAGCTGCTACACTGGGTCTATCGGAGATTAGCTGTCGCATTGCCAAAACGGAAGCAGCTCAAATCACCTACATCTATCGCTGCGTTAGCTGCCTTGCTTCTAACTCTGTTTCCTATCTGGAGTTGGAGCAGGATCTACACCTTTGCATTGGGAGTCAGTTGCCCAGCTGCGTGCGCAGCTTGGAGGCTCATGAGGTCGAACCAATTCGTAAGCCGAGCAGCATGAATATCTTCCTCATTCCTGCTGGCGACGCGGGTCAGCCTCTGGTACATCGAATCGTGGACATGCTGAATCCACGACAGCCACGCCGGCATTTCCATAAATATTTGTTCGTTTGGCCGGAAGCTAGCGAGGAACAGCTAAAGGAACTCTTTGAAGGTTGTTGGAGTAAGCAGTTGCTGTTTGCCCTGGCCATTACCGGACCAGATACTGTCTACGATTTCCATCCGTTTGGAGAAGAGGGCAAGCAGCTCACAAAGTTGATGCCAAACACTGATGTCTACTACGTTGATAAGTTAACTAATTTGAGAGGATTCGAACTCCGCTTCTCAATGTTCAGTCATCCTCTTCGGGCTCTGGCTTTAAATCCAGTTGAAAGCAAAGGTTACAATGCCACAGACGGCAGCGTTGCCCGACTTATAGCCAAAACACTGAATGCCACAGCTCGGTATATTACACCTAGTGATAATGAAGCTTATGGACGTTGCCTTCCGAATGGCAGTTTCACGGGTGTCGTCCATGATTTAATGAATGGTTCGACCCACATTGGACTCAACATGCGATTCGTGCTAGAGTGCATTTCGCCACACGTTGAAAGTCTATATCCTTATAGTCGAGCTGACATCTGTTTGGTGGTGCCTGCCGCGGGAATGCAGCCAGAGTTCCAGATTTTTGCCACTGCCTTCCAGAGATCCGTGTGGCATTTACTACTTGCGAACTTCCTTATAGCTCTTGTACTCTTTGCCGTATTGCAGTTGCTGTTGGAGAAAATTGTCGGAGAAAGGCGCTGTCATTGGTACGATGTTTTCGAAATGCTCTTCAAGACACATTTGGGCCAACCCGTGAATCGATTCTCGGGAACTAGTTCTCTGCGGATTTTCCTCATGGGATGGATTCTATTCAGTTATGTGCTGACAACAATTTACTTTGGCAAGTTGGAAAGCAGCTTTGTCCAGCCAAGTTTTGAAGAGGAGGTAGATACGGTGGATGAGCTTATGCCACTTGGATTACGAGTACATGGGGTAAACACAATGTTTCAGGCTGTGCGCACTTCCCTATCAGATCACCAATATAGACTACTAACATCAAACGTTAAGGTGCATCCTCTTCAAGATAGTGAACAATTCTATGAGATACCAATCAGTCGTCGAAACAAGAAAGATGCATTTATCATGCGTACTGATAAAGCAAAAGAATTTCTGGCAATCACCTTTAACTCTGAAGTGGGACGTCCCACTTATCATATTGTCAAACAGTATCTAAGATCCTTGCCGGCCACCTATATCCTGCCGATGGGTTCACCATTTCGCTATAAGTTTCAGAGTATGTTAAGTACCTTCTATGAACATGGGTTCTTCGATTATTGGTGGCGAATGGATGTTCTTCAAAGGAGCCGGACTTCACAATCCGACGAGTTTTTCGATGAACTTGATGAGCAAGCGGACCAGGAGGATGCAGCAGATACGGCAGAATGGCGCAAAAAACGAGTGGTTCTCACTTTAGAAATTCTGCAGGGCTCGTTTTACTTGTTGATTATTGGGCAACTTCTGAGCATTTTCGCTTTTATCATGGAGCAGGGATATTTTCACTGGCGTCGGCCAGTAATCAACGTTTAATTCGAATTGCGAATCTTGAGAATATTCTTTCTTCTAGCGCTGAACCATGTCAAATCTAATTGTAATTCGCTTTTAATAGCGTCGTGTGTGAACTAAAAACAACTGCGAATTAAAATGTGCCTCAGCATACGAAAATTATTCGAAACCTGTCGAGGTTAGTAAAAGTGTTTTCCTCCATTATTATTTGCAATAAAAGAAGTGGAACATACTATCAAACTATATCTATTTTTTATGTTAAACATATGTACATATATATGTGACTTTGCCTCTTGGGAGGTCCCTCCTATTGTTGATTAAACAAGCCATTTATGTTTGATTTATTCCCATCGGCTGTTCATACTATGTATATGTCTGACCGTCCTATTTTATGGTAACTTCTAGTCGGTCAGTCCTAGCGCAATCACTCTTACTTTTTAGTTTTTTTTTTATTGCTTCTTAATTGAATCAACACGCATGTTTAATTGACATTAATTTGGTGGACAAGCATTTAGAATCCTTCTCAACTTGTTCAGGAGCTGTTAAACAGTCACAGCAACAACAATGTGGGCGCTATTCGGTCTTCTTCTCGGATTATCCAACAGCATTGCGACTAACGCTTCAGCTGCTGCACTGGGTCTATCGGAGATTAGCTGTCGCATTGCCAAAACGGAAGCAGCTCAAATCACCTACATCTATCGCTGCGTTAGTTGCCTTGCTTCTAACTCTGCTTCCTATCTGGAGTTGGAGCAGGATCTACACCTTTGCATTGGGAGTCAGTTGCCCAGCTGCGTGCGCAGCTTGGAGGCTCATGAGGTCGAACCAATTCGTAAGCCGAGCAGCATGAATATCTTCCTCATTCCTGCTGGCGACGCGGGTCAGCCTCTGGTGCGGCGTATCGTGGACATGCTGAATCCACGACAGCGACGCCGGCATTTCCATAAATATTTGTTCGTGTGGCCCGAAGCTAGCGAGGAACAGCTAAGGGAACTCTTCGAAGGCTGTTGGAGTAAGCAGTTGCTGTTTGCCCTGGCCATTACCGGACCAGATACTGTCTACGATTTCCATCCGTTTGCAGAAGAGGGCAATCAGCTGACAAAGTTGATGCCAAACACTGATGTCTACTACGTTGATAAGTTAACAAATTTGAGAGGATACGAACTCAGATTTTCGATGTTCCGTGATCCACTGAGAGCACTACCTTTAGAACCAGTTGAGAGTAAGGGTTACGATGCCATTGATGGGAGCGTTGCCCGTCTGATAGCCAAAAGGCTGAATGCCACAGCTCGGTATATTGCACCTAGTGATAATGAAGCTTATGGACGTTGCCTTCCGAATGGTAGTTTCACGGGTGTCGTCCAGGATCTGATGAATGGTTCGACCCACATTGGACTCAACATGCGATTCGTGCTAGAGTGCATTTCGCCGCATGTGGAGCATTTATATCCATACAGCCGAATTAATATCTGCTTGGTGGTGCCTGCAGCGGGAATACAGCCCGAGTACCTAATTTTTGTGACTGCTTTTCAGATAACTCTGTGGCGCCTGTTGCTGGCTAACTTTCTGATTGCTCTTGTACTCCTTATCGTATTACACCATTTTTTAAGGAAAATCGTAGGAGAGACTGGTTGTTGCTGGTACGATGCTTTGCAATTGCTCTTCAAGACACATTTGGGCCAACCCGTGGATCGTTTCTCGGTAATTAGTTCTCTGCGTGTGTTCCTCATGGGATGGATTCTATTCAGCTATGTGTTGACGACAATATTCTTTGGTAAACTGGAGAGCAGTTTTGTTCAGCCAAGTTTTGAGGCGGAAGTGGATACGTTAGATCAGTTGACGCCACTTGGCTTGCGAGTACACGGAGTAATTACGATGTTTGATGCTGTGAGCTTATCGCTATCGAAAGAACATTTCAAACTGCTTACCAAAAGTCATCGTGTACATCCTCTTCAAGATAGCGATCACTTCTATGAGCTGCCAGTCAGCCGTCGAAACAAGAAAGCAGCCTTCATCCTGCGCTTAGATAAAGCCAAAGAGTTCCTGGCAGTTACCTATAACTCTGAGGTGGGACGTCCCTCCTATCATATTGTCAAGCAGTATCTGAGGTCCTTGCCGGCCACCTATATCCTGCCGATGGGTTCACCATTTCGCTATAAGTTCCAGAGTATGTTAAGTGCCTTCTATGAGCATGGGTTCTTCGAGTATTGGTGGCGAATGGATGTTCTTCAAAGGCGTCGAACTTCATCCCAATCCGACGAGTTTTTCGAGGAGCTCGACGAGCAGACGGACCCGCAGGCGGAGGATGCAGCAGCGGATATCGTGGAACGGCGTAAAAAGCGAGTGGTTCTCACTTTGGATATTTTACAAGGCGCATTTTATTTATGGATCATTGGTATTTCATTGAGCATTTTGGGTTTTTTAGTGGAACAGGGATACTTCTACTGGCGGCGAGCTTGAATAAAATATCAAATATTGGGTTAGGGTTAAAACAAGGTATATATGGTTATGGTTCTTGAAACAGATTTGTTAACCAGAGAGCGAGTCCCTGTTGCCCTCTTTATATATTATAAGAATTTATTGTCATTTACACACATTAAAAAAATATTGACAAAATTCCGGAATTTTTCGTTCTAAATTCAACAGCAAAATTAAAAGACGCTGCGCACGGCTTCTTAAGTGATTTTGTTCCATTCGATATCAACTGCAAAACAAACTTCCTGAATAGTGCCATAAGTTGGGGTTTCTTGTTCCGCTGAAACCAACTGTGCGTCTGAGTTTCCACGTCCGTTTAGGGACTTGGTTGTTTGCGAGAACTGAAAATAGGTTTCTTCTCTCGTCTATTAAAAATGGCAACTGGCTATTATGGATCATCTGGGCAACTGCAGTCCTCTCGTAATGAGAAGCAGTCAACGAACGCGGATCGTCCAAAACGGTGCGCAGCGCCAACTGAAAGAGGTAGCGAAACTAGCATGAGAAAACTGAGATGTTCAAGAAGTCGATTCGACGAAAGCGATGACGAAATATCTGGATTGGAAAATGTGCTCAATCACGATTTTAAGCTAATGGTGAGCGTAACTCCCAAGCCTGAAGAGGCATTCTGTCCAAAATCGTCAGACTATCAGCTGGCCTCGCATTGGTACAAGAAACTAATCAACTGGAATTGCCGCACACTTGAACAGATGCGCTTGCGGCACCGGTACATGAGTCACCTGAGCGTCTGTTTACATAAGAAGCGGCTGACCGGTATTTTCAAAGAGGTGCCCAGCATCGAACTGACTTGGGTTGACTTTACACAAATGAACAATACTTTTGGTGCATGTTGTACAGCAACAATGACCAGCTCGGTTGCCTGGCAGAATATGGCACTAATGATGCTGCCACAACAATTGGCAAGATCACCTGGTAGCTGTTGCGAACAGCCGGCCAAATCGGAGCAATCGGACTCTCGCTCTGCCGGCGGCAGCAACATGCGAAAGCTTTCAAATAAGCCCGCACACAAAGTCACATGTAAATTGAAGCCGAAACTTGTGCCGAGACATTTGGCTGGATCGGAGGACTTGCAGAAAAGTCAACATGACTCTGCCGATAGCCAGGCGGCTTCTAGTGGTCAACAGCATCATTGGCCCATAGACGAGCAGGCGCGCACGGATATGAAGTATCTTTTAGAAGTGATCAACAAGGAATTGCGAGGCCAGCAGAATAAGGAGACGGATGAATATCTGGAGCTGGAGATGCGGCGCTATCGTGACTTTTACGCACGCCATAGGCATAATGATCCTGACTTAAAGGCCAATGTGGCTGCGGGTCCACAAAAAGAGCGAATCTTCATGCTTATCAATATGAAAAACGATTTGGTCAAGTTATTGTCTGAATGAGAAATTCAAGCGCCAAGTTTTTGTCTTTTGTATGTTATTGTAGCTGAACAATAAAGTTCTTCATGTTCTATGGCAAAATGACCAATGTGCTCGACTTTTTACTCCAGTAGATTCGCTCAAGTAAGAAGTGGACATGGCTTTTCTTTGGGTCTAACAAAAGTATATAATATATGATCACTCGAGGCTCAAACTCGTCTCCTCCTTATTGACTAAGCCAGATTTAAATGTATTTTCTATATTTTTACACGTTTTCTTCTCCCGTTGCAGGTCAGAAATCTGTAGACGAGGCAACAGTGCAACAGCAGCCGCCACAACATCAATATTCCAGCTCGAATTCCGTAAACGGATCTCCACAGCGTGTGGCCAATAAGCGCAGCAGCATCACCGTAAATATGCCTGCAGCAGGTTTAGGTCAGCGGCCACCTAGCATCATTTCGACAGCCAGCCAGGATGAGGTTGGCTGCCTGGATGAGGGTAAAGACGGCATCAAGGCGAAGCTGCAGTCACCATGCGATGGCAACCAGGAGCAGCCACACAGTCTCAACTATGTGGACGTTGGCTATCGTCTCAATCCCGATGGCAGCGAGTCGCGTGAGGTGTTCAGCTCCGAGGCGGATCTGTATGTGACGGCAAAGGTGAGCGATATGCAGCGCAAGTTCCATGGCGCCAACGGGTTCGTCCAGGAATCTAGCACAGTCTATGCCATTATTGTGCCGGAACAGCAGCAGGAGCCACAGATGGCAACACCTGCTCGAGTGCTATTGCAGTCGCCGACTACAAGCGTGGATGGGTCGCCGTTACATCGCGGCGCCTTTAATTCACCGCCAGTGGGCGTGGTCTCACCCATACGGCGCGCCAGCGGACAGCAGCAATGTGAGCAAAATGGTGGAGGCAATGACGAAACGTGCAGCACTAAATCCACTCCCCAAATGTCACCAGTCAAAGGTATTGCGCCCATTGCCTCCATTGATCCGCACGAAGAGGAGCTCAACCTAGAGGACGAGGAAGACGAGCAATTAGCTGTCGAATATGTAGATGTGCTGAACGAGGACGAAGAGGAGGAGGAGGAGGAGGACGAGGCACCAGTTTTGCCCGAACGATGTGCGCCTGCACTGGAGCTTCAAGATCTGGAGTATGCGGACACCAGCGCTGGCGAGGATGAAGACGACATGTTGCAGCACTTGAATAGTAATGTCATTGATGAAATGATCAAGGTGCACATAACGCCTGCAGCTGCAGCTGCACCTGCGCCAGCACCTGCTCCAGCTCCAGCTCCAGCTGCCGCTCCAGCCGCGGCAATGCCTCGTGATGATAGCTTGCCAGATGCCATGACAGCCGCTGAGGCCGAGCGACTGTTGAGTTCAAGGTGAGATATGATCCCTTTGATGTCCTCATGCATGTGTATATATTGGTTTATCTTTTTATCTGTTCGTCTAGAATAATACTACAACTATATCTTTAAGATCAATCACGAACGCACAGCGAGTATTATGCAGTCGGTAACGCCCGACTTCCAAGTTCTTGCTTGTTTATAAATAATCAATTTAGTTTGTAGTGAAAGCATGTTGTATGAGCTAATTAATTGTATTTATTTATTTAATTTAAATTACGTTTGCAGTTAGCCAAACATTTTTCAACATAAGACTTTATTATTCTCTTCTCATATTCTTCTTTATTTCGTTCTTCCGGATTCATTCACTCTCAGCTTGTATACATATTTATCTTAGCTTTCCTGGCTTTCTTTGTTTCAGCCAAAATCAACCTTGTAGTCAGCGTCTTTGGATAGAATTTGCTGCATTCAAGGAATGCTGTTCACATTTTCAACCTTTTACGCAGAGTTCAGAGATCTTTCGTTTGGCTGCTTTGAGCTGGCAACCGGGCACAGTGACCTTTACCCCTTTTTGTTATCCATAATCTTAATGTTCCGACCATGCATCAATTTGCCTGCGCTTTGCTCTTGCCTCGTAGTCATTAGTCATAGACATACGCAGCGGCCAGGTGTGACCCACAATATGGCTGGACGTGCAATCTGCCCTCAGGAGATTTTCGCACTTATTTATTTGGATTTCTGGCCTGGTTTGGACTTTGCTAATGCCATTTGCACACTGGGTTATTTTTGAGTGGGTCGCTGCCTTTGGAAAATGTATATTTATAATCAAAAGAGCATTCAAAATTGTTTATGAAGATATTTAGTATAGAGTCTAAATATAGAATTGCCTTAGAATTCGTTTTTACAGTTCAGTTACTCTTCCTATGTCAATTAGTCAGCCAATCCATTCAGGCATTTGTTGCTGCTCCTAAATTTGTGTGCAAAAACAAAATAAGCCATCAAAGCACTCAGAAGAAGCAACTCCAGAGCAGGAGGAGTCAACGAGAGAGACGAACAGGCATTGAGTGCTGTTAAAACTGTTCTCATCTGTTGAGTGGTTTTCGAGCAGCTTTCACTCATGGCCTCTTCTTTCCTTTACTCATTTTGCTTGATGTTTTTGTGTGCATTGACAGTAAAATGACTCAGAAAAAAAGGACTCAACAGAGCTAACTCAAGGGCAGCAGTAAGCAAAAGAGAGATAGCGCTAGAGAGAGACAGGTAGCAGATTCAGTACAGTTGGCTGTTGAGTGTATTTCTGTTCTCACTCGCTCTCTTGCTTGCTCTCGGTCTCTCTCGTCACAGCCTTCGTTGACTCATTTCGCTTTCGGTTTGCAGTTTTTCGAGCAGTGGCCGTGCAGCGTGCAGCATAAACGGCTGCTGCTGCTGCTGCTACTGCTGTTGCTTTTGTTGTTGTTGCAATTCAGTGAAAGCAATCACATGGCCGCCATTCGTTCGCCTGTCGCATTGCTGTTGCATGGCTCCTGAAAGTGCTTGAAAAGCTTGAAAAGCAATTGGCATTTTGTATCGTGTTTCAGCGTCGTTTTAATTAACATTTTGTGCATGAACGAAAAAGGCGACCAAAAAAGAGCAAAAACACAGTTAAACTTAATCGGTACGGAAGAAACTTTAATTAAAACGTAACGCATACGCCTCATATTACAATATTTTCGCGACCGAGCAGAAAAATTAAAGCATAAAGTGTTTGAGGCTCTTTCTTTGGGTATGTGCAAAATCTATAATGAAAATAATTTATTTATATACCGTTTATGTTTACTTTCGCTGCTCATCCATTTGAATGTCGTCTAGCAGCTTAATATTTAATTGTCAACATCTGTTTGGTGTTTGACCAGTTCTTAAATATGTTTCTAGCCTGGACATGAGTCAGCCCAAAAACCAATATTACAATTTGAGCACCCTTTTGACCACGTTGCGTGCTAAGTTGGCTTTTTGTATTATTTAGAATTAATACGGTATTCCGTCTAGTATGGAATACATTAAGCTTCAAGCAAGGCAGCTTAAGAATAGTATAGAATATAGTTTTAGTTCTTATGATATATTATATATAAATCAGGCAATAGCTTGTCTGGCCTAAAAATGGAATACACTATTAATAATTTTAAGTCATTGTTGAAATAAATCACAGAATTTCAAATGGTTTTCGCTTAGGCTGCAATTCTTTAGCAATTGTCTCGTCAATCCAAGCATCAAGTAGCGTCTCCTTTACAAACTGATGTTAACAGAAAATTAAATCTGCATTAATTGCTTAACTTTTACATTTACTTGCTTCCCTTTCTTTGTATAAACATTGCTTGCTTTCTCTAAATAATAAAGTTCCTCTTTGAAGGTTTTCAGACTTTACAACTTTCTTTTAATTTATAGCTGAATTTAGTAAACATATGCTTATTGAGCTTTAACTAATAAATAAGTTAGTTAAATTGAGCTACTAGCTTAATTCCTCTATCTATTTCTTAGCACACTCAAGCCTTTATCTACTGTCCGGCATTTGTGACTCTTGTTGCATACTTAGTGTGGTTGTAGCATTCTTTATTTTTTGTGTTATGTCCGAACAGCGTCATCATTCACCTTGACTCAGTTTTTTTTTTTTTGTATTGGGTCCGAGTGCCAAAAATCAGGCCACAGAACTCACTTTATCAAACTGGCAATGAAAAGTGCAGACAACTTGTATAATTTACCGGCCTGCAATTAATAAAGGGCAGCTGCGCTAACGTTTTTCCTGGTATTGGCCAAAAGCTGAAAAGTTCACTAATGGCTAAGCATTAATTCAATTACAATTATCAACAATGGCTGCGTCTCGGCTGTATGACGTCACAGTGTGTAGAATCAACCTTGCAAATGCACTCAAAAACGAAAGAAAAGAAACCACTCGATAGGGACAAAATGAGAGTTTGAGTGAGTGAGTGAGTGAGTGGGTGGTTAGAGAGGTTTGTTTTGTTTCCCGCTATTTTGGCTGCTCATTTGTGTTGCAATGCTTTCAATTTTATTTTAGCTCTGTTGTTCCTTAAATTAATTAAAACCATATGACAATGCCATAAGAGTTGACCATGTTTTTAACACACACACACACACACACACACACAAGGTGTGTTCTTATGTAAAACCTCTCTCTTGTGGCTTTCCCTAATGAGCATTGCCCTGCTCTATCAGCATGCCACGACGCCAACAACAACAAAAGCAACTTGGCCCCTTCACTCATTTCGCGTGCACTACAGCAATAACTGTGTGCCTCCCTCTCCCTCACTGACACTCGCCCTTTCCATAATTACATTTGACTTTCACATTCTTTGCGTTTCCATTGTGTTTTACGCATTTAAGGACACACAAATTGTGTGCTGCGTATTGACTGAAGACTAAAGTTAGCAAATTATTAGAAAAACAATATTAAAAATCGAAACTTTTGTGATTTATAACTAAACGCTTATAGAATATATTTCTATTCTAGTTTTTGTTTAACTGCCTCAGTTTGTTCATTTCATATACATAGGCTCACGCTGCGTATACGTAATGTGTAGTGTGCATTGCGTTAAGTATACGAGATGTGTGTTCAGTGAAGGTGCAGCTAGATACGGATAGAAGCAACACATCACACAACAATTTAAAACAGTTTTTGTTTGTTTTTAGTAAAAACTAAAAAGTTGCATAAAAATAAAATTTATTGCGGACTTTAGCCAAAGAAACAAATTGAAATTCAGTTAATGTATCCTGCACATAACTATTTATAGAGTGCAAATGAGAGAGGTAATAGAAATGCTAACAAGGTATTCAAAACTGCTGTTTGCCGTGTGCAGCTTCGTGTGTTGTTTGCTGAGGCAGCTTACCTCATTATCAACAACATAATCAAGCTCTTAGAACATGCAACAACAGCACAGTTGCGTACTAAATGAGTATGTAGCTAGATGTGTGTGCGTGTGTGTGTGTGTGTGTGTGTGTGTGTGTATTTTAGCTGATTAACAACAAGAGCAGACGACAGCAACTTTGCCATTTGCTGGCAGTAATTACCAGGCGCAGACAAAGAATACCAGACGCACACACACACACACACACACACACACAGACGCATCCAGCATACAATGACAGCTAGTTCTTGCTAACACGTGACGTCACGCACCTGGCGAGAGTGACACAAACACACTTAAACGTTAAATGCACCCCACTTACGCTGCTCATGGCACGCTTTCCGCCGCTCAGGTGTCGCATGCCAAGTGGCGTATACGCAATAATTTTATATTCACATAACACGCCGACCAGCTGCCTTACTTGTATTTGATGCTCAAATAAACTGACAACAAAATGTACTTTACGCCAGAGTGCATGATTATTATTTGTAATTAAATTAAACTTTAATTTGCATGTTTCCAGCATATTTATATACATTATATTACCTTTTAGTTTAACACATATTTAATTTGCATTATTTTTAAAATTTTCTTTTTGTATTTTGATTTTGCATTTGTGCCGTACTGACTGTTATTGTTGCTTCTGTTGAATGTCCTGCAATGTAAAACTTTTGCGTATGTGTTTGTGTAGCATTTTGGAAAACAAAATCAGGTTTGTGTGCGGAATTCGATCCTTGCGATGCTGCTGCTGCTGCTCGTTTAATCGTGTTAGTAATGCCAGTATCTATCTATCTTATCATCCATTGACAGACAACAGTCGCTGCTGTCTGACGAGCAGGCCAAAGAGGTTGAGCAGATACTCAACGTCTCGCCCAACGTGGGCGTGGCTGTTGCTGCCGTTGTTGCCACAGCAACATCGCCGACCAGCATCAAGAATCTCATCGAGGAGCAGTCCACAGGCAAACAGACAAAAGACACACAAATTGATGCTGTCCCAGTGTCCGTTGTCGCAGACGAGGCAAAGCCAGCTGAAGCAGAAGCCGACGGCGAAGTCGAAGCCGTAGCTGGAGAAGAGCTAGTTGAAGAAGACTTTGATTCGGATGACGTTGAGGCGGTGAATATTGTGGGCATAGGACATGCAGTGGCCACGACTGCTGCATTGAATGCGACATTTGTTAAGGCGGATAGTACAGAGACAGAAAACACAGCAACAACAACAACCACAACAACACCCTCAACTGCAACAGCGTCGACTACAAGGCATGACGAGGACGAGCCCGAGTGGCTGCGGGATGTGTTAGAGGCGCCAAAGCGTAGCCTAGAGAATCTGCTAATAAACACAACGACACATCGAGCAGAACTAGAGAACGGTTACGAGGCTATTGAGGGAAAACATTCCGATTTAAATCAGACCTATATCACGGGAGAGTCGCTGCACGAATCAATTGTCTCCGTGGAGTCCACGCAATCAGATGCAACGTTCAATCAGACGACCACCATCGACGACAGCATCATCTCGAGCAAGCACAACTCAACGTATTCGTTAGCGGACGTGGAGCAGGCAACCAGTTCAACTATATTGAGCACTGGCCTAACCGAGCTAGACGACAGTCAGTACTACATACCGGAATATCCGCCGGTGCGGAGCAAGGAGGTTCTGGTCGAGGCGGGCGTGCATTACTTTGAGGATGGCAACTTTTGGATGGAAGTGCCCGGTGGGTTGAAAGCTTTGCTTTGACTTTCGTTAAAGAAATTCAATTATTTTCTTTTTCAATTTATCCAAAAAGGTCTGCTAGACTTTGACGACGACGACTGCTCATATCCGCCCATCACAGTTCGAAAGAATCCCAAGGTGCGATTCAGCTCCGGCCCCATACACGTGTATTCAACGTTCTCTGTGACTGACTACGATCGCCGCAATGAAGATGTTGATCCGGTGGCCGCGTCAGCCGAATATGAGCTGGAAAAACGTGTCGAAAAGATGCACGTGTTTCCAGTTGAATTGATGAAAGGTCCTGAGGGTTTGGGTCTTAGCATCATTGGCATGGGCGTTGGTGCCGACGCTGGCTTAGAGAAACTAGGCATATTCGTTAAAACGATCACAGACAACGGCGCCGCAGCACGTGACGGACGCATACAAGTGAGTAAATTTCATTCCCCACAATCTGTACATCATATTTATAATCTATTTCTTGTCAACAGGTCAACGATCAGATAATCGAAGTGGACGGCAAGAGTCTGGTGGGCGTTACCCAAGCTTACGCAGCTTCAGTATTGCGCAATACATCCGGTCTAGTCAAATTTCAAATCGGACGCGAACGAGATCCCGAAAACTCCGAGGTCGCCCAGCTCATACGGCTGAGTCTGCAAGCGGATCGAGAGAAAGAAGAACGCATTAAACGGTAAGTGGATACCTATCGGAACTATTCAGTCAAGAACTTATTTGATTCACCTTTTGTTTAACCATAGGCAACAAGAGGAGTACTTGCGACGCACGCTCGACTACTCTGAGGACTCGACACAGCCCGTATCCGCTAATTCAAGTGTGTGCGAGGGACCGTCGAGTCCCGTGCAGGTCGAACATCCAATGGAGGTCGAGGCCACACACTCGCAGGAGGTTGAGTCGCTGAAGCGACTCCTCCAGGAGGTTTGTGCATTGCGAATCGTTTAGACAATCAAATTATATTTAAAGTTGTGCTAAAATCGTGTTCTTTTTCTCTCCTTTTGCTGAATTTCAAAATTGGTTTGTACCACGCGGAAATTGAAACACAGCATAAAGCGGTAATTGGTTAAACGAAATACAAAATGTCTCTAAAAGATACAAACAGTTCGACTAAAGTCAGTCCTCATTGCATCATCAAGTTTTATTTTGTTTTTATATCGGAAAGAGTTCATTGAGCTGATAGCAGTTCGTTTATAAGACCATTATCTGATAGCCATAATCATAGAAATGATTATAAGCTCTTTAAGTCTTAAGCATTTTGTGGTCAAGAAAACGATTATACCTGATAGCTAACGTTGCCAAGGGTACATCATTAACTGAACTTCATTTTGTGTATTATTTATTATTTATTTGATTTTTGTTTATTTTTATTCCATCCAGAGCGAAATGTGTTGCATGGTTAAGGAAGAAATTATTCAAAATCTTAAACGAAAGGTTTGTTCATTACAAATTTTTAATTTAATCATGATTTGTTCATCAACCTCATATCATCCCATCATCACAAATAATTCCACAGTTAAAACTAATTATGATCCCCTTCTTCCTTCCCTACGTGCAGTTGGTCAAGCTGGAGACAACGGGAAATGAGAATGAATTGCTCAGCGAACGCTTGCGGCAGAGTGAGCGTGAGCTGGGCAACATTAAGAAGGAGGCGGCCAATCTGCAAAATATGCTGCAGCAGTCGCAGGCCCAGTACATGGCATTGGACAAGAAGTACAACAAGGCCAAGCGGCTGGTGCGCGAGTATCAGCAACGGGAGCTGGACATGTGCCATCGCGAGGAGTTCTATCAGCAGTTGCTGCAGGAGAAGGACACGGAGTACAATGCGTTGGTCAAGAAGTTAAAGGATCGTGTCATCCATCTGGAGCATGAGCTGCAGGAAACGCAACGAAAGGCTGGCTTTCCAGTCGGCTTGCCATACGACAGCGCCACGCTAAAGCTGACGCCACAAATGATGCGTAAGACGCCGCCCAAGCCGCTCTTCCACAAGCTGGAAACGGAGCTATCCGATACGGAAATCTCCGATCTGTCGCCCGATGGCGATGGCGTCAAGACGGCAACAGTGGAGCGCAAAGTTCCCGTCAAGGACGAATTAGACGCGGCCGTGCCGCAGCACGAGCTGCTGGACAACTCTGTCAACAAGACCAAGATCGAGCTCGGTGAGTAGACGGTCCATTATTAGCTTTTGTTCAGCTGCTCGCACTTCATCAATTCAATTTCAAATTCAAATTCGATTTCGATTTCGATTTTGTTTTTGCTGTGTGTGTGGAAAATCGTATCGATTAAGTTCGTATTGTTCTTTGATGGAGTTTAAATGCTTTGTCTCTGTGCTAAATGTTTTTGTTATTCTTCTTTTTGTTCTCTCTCTCTCTCTCTCTCTCATTCTCTCTAATCTCTCTCGCTCTCTCTCTCACACACACACATACTCTTTGTATATTGCCGCTGTCGCTCAATTTGATTTGTGTTTTTGATCTGCTGCGTGATCGTGTGCGTTCCATATTTGTTTGTTCGTTTGATTTGATATTATCACCGCACTGCTGCGCCTCCTGACCACTTTCACACCTACACACACACACACAATATATATACAAATAAAAATGCAAAAACAAAACTCGCATCGAATCACAAAATCTAAACAAAAGCCTCCCGTGGTGGTCTAGCCAATCGCCAGCTGCCATCGTCAAACGTGCCCAATGGCAGCAACACCAATGGAGCCAGCGAGCTGCTGCTTAATGGCAATTTGTCCAAGCGTAGCAGAAGCAATAGCCGCAGCTCCGATTGCACACTGGACGACAGCGATGAGGAGGAGGAGGAGGAGGTGCAACTGGAGCAGACTGCCCACATTTTGGCAGCGAGTGCGCCGCCTACGGCGCATGAGAGCATTAGCCTATCCAATGGCAATTCGCATCTGCTGGCCAATATGAACAACTTGTTGCAAAGTCATCCGCCTGCCTCGAATGCAATTATCGGCAGTGGCATTATCCCAGCTTCGAACGGTCATGTGGGCACCACAACGGCCATACTGCTGAACTCGACTTCGACATCGGCGTCGTCCAGCTCGTCGAATCAGTCGACGGCGCGCGAAGCACAAATCAATCAGCTGTACGCTCAGGTACACAAGGATCCCAGCAAGCAACAGCAGCAGCAGCAACAGCATCAGGCATCCAGTTTGTTTAAGACTGCGCTGGGCTCGCCGGCCGATGCTGGAGGCGGCTTGAATGACTTCCATCGGGGCAGCATGACAACCTTTGGCACTGCCAGCAATCGTGATCTCAACAGCTCGTACGATTCAATTGTGGGCTCGAATGATAAGCTGGCCGAAGCGAACGATCAAGGCGAGAACTGGATGTATCCGAGTCGACGACGTGTCGCCCCCAATGGCACCAAGCTGCCGGGCTCCAGTTTCACTGACCAGCTCAATCAAGCACTGTCCGATCGTGAGAGGTGGGTGATCACGCAAACACACAGACACGCACTCACACACTGTTACACAAACTATACTATACGTTCGGAATTTTGCAGGCGTCTTGGGGACGGCTCCTCGCGCCACTCCAGCGACGATTACACGGAGATCAACAAGAACCAAAGCGCCGCAGCGATCAACTGCAAAACGCTGATCAATGAGATTCGCCAGGCGGTCAATGAAGCACAGCCAAAAGGTGAAATAACAATCAAATAATGACTCTCGAAATCGGTTGCCACAACAGACCGTTCTTCGATTATCTATCTTAAAAACTAACGCAAATTCTCTATCCCGATTATCCACAAACTACTTTAATACGTTGAGAGCCAGCAGTTCATGTGCACATAAAGACATTCTCTCTGTTTGCTGTATACATACCAAATTGCTAAAAAGAATATAAAAATATTTATGCTGTTATACCTAACTGTTATACTTAACTGTTATATTGAACGTTTATACGTGTGCCATTTCATTGAACGTATCCCTTACTATACTAAATACTGTTATACTCAACTGTTATATTGAACGTTAATACGTGTGCCATTGCATTTAATGAATCCCATTCTACATATGCCAAATTGTTATAGCCACTTACGTATCTTCCTCTATCTATCCGTTCATAAGGTGCATACAACATGGCATCCAATAAGTATTAACATGAAACTATTATCTCTCTCTCTCTCTTTCCCCCTTTGTTCTCCTGCTATTTCCACTAACAAAACGCTTTGTAAATCGTCTAAAGTTAAACAAGTTGTTCCGCAATCGCTCTCCCCGCCCGGCACAGTGCCCTGGCAGCAACAGCATCATCATCAGCAGCAGCTGACACAATCGGCGCATGCCACAGGGCCGCCCTCGCCGACGAGCATGTCGTCGGGCTGCTCCTCGCCCGGATACTCACCCAGCCGAACTCTGGATCTATCCGGCTCCAGTTCTAGTTTCTCGGACCGAAAAGCGGCGGCTGCTTGCTACAATTACAAAGGCGGACCAGTGCACGAATGGACCAAGGAACAGGTAAACACATATCAATACAATCAAAATGTTATATATGAGACAATTTGAGTAACGCAGGTGGGCCACTGGTTGATGGGCATCGAGCTGGAGCGCTATATACCTGTCTTCAAAGAGCACAACGTGGAGGGCGGCGCTTTGCTCACGCTCGACTCAAAGGACTTCAAGACCTTGGGTGTTTGTGGCGACGATAAGAATCGGTTGAAGAAGCGCTTGAAGGACCTGAAGGCGAGCATCGAAAAGGAGCGCAAGGACATGGAGCGAGAACGTCGCGAACGTGAAAAAGCCATACGCAAGGCCGAAAAGAAGGCGGCCAAGAAAAAATAAGTAGTTGAATTCTAGACTTTAAGCAACAAAGTAGCCAAAAACCAAACCATATATGTATGCATACTAAGCAGTCAAAACATCTCTATGCATACCCCAACAGATGCGTTTAAATATATATATATATATGAGTATATATATTTATAGGAATAGAACACTTATATACACGTATATATTAGTGCATAAACTTATAAAAGTAATATAAGAAGAAACACATAAATTATTTGTACAACACACACACACACACACAAACACCCACACATACACACTTACATAGAGATCTATGATACGTACTACGTTTTAAACTATTGAAATTAGCACAGCATAGACGTATTTATCAACTATTCTAAAAATAAACAGTGAAAGTAAAAGAGAAACAGAACACAGACATGGTCCAGGGTTGGGTGGGTCAGGGATGCCCAAACTGACAAATCTAAGCATTGAAATCCACAAAAGGTTTAAAACACAACTTAAGTTATCCAAATCGAAAGAGAAAGCATAAGCACACACCAACATAGAAACATAAAACAAAAGAGAAAGCGTTGGACTGACTGATTTTTATGAATTATTTTTAGGGAAAAGCGAAAATAATAATAAAAAAAAAAAAACAAAAAAATAATGAAAATATTAATAAAGGAATCACTTACTTGAATTGAGAATGGCATACGAAACAATTGTACGACTAGAACACTTAAGGAATTCTCTGAACAGACTTGAAGCGGCCTTGAGCAGCTGCTTTGACTAAATTTACAAGACACACATGAATGTACTAACAATTTATCTTAAAAATAACTATAAATATCGATAAATGTTTAATATTTAAGTTAATTGCAATGCGGCAAACAAACACACAACACGCAACAAACAACACAATGTCTGTCACTTTCTTTGTTTTCAATAGCAATTACCTTGTGCAATTTTTAGCATAACATTACATTACAATATATATATATATGTATCTCGATAATGTGTAACAAGAAATGCATTGTGTTTGCCAAGATAGCTGTACCTTTTGCTAAAGTATTCGTATTTGCTTAATGATATGATTCGCAAGCCACTTAAGTACTTAAGTCTCACAACTAAAAGTCGATAAGATAATTGATCGGTTCATGGCGAGTTCGTCGTCAATGGACCACGTCAGGTTAAACATTGAGTGCAAAGATCTTAGCATAGAGATGTCCAGATATTCATATGTATTTGTGCGTTTGCTTGTCTCTAACTTTATGTTTCAGCGTGACTGCAGTTTATCATTACTTTACTTTTGTATAAATATGTTTAGTTGATATATTACAAATATATATGTTTAACATGATATCTACATTACTTTTTGCTTATCTCTTATTATTTGTTATTTATTATATAATTTTATGCTCAAAGTTGTTTCGATTGATTGGACTTTTAAATTAACGAAGTAATTTATTCTGTAGAATTTTGGTATATTGTTTGCTTAGGCTGAAACCCTCTGGGTGATAATCGAACAGGTTCAAACTCGATTTGCAAATTTCAGTTTTTAAATGAAATCTATAGACCTAAAATCATAATTTTCATAAATATTCATTTGACTTTAAATGCTAAATAGTTTAATAACAAATTAAAATTTAAATACATATGTATGTGTGTATATAAGTATATGAGTATACATATGTGTATGTATTTGATTAGCTCGCCATATATCAAATACACATTTCATTTAAATGACAAACCAAGTATTGCATCCATGTGGAAAACCTTGTTAGAACCTAACGCCCACACACAAACACATTCGTGCCTTTGTCATTGTGAAAACCGTCCCAGTTTTTGAATCACAGAATATGGCCAGCAGATCTGTTCCCCAAACTTCTGCCTGAATATGTGTTAAACCATTTCGAGTGCCGCAAATGCCTTAAATGATAAATTTATGGAAAATTTGAGTTGCCTTTTAGGAAGTTTTTCTTTCTCTTTTTTTCGCCGGTTTTTGCAATCAAATTGAATTTTGCTATTGGGTTTCAGGTTTAACCAAACGTATCTGATTTAAAGATTAATTTCACTATGATTTTGTATAATTTTCGTCCCTCATCGGCATTGGCAGAGAGGCAATTTGATATGCATATGTGTGTATTCACTTTTCAAATGCATTTTCATATTGATTCTCGACTGTTGCAATTAATTTTCGTATGCTTGAGTGTAATGCAGTTTATAGAAGAAATCTGTTTTAAGCCAGTTGAGATCTTTGGATATATCTCTAAAAAAACAGTAAAAGCACAAAAACAATAAAAACAATAGCAATGCAACCACCTTGGCTACTTTATCAATCTATATATATTCAAATTAATTGAAAAATCAATAAAAATAATTAAAATAAACAATAACAAAAAGTATAAATAATAATATTTTGTTACTCCACTCTCATAATCGAAGTTATTTATTATGCATTAAGAAAGCTTTTTCAGTGAATCTATTAATAATTAGTTTTTTCCTGTTATGTACTATAAATCTGACATTTACCCGCAGAAATAGGGTAAAAACCGTTTGACTACGTGTCTTAAAATATTACCTAATGACTTACGCTCGTAGCAAATAGGAGCAACGTGACAAATACATAGACAAAAGTGAGTGAGTCGTTTCATGTACACATTGAAGTCCATTTGATAGACTATACACATAGTATACACAATTTATTTTTATTTTGCGGCTATATATCGATTATAACTTCTAATGCGGCTTATGTTATCAGAAGAATAGAATAATAGTCACCAGGTATTTATATACTAGACGAATGCATTTTGTAGTAAAACCAATATACTCTCTTTACTTACTGAGCGAGTATAGCAACTACTTACAATGTGTCTCTAATGTCTTCCCGCAGCTGCAACTTTTCTCTTTGGGAGCAGAACCTATTTATTTAGTAAAAATTAAGCAAATGCAAGCACAGTTTTATTTATTTATTTTACTGAGACAAAATAGTATAAATATGTGGCTTGGGCTACAACTAGTTTGCGGTGCCAGTCGACGCTTCATAAAATTTAATTTTAAATGCCATTAAAATACTCTTAAAAACTCTCAAAAAAATACCAAAATTTCTAAATTGAAAATACTAAAAACTCAATTCTTTATAATGGTTTGGCATCAATGACAAACTTTGTGCGTATTCCAAACTTTGATGCTGGGTACACATAAATGAAATATGTAAGAAAAATACACAAAAGAATTTCTGCTAGGTAAACTAATTCCGCAGCTGAGGAATGCGCATGCTGGACCAAACGTCAACAAATTTCATAAGGGGATTTTTTCTTAATATACAAATATTAATGCAGCTCAAGTACTGTTAAAGGCGTAGCTAAGTCGTCACTATATGTACATGTAACGAATATACTCCTTTCGCTCAGTGAACGAGTATAGCCACTTGATGGGTGTATCGTAAATACGTTTTCGTATTGTGCAACCTTTTTTTGTTTTCCCGTTTTCTTTCAAAGATTCAGTCAAGAGATAACTAACTGAGAATCTGGTTCTGGAATTTCATCTTATCAGTTGGAAATTTTCCATGCCTTCGGCTTAGCCAGTCGATCGTCGGCTACCTGCTGCCATAGTCGGAGATCAGAAACTGCTAGAAGTTGGTCATCTTTCACAGTCAGTTTCATAATTCTTAAAAATATTGAACTTAATTAGAAAAGCTAATCTACATGCTCCGCTTATGCGTGCTCTGAGCTATGCGTGATAAGCGTGGTTAGCGGACACTATGAGCTTTTTCCAATAATTGCACAAAGATTAATAAAACTTGTTTACTTGGAATTCAATTCGCATCAGGCGCACAAATATAACAACTCGATGACGTACAGCCTCGGCTGGCTGTGCCCCCCTCGAAGCCGAATTGATAACCCGGCGTATTTCAGTTCAGTTAGGATGACAGCGGATTAGTGTGTTTTTTATAATTAGAGTTCCTTAATTTAAATCTTAATGCGCGTCATTTGCAGCTGTTGCCAGGTAATGCAAGCTGCAGCTGCGATTATATACCTATAGTATATGCACTCTAAATGGGCTTTCACTGCTTCGCCTTATCAATCGAATGAATCGAATGATTTCAGCATTAAGCATGATTTTTATTAACTTTTTCGCCTTGTTTACGGAGCACACTTTCTGTGATAAGAGCGAGCAGGGCGTGGGGCATGTTTTAAAAATAAAATTTGTATTTTTTAATCGGAGTTCGTGACAAAACCTGGTCTAAGCGAATCGCATTTTTGTTTGTGCCCCAGCCAAATTGGCATTTTCAATGAATTTATAAACTATTCTCGCATAGTTTGAAGCACTGACGACCTGAGTTCCTATCGAGTGTCGCAATAAATTCGTATTTAGCACCGAAGCTTAATCTTATCTGGGAGCCACTTTTAATTGGTGATATTAATGGCAATTTCGAATGATTAATTGAGTTTATTGAATTTCTTATCGAACCGGGGGCCTGTTTACGTTTCTTCCTTTATGTATTTCATTTTCAGTTTTGCTTGTTATTATTTAGAAATCTATTAAATTTGACCAATTGAATCGTTTGAAAAGTTTCGATTCCGGTTTATGCGTCTGACGTTCATATAACAACGAGCAGCGGCAGCCGCAGCGTCGATCCTAAATTGAATCTTAAACAATAAACGTCGACGGCGACGGCGACGCGCACTGTGAAGTAGACAGCGCAGCTGGCGCTGGCGCGGGCGCCGGCAGCGCGTATCGACTGCGGTTTAAAAGGTGCGGCGTCAACGACGACGCGGCTCAATTATCAAAGAACACTCGAGCAGTCAGGCAGGCAGCGCAGCTGGGAAATTAAACGGCAACTGAAACGCGAAACGCGTAAACACAATAAAGGAGAACTAAAAAGAAAATCGCGACTCTAAACGAGATAACAAAAGACATTCCAGTGGTTGGACTTCAATTAGTTTTGATTTGTTTATAATAAATCGGCGAACGGCGCTCATTAGCTATCAGTCAGAGTGTGAACCATCCGCTGAGATACTAGACACAATCTAAGTTATATAACCACGGAAACATGACCGGCTACAACTCGCAGAACGACGTGGCTTCGTCCAACGGCAACCAAGCTGGAGCCACTGGGCACAAGTCGACGGAATATATTGCCCAGGAGAATCATACGTGAGTAGGCCCTGGAGCAGGGCGTAGTCCTTGGCCCATTTGCATATTAGAACAAAAGTGCAATCAATAATATTACATTTCGTGAGTTAACCAAGTTATTAATACGTGACCTGTTTCCCAGCAAAACGAGTTCAAAGGAAATCGAATAGGCCTTGAGTTGGGCATGTCCGAGCCGATTTGGATTTCAGTTTTAGTGTTCTAAATTCTCTTTTCTTGTTGTGTACAAAATTTGACTTTGAAAATTAAACGCTGGCTCTGCGCTTGCGGCCAGGCTTCTTGCTATTATCCTCACTTCGCACAATGTGCTCGCGCGATTGCTGTTCCAAGGGCGGTGTCAGCAGGACCAAGGATGGGAATCCCTGTGAGAGAAGAGCAGAAAAGCAAGAAACTGATATTATAGTGCCCACACCTCAGAGTTTGCTGTAAGTCGTCGGATCTGGCTTGACCGATGTCCGAGCACCAACAGCTGTGCACATGTTGCCCTCTGCCATCTCAATTCGTATATCAGCTCTATTGAACTGTCCTTGATCTTGCCGCTGAGATTGGACGTTCGCAGCCGAACATAAATTAAGGGATTCCAGAATACCAAATTGCTGCCCATAGGGTTATCAGCTTGCCTAGTGTTCGTCCATCTTCGGGCTGCTTGCGAGATTACGAAAGCGAATTTGCGTTGATAATTCCTGTGTGCTGGAAATGCTAATGCCCCCAAGCGATACGTTGCGCCCGCTTCGACTAATTGTTGATAAGTATTCCTTGCCAATTGTGCGTAGAGCGTGTTTTGACCCAGTTAGCCAGCAGTTGTTCTTGATTGGCTAACAAAAATGGGCGTGTGCCACGATCTTGACATAGGCCTTTATCTGAGACAATTAACCAGCTGCGCTCTTAGTTACCAATTGGCAACAGCCGATAAAGCCAAGTGTAGATTGCTATTTGTTTTTTACTGTATGCGAATCTATTGATTATGATTGAGTTTGGAACTGCCTCAGGATCTGACATCTATTAAAATCAATATCAGTTGCCAGCTGATAAGCAGCTGCAATGTACCTCGAGCACAGTGTATCTATTTGCAGCACTTGTTTCCAGGGTTAGAGTATCTCCTAGTCGAACCGCAACGATCTCCACATGTTTCAGTTTAGTTTTCAAACTGGTTGCAGCAAAGTTTTGCGTCTTTGCTAAAAAACAAAACTTTTATTTTGGCTTTCGAAGAATCGTTTCGATATATATTCAATACATTTAGCATAGCCGGTTTCAATTTAATTATTTGACGTTTTAGCTTTGGCGAATTAAGTATTATAATTTACTTTTAAATGCTAGAGCTCATGTAAAATCAAATGTTCTCTAGATCGTGTTTGTTGCTTATACCCTGAACCCATTGAAAATTCAAATTTAGGGTATATTGGTTCTGTGATCATGTGTGAAGGAGGCGTGGCAGAGAGCGTAAAGCTTATTTATTCTTGAACAGGATATCAAACTGAGTCGATTTAGCCATTTGTTCGTCTGTATATCCGTATAAGCGGAAGGATTTCATTAACTCAACTAAACTCAACTTAATCTCAACTAGGATCAAAGTAATTCAACAATTAAGGTTGTATGATTGGTTTCTGGGTATCTCCTAGTCGAGCATGCCCCACTGGAGCACTCTTGCTTGTTTGTTTTATATTGCTGATCAATAATCGCGTGACGAAACTTTTACAGCGATTTCATTAGCGGGACAGTTGTCTGGCTGAGGGAGATAACCTGTAGCCAGGTCGAAGTGCCCCAATACCTAATCAAATTACATGACAATCGAACGAAAATAACATGAATTCATAAACAATTTTAGTGTAGAAAGACGATTTTCATGCTAGTGAAAATGATTCAAAATGAGAACTTTTCCACCTCTGATAAGCATTTGTCCATTTCAATTGGGCTTGAATGAGACTCAAATGATCTAACACAGCTATAAGCTCTATATATGTGTCAGACGAGGTGTGTTTGAAAAGTAACGCAATTGTTTTGTATTTCCTTAAAATCATCTTAAGAATATCTCTTTGTTCCCTTCAAAGGGAAGCGCATTTCTCGTAATCCAATAAGAATTTTATACCTTTTACTGGCATTAAAGAACCCATTCCATTTGATCGGTCCACGTATATATATAGCATTCCTTTTGATATGTATTTATGTTTTGGCAAGTCTAACTTAATTTTGAACTTTTTCAAACACTTCCAGCAGAAGCGACAACCGCATTGTATGCTCCCTGACACCCGACGAGTTTCGGGCTGTGCGCATGATGAGCGAAGACATGTTCGTAGACAAATTTATATCTGATACTTAGTGTGTGTCTTGCCAATGTCTTTATCACATTCGTGCACATTCACAACATATTTCACTTCACAAATTTGTTTACCATTAAACTAATTGCACGACGTTATTGTGATCGATAGAAAGCATGCAGAATTCTGGCCACTTCATCGTCTCTGTTTGCGCCAAGCGTAGGCACAGTCACAGTCACAGTCATTTCAATGTACTTTTCTTCTACTATACTACTCCACGCTAATGATCGATGTATTTATATGTGTGTGTGCTTTTTAGGTATCCTTATGAAATGATTCAGGAGATTGCTGACTTTCTTGTGAAAGGATCTGGGATCAGACCTAAAATTGGCATCATTTGCGGCTCTGGACTTGGATCCCTGGCCGATCTTATACAGAATCCCAAGGTCTTTGAATATTCGAAAATACCAAACTTTCCGGTTTCCACTGTGGAAGGCCATGCTGGCAAACTAGTGGTCGGCTGCTTGGAGGGTGTCAATGTGATGGCGATGCAGGGCCGCTTCCATTACTATGAGGGCTACCCGCTGGCCAAGTGCTCGATGCCGGTCCGCGTGATGAAGCTCTGTGGCGTTGAGTATCTATTCGCAACGAATGCAGCTGGCGGCATCAACCCGAAGTACGCCGTGGGCGACATCATGCTAATGCATGATCATGTCAACATGCTGGGCTTTGCTGGCAACTCTCCGCTGCAGGGTCCCAACGATCCGCGCTTTGGGCCACGCTTCCCCGCGCTGGTCAACTCCTACAACAAAGACCTGATCAATAAGGCGATCGACATTAGCAAAGCTATGGGCATAGAATCGAGTGTGCATGTTGGCGTCTACTCCTGCCTGGGTGGACCGACGTACGAGACCATTGCCGAGCTGAGAGCTCTGCGCATGATGGGCGTCGACGCGGTTGGCATGTCGACGGTGCACGAAGTAATCACGGCCCGCCACTGCGACATGAAGGTGTTCGCCTTCAGTCTGATCACCAACAAGTGCGCCACCGAATACAGCGAAAAAAAGGACGAGGAGGCCAACCACGACGAAGTCATGGCTGTGGCCAAAAACAAGCAGAAGGCGTGCTGTGAGATGGTGTCTCGCCTTGTGGCAGAAATTCAAAAATCATTATAGACCAACAAAACCCTACGATTCTAGACTCTTTCATAAATTTACAGTTTTAGCTAAAATTTAGCTATTTTAATTTAAGTATATGCCTAATACATAATTTTAGAGAAGGTTTAAATAAATCTTAACTATAAATCAGGCAATGCAGTTTGCTCTAAGCCGTAAGTCAGGCTTTCGTTGGCCAAGTTAAATAGTTTAAAGTTATTCGTAGCTGTTCAAGGTTTGTCTTTAACCAATTTCTATTCGAAGAGTTACTCATTCATGGATTAAATCTGATTCATTGATCATTGCCAAATGGATTCGAAAATTCACTTTTAGCAATTGGTCCAAATTGCTTTGCTAAGCGTCTTATAAATAAATTCCAAAATTAAGTACAAAGTAGAGCAGTAGAACCGAAGTTTGTTAATTTAAAAATTGTATTTGTTCAGTAAAAGCTAAATAATATAACATAGAATTGAAACATAAGAGAAACATATGCTAAATTGGACAAAGAATTAGATTTAAATCAAATTTTGATTACACAAAAACTATGAACATACGAAAGATCATTCGTATTTGCTTAAACCTTTTCTGTTTTGGCTCTTTAAAGTGACGTCGACAAAGCACTACGTGAAATCAAAGCACAGCAACTTAATATGTACAGGGTATTAAATTCTAGTGTTTATTGATAGCTCAGTGCAAGTTCACGATCATCTTCGTGCCTTTGTGCCGCCTGCAATCATATTGTGCCGTAATCATACGATATAAATGTGTGTAAAAAGGTGTGTATATGCGTATAAATAGCGTGTGTATATGTACGTTAAGTAAAGTACGAGAGTATATAGAGATATGCGCATGGGTATGTCATGTGGTAGCTGTGCACAGTTCTGGTAGAGTACACAGTGGTCGTATATAAAGAGTACGAAAATATTTGGTTGCAAGAGTAAGTAGTTTGTGATTGCGTTCACTTAAAAGTCTATATGGTCACATGGTAGTAGTTTCGCTTAGAAGAGGCCGCGCTCCTTCTTCAGCTTGGTCTGCTTCCACACGGGCAACTGGTCGAACTCCGAGCGACTCACGCCGAGCGCTTGCTGAAACTCATTCGTATTCAAGTAGAGCTCCAGGCGCGTAGGCTCAATGCCTTCCGGCAGTGGGCGCGCCTTAAGCACCTCAAGCGGATACTCGGTCTGGGTCATTTGTGCGAGCATTTCACTAATGGACATGGCCACATCGGTGCGACCATCCTGTAAGACAGAGAGTAAACGTGAATTTGGCTTTCATAGAGCACCTACACTTGGAGAGGAGTTCACTTGCCTCGACGTTGATTTCACGAACATCGTCGCGCTCGCACCAGTTGGGAAAGAGTGCTCTGAAGGCCACTGGCTCCAGGCCCGCCCAGACAACGTGGCCCTTGATGCCGTGGAAGGCAACCGCTTCGTTGTCGCCATGCTTAGCACGCCAATAGTCGACGGCCGTTTCTAGGGCGGCGCGTCGCTCTGAGATCCAACGGTTGACACCAGCGCGATTGTCGTTGGTGGGGCTGCTGCGATCCTCGGTGTTGACTGCAATCAAAGCGAGATTAGATCATGTCCAATAGGCTCAGCCTGACTCGGAGACTTACTTTTAATGTCCTCCAGTGGCCACCAGCCCATCCAGAGCCACAGCTCGTCGCCGTCGTCGAGCAGGAAGATAGTCGGCTGCCGGGCATTGTAGAGCTGGGCCTGTGAGAACGGATACGGGGATTGCAAGTCTTGGCAGCGCAAGGGATCGAGTAGCTCGTGGGCCGAAAAGACGCCTTGCGTGCTCGAGAAGTTGAACATTCGCATCGTGTAATCGTAGCACTTGGTTGACTTCAGCAGACTGCCATAGTTGGGCGTCTCGGAGAGACCGAGCGCCGTCTTACAGGCATCGCACTCGGCGCCCTCCTCCAGCTGCTCAACTGCGGCACTCGCACAGTCGAACATATCAGCCGGCAGCTGCTCCACCAGCTGCTGAGCTGCCGCTAAGGCGACGCTGCGCGTGTGGCTTGCGCTCTTGCAGCCGTGCCAGACAAGTACTTGCCCCTCGGTGCCATGGACTAGAAGCATGGAGCTGCGCGAGCGCAGTTGCCGTGCATCGCATTGGACTTCCTGGAGCAGCGATTCCTCTGGCAGATTGCCTTGCAGCTGGTACAAGCGCCACTCGGAACGCTTGGCCAGGCACTGGCTCCTGCGACCCTGATGCTGCCACAGCTGGCCGAAGAGTCGCACAAAGGCGGTGCACTCATCGCCTTGCGCCACACGCATTTGGGCGCCCTTCTCCTTGTCCAGCTCAACGGTCAGCAGTGCTGCGGCGCCCTTCTCATTGGCACTCGAGTCGACGCCCTGCCAGGTGAAGTAGACGCAACGATCGCGGCCAACCGTGCTGCGATTCGACACCTTGCCACTCAGCTCGCGCACTGTGACCGAAATCTGATATATCCAGCGCACAATATAGCTCTCCGTGGAGTAGAAGTGGCCGTAGGTCTCGCGTGCCTCGGCCGCATCGAAGTTGAACTCGTGGATTTGCCACTTATCAATCGACTTGCTAATTATGTCGAAGTGGCGCATTGTGTCGTTGTCGTAGTAGAAGTTGCCACGGCCCAAGTTGGCCAGCTCGAGCACCAGGTTGGGCTCCAGATAGGGTTCGCCCTTGTGCAGAGTGGCGCCATTTGGGGCGCGCACCACCTGCACACCGTTGGCCAAGTAGTCCTTCTCGAGATCTTCGCGCTCCAGCTCTGGCCAGTCGCTGAACTTCTCCTTGAATAGCACCGTCTCCATATTTTGCGTAATCCTGCCGAGCACACACCAATCCGGGCGCTGGGGGCAACGCTTGGCATACTTCGTGCTCTCCCGGCGGCCGACGATGCTCGCGTAGTTCAGCGGATTCAGATAGCACTGGCCATAATCGGCGGCGTCCGAGGCATCGAAGTGCTCCTGGGCGAGCCGCATGGCCGCCCGCTTGTCATCCGTGCTGGCATTCTTGCCATTCCAGACGTACAGCTCGCTGCCAAAGTCAAAGACCAGCACCTTGCGTGTGTCGAGCATCTCCACCTTGGGTATGCAGCCCCAATACTTGTCGAGGGGCATGAGCACGTCGTCCTGGAACTCGTAGATCTTGTTTGTCTCGATCAGACTGCTCTCGAACACGTCATCCTCGTCCGCATGCCCGGAGTCGGCGATCGACGATTGTCGCTCCTCGGATTCGCCCAGCAGCGACCAGAACTGGCGCCACTCGCGCTCGTTCACGTACTTGCCGTCGGTGAGGATCACCTCCTGGGTGGCTGTGCAGCCCAGATCCTTGTTCTCTATGATGGCAGCGCAGATCTTCTTGCTGCGCGAGATCTCAATCACATTGGCGAACGAGCCCACGTAGCGGAACAGCTGCGTGCCCGCAACCAAGATGAAGCAGTCGCCGCGATTGAGCGACACCTGTGCAGGTGCCACCAAGCGCGTCTGGACGTGCGTGCGCCCCTTGACATGCAGCAGCATCAGTCGCTTGTGGGGCAGCCATGCCTGCTGCAGCGGCAGCGCCGACGACTTCAGCGCCACCGACTTGAAATCTTCGATCGAGGCCAGGCCCGCAATGGCCTCTGCTGCCAGGTTGCCGCGTTGTCCATCTGCCAAATGCGGATCGATGAGGGAGGCTCAAGCAGCAGGAAAATATTTCACAACTTACATGACTCCAGCTTAAGGCGTCGCAGCTCCCGCTCGGCAACGCCCGTCTTCAGTTCCGTGTACTCGGAGCGGATGTCGCTGCGTGCGGCCAGCGTCTTGAGCGGATTGCGTGCAGCGCGTCGGCCCTTGGGACCCTGAATGTGGCGCTTGCTGACCAGACTGAAGAGCGAGAGAAAACCATCAGAGCTCAACTCAGCTCAAGCTGCAGCTGCTCGACTTACCGCTCCGTGGACTTGATGTCATCGAAGGCGCTTATCTCCAGCTCGAACGATTCGTCGTTCGCTTGGCCCTTGGCCTGGACGCCAAAGAAGCTCTCGAAGGTCTCCGCATCGTCCAGTCGCGGCACTTGAATGCGGGAGCCCACATTTGTGGCCGCCTCTGCGCTCTTGTTGTTGGCCAGCTCCTTGTGCTGCTTGGCATTGCGCGGCGAGCCGTCCGACTCGGAGCTGCTGCTGCTGCTGCTGCTGTTGCTGCTGTTGCTGCGCGTCAGTGTGACAGCCTCCTCAACTGTGACGCTCAAGCTGCGCTGCAGTGCACCCGCTTTCGTGGCGTTGGTCACCATCATGGAGGGGCTCTTGGCCAGGCCCAGCTGCGGCTGATTGGCGCTGCGCACCTCCAGCATGGGACACTTCTTGGCCGCATCGTTGGGCAGCCGCTCGAACTGCAGCTCGACTGGCGATTGCTCCTTCTTCTGCAGTCGGCCAGCGACTGTGAACTTCTTGGCATCCGTTGGCCCTGCGAGCAATGTTTGACTATGAAAACAGCTGCGCAGCTGCGTCACGTGCACTTACCTATGCGCTGCTTCCAGTTCTCTGAATTCGATTTGAGTTTGCCCAGGCGATCCGAGACTTTGCCGCCCTCAAGGCTGGCCACGATCAGCGGCGATGGCGGCAAGGGCTTATCAGAGATCGATTGGGCCAATGAAAGTGATTCCTGTGCGGGAGGAAGGCAGTTAAAGAGCAATTAGTACGTCTTGAAATGATTGTGGGCGTTGCATGGCAAATGTCAAAAGCAAAACAACGAAATTGAAATGAATTAAGCGCGCACATTGCCCACAGAAATGGTCATCAGTCAAACCATTTTGGGCTGCTTAGATTTAGATTTGGCCAACATTTTGCTCGGTTATAAAACTTGGGTTATTCCCAGTTGATAACATGACTCACTGGCCTGGCCTGGCCCGGTCCGTGTTGGCTGTTTAGTTAGAAGGGTCAACAGTTTGTCAAACAAAATCCATTTACCAGTTTCGCTTTTTGCATTTTACACACACATCCGAGTCACACCTTAAAGCCAAGTTAATTGATTAGCCAAGCTCCAGAGTTGTTAACAGCGCGCCACGGGATCTGTGACTGAGCTACTCGAAGCATTTCATTGCCTTGTCCCAAAAAATTAAAACACCGAGCAACTGCGCAGTGGAAGGTGAGACAGGTAACGATAGCTGTAAAACAAATAGCCTTAAAGAGAGGCGGAGTGAGAGAGCCAAGTGCGATTAGATATGGGCAGCTCGCACTGATAGCCAACTAGCGACTGGGCTCAAAGAGGGGGCGAGGCAGAGACAGAGGCAGAGCGAGACTGAGATAAGATAAGCAACAGCAAGAGAGAGCAGAGAGAGAGCAGAGAGAGAAACATAGTTCAGATTGTTTACTTTTTCGTTCTAGCTGCAAGTTGAACCCACAAATTTAGTGTAAATATCGCATATTTATGCTTGTGGCACACTGAAGATAGCTGCGGATTACCTAGGGCCTATCGCTTGTGGGCATAGACGGCACAATAAATCATCTGTTATCATTGCATTTGTTTATCGAAATTTCCAATTATTGGCAATGCGCATGTGATTGAATAAGCCAACGCTTTGTTACGCTCGCAGCTATCAGCTACTCACAACCTTCGCGGATGATAGCGAAATACAATGAAATTCTCCTCAAGTTGATCAGAATGCGTCATCCGCGGGGCAGAGCACGGCTTTGTGGCTTAGCTGACGATTGCGAGCGCCGTGTTTACGATGAATCATCTCAGCATTAAATGTGATAATAATAAAAAAGGGTCAAATCCAACTAAAAGGCAAATAAATAAATACAAAGACGACCTGAAGTGACGAAGCCTGAATACGCTTTGTTCAATCCATATAGACTTCACAATATACATATTCATAATATTTGTATATTTAGCTTTCCTATCATTAAGTTGGCAATATTTGTTAATTAAAGCCAAATCAACATTTAGCCAGAATCATTTGATCAGTTACCCTAAACTGGGCAGCTCGTTGGCCATGGGCTTTTGCATACGCCCACCTGTTAAGCTGAATTTGGCTAAGCTGCTGGCCAAATTTGTTGTGGCTGTTGGCAGAGGCTACCAACTGCCTCAACACTCACTCAGTGAGACATTTGTCCAATTGGAACAGCTGCAATTGAGGCGCCATGAAAATCCAATCAGAATTCGATGCTCGATGATTTGGCAGTTGGAAAAGTAAATTTACTTTAAAGTGGTGCAAACAGCAGTCACCTAGTTGCAAGCAACTTCTGTAGTTGTGCGTAGATAATAATAATAATAGAAATAGCAATAGAGCAGTCACTACTATTTCTATGAACAACTACAAGAATTGCGCTTGCTGAAACGCCTTTTCCAGAGAGCAGTAGCTTAGCTCAGTAGAGTATTTGAATAGCAGTAAGAACTCGTTGCTTGCCTTTTTTATCACTAACATAAAGCGTTATCGTTGGTGCTATTATATCTTTCGCAAGCGGCCCATTCATTGATCTCGACTAAAGTGAAGCAGCCTTTGTGAGGCAATTCCAGGCGAGTGCTCAGCTCTGCTGATAAGTTCTTCTCTGTTGCGCCTAGGGTCAAAGGTATTTGCACTCGAGCATCGTAAATATATCCATAAAGAATTTGATTAATGATAGCAAATATATATATATAAATATATATAGCCTGAATGGATTTGTATTCGATTTGCGCTTTGCAATCTAAGAAAATTAATCATCATAATAAAAGCCCAAATGCCAATCGACAGACAAATTTCTTTGGCTAGAACAGATCGGAGCTGTTCTGCGGGCTAAAAACATGCTGAAAATGAATGTTTATTAAATAAAAGAAATGTGTGTATGCAAATTAATAAAAACAGCTGCAAAGCAGCCAGACGCAAAGCACAAATTTTTCATATTCTATTGCACTTTTCTCTCTCTCTCTCTCTCTCTGTCGGCAGCTGTTGCAGACATAAATTAAATGAAATTCTTACAATTGATTGTCGTAAACCATTTATTTATTAAATACATATATATATATAAACATACTCTTGTGTATGTGTGTGGGACATAAATAATACTAACTACAAATTCGTAGTCGTCGAACCTTTGCTTAGCGAGTGCTCGAAGCATTTTAGTACTTTTCATATTTATTTGTCACTTGAGATAATTTGGTTGGTTTTTTTCGTAATTCAATTACGGTTTTATTATTAAATCATAATGACAATAGTAATAAATAAACAGTCACAGGCAACTGAGAACTGAGAACCAGAATAGCGACCAGGCAAGCAGACGATACGTGGCACCAAAGGACCCTCTCGCCCATGCAACTAAGCACAAATCGAATTCACTAGGCATAATTAATAATTATAGTCATTGCAGAAATAGTTATAGTAATAATAATCCATAACTGTTATTCCTCTATGTGACTTTTATTTGCTTAAGTTTTCGCTAATTAAACAAACAAAATGCAACTGGCAAATGCTGCGCAACAGCCAGGGAAGGGCGAAGGCCGAGGCGGAGGCGTGGCGTATCGTATGATTATGAGTCAAGCAAGCAATAGATAAGCGAGCAAGAATGAGATAGAAAGAGACAGCTGGAGAGGGAGAGGGAGAGAGAAGCATGCTGAAAGCCTTTCGAGCTCGCACATGGCACAAACTAAGTGACCCGAGAGCAGCTGAGCTAGGAATGCACTCGGCGTCAACTGAACTCAGCCCAACTCATCAGCATGATCTCAACTGGTCTCCAGCTGCTGCAGCGTCGTCTCGTTGACAAACAGCGTCTCCTGCTCCTCGTTGAGCAGATCTGTTATGGAGTAGGCGGACAGGGGCCGCGAGAATCTGCGCTCCGAGAGTATGTCGTCGATGCAGGTGATGGGCGAGAGGCTGTTGCAGTCGACGGGCTCCTCGGCGCTGCGCGCGATGGCCTGGAAGATGTCCTCCATGCTAGACTTGAGGCATAGTGCCGGCGGCTGGCGCAGCAGCAATGGTGAATGTGGCTCAGGTGAGCTGCACAGCGGTGATGCCGTTGAGGGCGTGGCTGAGGTGCCGAGGCTGCGTCTTATGCTCGGCACAGGCATTGCCGACATGGGCTCCCAATCATTTACTGACTTTTGTTGCTGCGGCTGCGGCTGCTGCTGCTGTTGCTGCTGATCCTGCAGCTCCTGCCACAGTTGCATGGCATGCTCAATGTGCTGCATCTGTGTGGCAATGCTGCCTTTGCGCGAGACGCAGGGCGTCGTCTCGCTGGACCCCTCGCTGGCGCCCAGCAGGCGCACTTCGGGCAGCGCTACAGGTGTCACGCGGCTCACCTGCCGCGTCGTATTGCCCGACTCGAACATGCGCGCAATCTTTGTCACATTGTTGTGCTTAATGGACGGCAGCTCCGGCCGGGTCAGCGGCTGTTGTCGCTTCGGATAGACTCGAGTCACCGGCTTGCGTTGCTTCGGCTGCTTAGCCGGCAGCTCCTGCGTCTGCGCCTGGGCATTGGCTTTGACATGGGCGTGGCAGCACAGCTCAGGGCCATAGCAGCGATGGAATTTGTGACGATTCGCCTCGAAGTCAGCGTCCGCGAACCGTTTCATGCGCATCAGCGACTTGGGCAGCAGCGTGAGCAGGACGTAGGCCACCAGTAGGTAGGGCAGGTAGTTCAGCCATTGCCAGGCTGTCTCCAGATACACTTGGTAGTCGCTAGCGGTAGTCATTGCGGCTAATGTAGCTGCTCTTTTTCTGTTACTATCTGCAATTTGCTTTCGATTTCGCGAGTATTTATTAACTGTTTCCGTTGGCAAACACAATTCTGATATCGTTTTCAGTCTTTGATAAGCGACACTTTTACCATGACATCACGAAACACTAAATTAAAAAAAGGTTTTTGCAAAACAAATTGTAAATAATTTTTATAATTTTTGAAAATATTTAAAAATATTTTCAAAATATCTTTATACAACACAAAAATATTGCAAAAATCGCACAATCAAATATTTACTGTCTGCATTTTGCAATATCTTTTTGTTGTCCTTTCTCTTTCCTACACTCACACACACCTTTCGTTAAGTGCTTTCTGTTGTGGTTTGCAATCAGCAGCCGCACAGTTTGTCCTTATATTAATGCATATATACAAAAACATATTCCAACGCTCGCTTTAGTATCTTGGACTGACATCTGATATCCGCACAAGGCTGTCTTTTATTTATTTTAAAATTCTTTTGTTTTTCTTTAGATATTTATTTTGAATTTGTTTTTGCTTTTGCTTTTAGGCGCGTTTTGCATTCCGACGCACCCAACAGTCGTTCTCTTCGGCTTCTCGTCTTAAATTTAACTGAACGAACGACAGCGAACGCAACTTTTATCAAGCTGCGGCGCTCTCTGTAGTCTTGCTTTCTCTCCACTCGTTTGGCGGTGCTCTCACGCTCTCTCACGTAGTTATTCTTCTTCTGTGCTTTATGATGTTTGTCTTCGTTGAGTTTCGATGACAACGTCGCGAACGCGGTGGCAGCTGCACTTGCGCACTTAGGTTCAATAATTGTAGTGAGCGTACAAGTAGTTGGGTTCAAATTGGAGCATCATTCTTATTGGTAATTTATACATAGGTCAATGCAGCAATGTGTGTTTGTGAATGTGACCAATCAGCATATGAATTTCTTCCATTTACCATTCATATGACCAAGTGGTGGTTTCCAATTAGAATATTTATTGGTAATGGATTATACTGCTTAAACAACGTATACTGATTAGATCTATTTACGGCCAGTTAGAATGTTCATTTGGCTTGCAAATTTATTCGTTTTCCGCTTGGTTTCCATATATTCACACTAGTTTTATTTTATTTCGGATTGAAGAATATTCTATTCGTTTTGCGATGAGGTATCGTGTATTTATTTTTAAAATATTACGTGGACTTCGATTTGTAATAGTCACAAAATGCGGGCAAGCGTAATACAGCGCATAAGAAAGTTCTCAAAAGTGAACATGTGTGAGTCTACGTGAGTGTATGCGCGTATGAGTGAAACGACCAGCCTTGAAATACATTTATCTTAATAATTGTCGTGAAATTTGTGTCAACGTTTCACTACTGTAAATGCAAATGCAACTGCAAAAGTCAAATAATATGTATGAAAATATTTATTTGAGTTTATATAATTCGCTTCCTGCTGCGCCGCATTCGACAGTTTATGCAACTTATTTTCGCAGTCAGGAAACTACTTCACATTACTTTTTATGCAATCAGAGCGAATGGAGCGTGCGAGAGAGAAAGAGATAGCTGCAGCGGGAGCGACAGCGAGAGAGTTCAATATACACACACGTCAATTTTGATTTGCCGCTTATCAAATTGAATGTCAATGGAAAACGGGCAGCAAAAACAAAATAACGCATAACAATAACAATAACAATGGCGAAATGAGTTTTGCGAGTTGCGAAGCGCTCGCCTTGGAGTCGCGGCTCGTACTGCGGCAGCGCTCAGATCGGCAAGCTACAAGTTCCGATTGCAGACTATCAAAGCCGGCTTCGAAAGTGTGAGTGAGAGAGAGAGACAGCGGGAGAGTGGAGAGTAGAGAGCGGGAGAGTGAGCGTGTTGTTGTTGACTCGCAGGCGGCAGACAATGAAAACAGACTATTTAAATTAAATTGAGCGCAAACAGGAGAGATCTTAGGCAGCAAAAGAGATGGAACGGGAGAGGGTGAGAAAGAGAGTTTGCAAATTTACTGACATCTCAGTCAGCGAAGGCGAGGGAGCGGGAGAGGAAAAAAATTTGCAAATTTAGTGACGAAGGGCCTGATGCGTTGAAATTTGGATAAATCATTAACTTAAACGCAGAAAACATGAATCATTTCTTAAGCAATCTTTCAGATTGATACGTATATACACTATATGTATGTGGCAGAGCCGCTTAAAGATGATGAAAGTCAGATAAATAGCCAGCTTATCGTGCACAGAACAGAAATGTGCAAAAGAAAATAATGAATCACATAAAGACACCAAAAATAATCAGCAATGAGCAGAGAGACAAGCGACAGGGCAGAGCAGGGCAGAGCATATGAATGCGACCCAACTTGCTTGTAAGAACGTTTTTATATAGAAAACAACAATAATAACAACAACAACAACAACAACAACAACATCTAGCTACTGTCATTGCGTCTTGGCGAGGCATGGACTAATGAACAAGTACAGCAGATCAGCGCAGCAAAGCAAAGAAAAAAACAACATAATCGCAACAGCAAGCGAACAATACACGAGTATAATAAACTACGCAGCAGAGGGGCCACAGATAGAGCTGGGGATGGGTGGACGGAGAGATATGTGTATGTATGTCTGGGCAAAGCAGCAAGTATATCAAATTCACTAAAACAATTTACAATAGCTAGAGGAAGGCAGAGGCACAGGCAAAGGCGAGGCCAAGCCCAGTTGGTTGTTTGGGGGCTTTGCTTGGCAGATGAGCACGTTCAAGATCAAGCCGCAGATCAAATGCAGCCACAGCTGCTGGACCCAGCAGCAGCAACAGCAGCAAGAACTACAAGAGGCAGCAGCCACAACAGAGGCAATAGCCAAGGGGCGGGCGTGGGGCGCATGTGGAGTAGAAGCTACAACTCAACCCAAACACTAGCGCTGCTTGGCTAGAGGAAGCGAAGTAAATGGAGTGGAAGCTGCAGCTCAACCCAAACACAGCCCAACAACCGCCTTCAGTTCCATCCTTTTTATTTGATAATTGTTGTTGTTGCAGCTTGTTGCTGCCCACAAGGCAAGTTTTTTTTTTTTTTTTTTTTTTTTTTTTTTTTTTTTTTTTTTTTTTTTCGTTTTTATTTCTTTATTTTGTTGCAGCTTATTGTCTTAGACTCTATAGCGCATTTAGCTCTAAACCTTAACTAATGGGAGGGCAGATATGCCAATTATTCTGCACTTGTAGCTACTATCTTAATTAGTTCTAATATTGTCTAGAGGATGCAATCTCTTCAGTCTTCGCCTATTGTTGTTTATAGCCAGGTTGCTTGCGAGATGGTTAGGATGCGCTGCAAGTCTGTCCGCGTATCTTGAACTGTGTCGCCCAATGAGTTCAGCAACTGTGGGAATTGCTAAATCCCTATGTAAGACTGAGTTTCTTACAAACCAGCTGGCTCCAGTCCATCTGCGTAGTGCTTTATTCTGCAGGGTCTGAATTTTGTTCCTTGTAGTCTTCGCCGAGGAGCCCCATAGAGAGATACCATATACGAAGGTTGGGACAACTATTGCCTTGTAGATGGCGGCCTTGCTGCTGTAAGACAACTTGCTTGAAGCTCTCAGCATCCAGTCGAGGGTTTTTAGCTTGCTTTTGCATTTTGAGGTTACTTGACTTATGTGCGCTTTAAAAGTCAGCCTTCTGTCAAGAGTGATACCAAGGTACTTTACTTTTGAGGCTTTGGGAATAGTGGGCCCCAATGCAACGCTTGGGCAATCTCCTCTTCTAGTGGCGAAGGTAGTATGTACAGACTTTTGTGCATTAATGGTGATACACCACCGTTTTGCCCAGCGTCCGAAAGAGTCCAGATATTTTTGTAGTGAGTCTGAAGCTTCTTGCGCAGATACGTGACGTGATAAGATGGCGGTGTCATCTGCATAGGTCGCTATGAGTACTGCATCTGTACTTCCTATATTTGGCTCGGGAGTTGGCATATCTCCTGTGAATAAAGTATAAAGTGTTGGGCCTAGAACACTACCCTGTGGTACTCCAGCCATAATTGGTCTAGTCAAGGATACTGTTTGCCCCCTTGACACTTGGAAGGTTCTTCCAATAAGGTATGAGGATAGCAACGCGAAAAATGGGGCTGGAAGGGTGGTCCTCACTTTCTGCAGCAGTCCCAGGTGCCAAACTCGATCAAACGCCTGTTTGATGTCTAAAAAGACGGCAGAGCAGTACATCTTTTCTTCAAAGGCTCCAAGGATATGGTGCACAACTCTGTGAACCTGTTCCGGTGTACAAGGCAAGTTTAGCTAGTAAAAAATGAAGAAATGTAAGTTGGCAGGCAACTGCTGCAGCGTAGGCCCTGCTCTCTCTATACAGCAGACGGTCCATAATGCTGTCTTAGCTGATTATGATGATGATATGCCTGGCAAACGTGGCCACTTGATTGTTACGATTCAAGCCGAATTCCACCTAAGAACTGCCAGTGTGACCTTTCCTAGGTAGAACTAATTAGTCTCCAACTTACATACGACGATCTGATATTGATAATATAATGGATTAGTAAGGAGTAGGCTCTACAACTGAGCTACATATAATTATTGCTGATTCAATTCAATTCAATTAAGTTAACTTAAAATCAAATTCATAAATTGATTTTTATGCATAAACCAAACCAAGCCCAATCTAAATACAATATTTTGTGCACACGATAAGCTGATTCATGCAATCAGTTTTCATAGACTTTCCAACGGCCTTGCCCCACTGTTACGAGTATGGCGCAGGCGTCAAGTGCTTGAGCGTCTAGTTATGTACTATCTACATATATATATATATGTATCTCTATCTATATTTGTATCTGTAACTGCTCATGTAGACAACTCTTCAACTTCAAGAAGCGTGAACAACGACAATTCAAAACTCATTTGACTCGTGCCCACATCCCTGGGTTAGATCTTTCAAAACGGTTTGACATGAATTTGCCTCGGAAATTTCTCCCAAAGCGACAAGCTGCTGCCATATAGAGAGTCAGACGGGGGCAGCTCACGTTGATTATGATGATGCCCAAAAAGGCGTGGCGGTTGTAATTAAATGTGATTACTTGAACATTAGAGTACAACAGGCTGGGGCGAGGGAGGTGTCTGAACACCCAACAGACCCGCATAATTATAGGCCTCGGCGTAAAGCGCTCTTAATAAGGCAAACAGAGAAAGGAGGCGATGGGAAAAGTTCACTCAACTTAACTTTGGCGGATTTCATTTGAAGTTCAATACAACAATTTTTTGCAAGTGTTGGAACAAAATGTCACCTAGCCATAAAAAGTCCGACAGGTAATTGGTAATACAGACGCGCAGCCGTTAAACGAAAGTAAAACGCCAAATTCAGCACACTTAACCGGGCTGGCAATAGTAGAAGTACAGTAAAAGCTTCATAACAAATCGGATTTACAGCCTAAAAAGCTCAAACTTTCTTGAAATTCTTTAAATATCGTTTGTATACTCTGCTTGTTGCTGTCAATATTTACAGTGTTAATATATATATTTATATATATACATATCTGTGTCAAATTAAATCACTTAATGTTTTTCAAATACTCTTAAAACTGAGCTGAAGTCAATGGTCAACAAAATTCAATAGAAAAATAATAGAAACACGTATAAAAATAGTAGCATACTTTTAGGCAAACATTTAATGGCGCCATCTATCGTTAGGCAGAATGCGTTGACTGCTGAGGCAGTGAACTATTCGACATTAGCTTAAAATTACAATTGGAAATTTAAGGTTTTTCGAATGAAAAACATTTAATTTAAAATATATAAAAAATAAGGTAAAAAATGTGATTAGTTATTCGTTATATATATCGGTCTATAATAGACAAATATCTTCATAATATCAATCTGATTTAAGTTAAGTTCAATGTGTATTTCTTTGAATTGTGGTTCGCACTTTTTGACTAGCTCTCGTTTAGCCAGCGCCTTTGAACGCTTGGCTAACAGCTTGGAGGCAGGCAAGAGAAACTAAACTAAAGTTAGTTAGCAGCAAACGTTGCGCATAATTACAAAATTGTTGCAAGCGACAATAAGGAAATAGTTTTCACGCAAGTGCGAAAGCAATTGAAATTGCGATTGTAATGAAAAACGGAAAAATGGAAAAACTTGTTGGCAACAGAGACCAGAGTTGGCTCATAGATTAAGTAAATCACAAAACTCTGTACTTACATTGACGAAATTCTCTCGACAAATATCGTCGACCTCATCGCGCTTGCTGATGCGCTTCTTCCAGTCGTCCTCGCCGCTCTTCTGCAGCGCTGCCAAACGATCGGCAATGGAGCCTGTCTTGGCGATATTGCGCTGATCGGGACCCATAATCTGAGAGTAAACAACGATTGAATTGGAAGCGACGTCAATGTGGAGTGTGCCAGGTAAACTCACCTCAGTTTCTTGATCTTCTGCAGTGGCGTCTGTGTTGAGAGCTGTATCCTGTTGCTTATCTGGCTGCGATTGCGTTGATGTGTTCGGCTTATCGGTATCTACATGACGCAACTTCACAAACCCACCTGCATTAAGTGGCGGCAGTTGGGGGCCGGCTATGCCCGAGTAACTTTTGCTTTTCGCAATGAGATTGCTGCAAAGAGATAAACACAAAGATAAACTGTTAAAGAGTGTGTGCTTGTGGGTGTGTGTGTGTGTGTGTGTGAAGCGTATCTCACAGATACTCGCACATCAAATGCAGTCAGCCAGCAGCAATCGGCATTCAGTTTGCTAGATGATTTCGTTGCCTTTTCTATACGCCCCAATCATTCCATTAATAACAGACTCGTGATGCAGCATTTTCTGTGCCACTAATGAGGATCAAGCGAACCAGAGTTGATAACTCTTAATGCTTTTTCCGAAAACCCGAATGCACATTCTACAGCACAGGAAGCAATCGTCGCTACATTTGCCAGGCAAACTTTCTCTCCTCATGGCACATAATTTATAAATGCCAGAAAGACATTTTAGTCAGATACGTTGTTATAGCTAGGCTTAGGAATAGCTTTAACTTTGCGATCTGCTCATGATCAACCTGCAGTTGGGCTTAAGTTTTATGGAAGATAGGATATAAGTAACTCCTGATACGATGAGTTTAATAAACATGCTTCATGGACGTGGCTCTCTTGACATATTCTAAGTATATAGCCTAACTGGCTTCAATCTCTTCTAGAGCGAAACTAGTGAAATAACTCTAACGAAACATTTCCTTCAGTCCTATCACAATAGTGCCTCATTACTCATTTTATAATTAAAACTAATTTGATACGAAAACAACATGAAATAAGTAGATTAAGTACAATTCGTATGGTCATTAGCTAACACAATTGGCTTGTAATTCGTACAGTTAGATTTTCCTTTAGGCCTTAGTCATTCAGCAAACAAATAGCCAAGATTTGAGTCGATGCTCAGCATGAGTCAGAAGATTGTAACTTACAGTTTTCTTTGATAGCTTCACACTGAGTTCAGAAATTAGCTTTATAAAGGTAAAGTCTGGTAGATAAGACTGCGGCACAGTTGTAGAGTCACTGAGAAACACTTAAGACCGTTGCACAGAGCGAGTGAGTGAGTGCGAACTGAACGTGGCAAATGCCTGCAGACGATTGAACGTTGCTTGCAACGACCATCGAAGCTTAACACCTGGCTAGTGGCTAACGCTGGTTTAGTGCCTGCAGGTAAACACAAAATCCCGACAGTTAAATTGCACATTAATTTGGAAATTCTGACAGCCTGTTGACAGACACTCAAAGTGGGAGAAGCAGGTCAAAATTTGAGCAGCGAGCTGCAAGTTCACCAGGTGCAAAAGAGCAGGATAACTACCTGAAGCCATGACCAAACAAGTTTGTCAGTCTGTTGACAGAACATCAAAGTTTTTGTAATTTGAATTATGTGGAAGCTAACAAACGTTTAGCAAAGAGTCTCAAAGTCAACTTAACACGAAGAAAGCAAACAAGACACAAGCTTAAAAAATATTGATAGATATATCAGTGTAGTCTCTCTCTGTATATATATATACTGATCATGATCTTTGAGGACATAGCTTATGCCCTGATTGATTTGAACACTTGAAAATCTAGCCTAGTTAGCACCTCGTTTTTTTGCAGTGTAAATCAAAGTAAAAGCGTAGATAATACTTGAATTGCATGCAGTCAAAATAACTTATGGCTCGATAGGTGATTGAGTAATAGGTCAAAGTTCACAGCACACGCGAAGGTCTGCCGGGCAGCTCCTTTTGCGGCGAGGCCTTCCTTTGTTTACACACCAAATGCACAAATTGATATTGAAACAATTTAGCGTTCAATTAGTTTGAGTGGTCAAGGTGTGGTCGGCCTGGTGAACACCCGCCCAGCTGGCAGCCCACAAACAAGTTTTAATTCCCTTTCAGCTTGGCTCGCTCCGGTTACCTAATGAAGCTGTGAAAAACAGCGAAAACTGACAGCTAAACTGCTAAATGTTATGAATTGCATCACTTGCTGCCGGGGCGAGTTCGAAGTATTTTGTAATTGAATTATGCACAATTTGCGATTCATAATTCGTAATTATCATTTTTGTACAGCACGCGATCAGCTGACTCCGCAATGATATAACAAAGTGAATTGTTTTATGAACTGTGCTTAGCACGGCATAAACAATTCAGGCGAGTCTTAAGCACGACATCGGCCAATAAAATGTAACGGAGGCAAGGCTTCCTCAAATTCAAAGATCTTCAATGCGAACTTGAACAGTTGTTGGCGCGGTTTGCAGCAAGGTGAGACTGAAGTGCAGCGCGTCAGGGTTACGGCTCGAGCTAAGTTCGCACTTGTCTAATTATTATACGATTTATTGGTTACACTAGTAGCAAAACCGCAAAACTAGCAATCCAAGCGATCGCATTGCAGCTTCGCTGCGCTGTTCAAATGTAATCATAGACATCTCAGACTCAAGCAAAATGAAACTTATGCAAGCCGAGCCCCGAAACATAATTGCAAAAGATTTGCTAAACTTTGCGAGCTGTTCAAGTGTCATCGCCAACCTCTTTTGGGGCTGCCCAAAAGGCACTTGAGTTAAAGATCGCGGCCCAGAGCTTTCCCACGCGGCATTTCATTTGTGGAGCCTACAGCTGAGACTCCCTCAGCTCCCGCGATGTTAGTCATTATGCAAAATTACAACGTCAACGCGATCTTTACATCTTCCGACCTGTCCCCCGACCTGCCTCGAGCTCAATTTACCAGTCGCTTTTGTTCAAGCATTTGCGCTTTTAACTTTTCATTAGACTGACCTTCGCTGACTCTGAATCGCAGCTACCCAGCATTTTTCGCTTTTCGTTTTGCCCACGTTTTAGCTTTTTAAATATTATTTTTAACAATTTCAGACAAATTTTTACTAAATTCTATGCACGGTTGAGGTGTTTAAAACAAGTTCAAGGCGGCTGATGATGTAAGTATATATTTTATAAAAATTCTATCTATAGTAACAGCTAAACTTAGACAAAACAACTTCGACATCTGAGCAAGACGACTTTTGTTTTTTACATCTTGATTATCGACTCTAGCAATATGAGTATCAGTGCTAGCAACATTTGCTTGGTGTTTTGGTTTTATCAACATGAATAATAGCCTTAGCAACATTTAACTAATGATCTTAGCAACATTTGGTAATGTATTTGGGTACATTCTGAGGCTTGTTTTTGCCTTAAGAAGAATGTTGCCAAGATGAATATATGTCCTAGCAACATCTAGTATTAGCAACATGTTAGCAACACGAGCATGACTCCCAGCAACATTTGAACAGCTGTTTTGCATTGTTGCGGACAGGCGCAGAGCTGACAGCACGTGCTGCATGCAAGCGCAGCCACCCCCATTAATGTTAGCCCCACCATGCCTCAAATCACCACCCCCCAACCCCACTTAGAATAAGCCCAGACATGTTTTTCTATCGTTTGCCGGTTGCCGGGGAGACCAAAAACCAATACCAAACAAACTCCATTCTTTGTTTGTTGGCGATAAGTTTGGCTCGACAGAGAATGGAGGGGACAGGAAGAGCGGAAGCTCTCGCAGAGAGTGAGAAGGGGGTTTAACGCAAATGACGCACCAAGTGGCCAGAGCAGCAGACTGTTCGACTAATAGCTATGAAAATGCATTTTTGGCAAACGTCGGAAACTGCGAGCAGACGACAAAGGGAAATATTTCATTCGCTCTTAAATTCTATGTATATTTGGGGATGTTCTGCGGTTGCCTTGGTTGGGTTGTTGCTCCAGACGTGCCTCACGTGCAATTTCTGCTGCACTTCAGCTCCAGCTACAGCTGCCGGCTGTTATTGATTGCTAGCCACTCCCTGATTCTGTTGGTCTAGCTTCAGCTCTTGAGATATTGCCGACAAGTTTGTCATAAAGTCTGTGCGAAACCAAAATCTTCCGGTTTTGGTTTCGTTTCACATTCGCTTCATGGGAAAATCATGAGTCAACAACAATTTACTGTGTTGACGGGTTTTCTGATGTGACGCTCCCGTTTACCGTTTTGTCTGTTACAGAACTGGCTGGTAGACACTTTGATAACTTGTTTGATTCGCTGGCCCAGCCCACGCAATAAACATATCCGGCGCGCTCGCTCGGTCTTGCCTTGGCCGTGACTTAATTGAGCGTACACGAGTGTATGCCCCTAAGTCCCTACCCCTACCACTACTCCTACTCCACATCTAACTGGCATGAACTCTGCGCCAAGTTCAACTCAACTTCAAAAACTAAAACAACGGTTGTCGTCGTCGTCACAGTCCATTCAACTGTAGCTCGAGCCACAGCTGTTGATGTTTCACTGCCGGGTTGACAAAACCTTTAACTCATATGTTTGTGTTGCGTGTGCAGCATGTGGCCTGAGTTTCTACTAATCTGAGTATTTTAGGTTCCACACTGATACTCGTATATTCACATATAACAAATCTAATTGATGCAACAAATAATTGTTGCAGCAGAATTTAGAACCCGTTTTAATAGAGATACATATTTGTAGGCACTTCGCAATGTTTCTGTTCCTTGACACGCAATTTCAGCAGCATTTTGTTATCTTTGTGTCTGTTGACATCAAATTTGCAGAAGAAAGCGAGTGCAACAGATTACAGCTTAGCGTGCAGTGCAGGGTGTTTCGCCGCTGGACATTGCCCACTAGAGCACTTGATAATTTATATTCTCAGATAATACGGTTCAATTATTTTGCTAGCGTTTTTTTTTCTATATTTTTAATCGCATTGCGCAATGCAAACAACTCAAACTGAGCGCCGCTCAAGTCACGATTTGATACACTGCGAGAAAAGAGAGCACATGTTGTTCCGGTTGATGCAAAGTCAGTGGCCAGCCAAAGTTCGCAGCTTAACAATGACATTTTATTAGATTGGCTTTTAATTATTAGTATTAATACGAACATGCTACAATATTTCGCCGAGTGTACACTTATACACTTATTGTTATGCATGAATACAGCTCGCTGTCGAACAGTCTGATAATCCGCGCACTTGCTAGCTGTTAATGAAGGCAGTTTATACGCCCGTGCTATGCCAAAAGGGGTAATACTGTTGCAACATTGAAATATTTAGAACGACAGCGACTAAAAACCAGTTTGGGGTAAGCGAATCTCCATCTAAAAGTGAGGCTGACACTGCGCTCCGCTGACTCCGACTCGGACTCGGACTGAGGCAGGGTTAGCCCGGCTAGCGCCTAGACAGATAGCACAGTCAAGTCGCGCACGCCGCGTCGACTACAACATAAAAGCGAATCTGTTTCTATATCGCAACTTTCAGTAACTGAACAAATCTGCGCGCGCTTTTATTAATATGTGGCTGACCTTGTTAGTTGGCGCTTTGACCCTGCTGCTGGCCTGGGACTTTGTACGCAAGCGCCACAGCTATGCCACACTCAGCAGATCGGGCATTACGGGTCCCCTCTCGCTGCCTCTGGTCGGTTGTGGCTTCCAAGCGCTGCAACTGGGTGCAGACAGTGAGTTCTAGTTCGCCTGGCAGCCCAGCTTTTGCTGACTTTCGCTTTCTCGCTTAGATATTATCGACTATGTCGGTGGCTGCTTCAACAAATATGGCAAGACCTTTCGCATGTGGATACTCAACGAGTCGCAGGTGTACACGACGCAGCTGGAGCACTTCGAGGCCATACTGAGCAGCACCACGCTGCTGGAGAAGGGTCAGCTGTACCAGTTCCTGCGCCCCTTCCTCAGCGACGGACTGCTCCTGAGTGTGGGCAGGAAATGGCACTCGAGGCGCAAGGTCTTTTCCACAGTCTTCCATTTCAAAATACTGGAGCACTACGTGGGCATTATGGATAAACAGGCGGCCATTTTGGTAGACAATCTGCAGCCAGTGGCCGATGGAGAGCAGCTGGTAGATACGCTCAAATACGTATCGCTGACAGCTCTCGATATCATTACCGGTGCGTATATCATTAATTCTATATAGTTCGGGAAGTAAATATTATATATTTTGCATAGAGACGGCCATGGGCGTGCAGGTAAATGCACAAAGCGATCCTGATTTTCCCTATATAAAGGCGCTGAAGAGGTAAGCAACTTGGGTAACGCCATGTGGTAAGGTCTAAGAGCAGGTTTAGCAAGAGCTCGCAGTAGGGAGATAACTTCATGTGGTAAGGTATGAGAGGACGTTAAGGGGTCCAAATAACAGGATAACCCCAGGTGGTAAGGCCTAAGAGGAACTATAAACTAAAGGGGTTCCAATAGACGCTTCTCTTCTAAGTTTATGTGGTAAGGCATAAGAGTAGGTGGAACCCCTTCCAAAAGAAGAACCCTTAAACATTCTTATTTGATAAGACGTTACGGAGAATCCCATTAGTTAGTTAACAAAGCTTCGAATTGCTGAGATTTTATAGCTTTATAAAAGCAAGTCGCTTAGGCAATTCCAGTAGACAAAGTCTCGTGAGGATGGTCTAATGAAATTGCGAACACGTAAAGGGTAAAGTGTAATAGCTAAACTATTTTTTATAGAGTATGTCTACACAGCAATTACTATACATTTCGCTAGCTCGTAGTTGCAGCGTAATAATTTTGCAAACTTTCAGCGTCGTTTACATCCAGCCGGATCGCATGCTTAAGTTCTCTCAGCGCTATGAGTGGCTTTTTAGAGTTACGGCTCCATTGTTACATAGGAAACTGGTGAGCGATATTCGCATCATGCATGACTTCACCGACAAGGTCATTCGAGAGCGACGCGAGGCGGTGGAGCGAGCGAAGGCCGACGGCACCTACCAACCGTTGAGTAAGTCGAGATAGCACTTGAATTGAATAGCCGACCATTGCAATAACAAGCATCTCATCATTCCACCTAACATCTAGGTCTGGGCGACGTGGACATTGGCAGCAAGCCTCAGATGGCATTCCTCGATATACTCCTGCAGGCTAACATTCAGGGCAGCCCGCTCACGGATGCCGACATACGCGAGGAGGTGGACACATTTATGTTCGAGGGCGACGATACTACCAGCAGCGGTGTGGCCCATGCCCTGCACTCCATTGCCCGACATCCCGCTGTTCAGGCGAAGATATATGAGGAGCTGCTGCGAGTGCTCGGCCCCGATCCAAAGGCAGCCATCAACCAGGCCCAGCTGCAGCAGCTCAAGTATCTCGAGTGCGTCATCAAAGAGACGATGCGACTCTATCCAGTAGTGCCAGCGATCGGCAGATATACGCGAAGGGATCTCAAGATTGGCGATCAGATCATACCGGCAAACACCAGCATCTACATGGTGCTCTACTTTGCGCATCGCGATCCGAAGTACTTTCCCGACCCGCTCAGCTTCAAACCCGAACGTTTCCTAGACGACGCAGAAGTTGCAGGCATCAAGGGGCAAGCCGCCACATTTGCCTATGTGCCCTTCAGTGCTGGCCCCAAGAACTGTATTGGCCAAAAATTTGCCATGCTCGAGATGAAGATGCTGCTCAGCAAGGTGATACAATATTACGAGCTGCTGCCCAAAGGCCCCGAGATAAAGCCAATGATGAATTTCATACTGCGCTCAACAACTGGCATGCACATAGCTCTAAGGCCACGATTCAAATAGGAATTGCTCGAGTCTCATGTGGCATTATGAAAGTACCTATACCTAAAGTACCTAAAATAAAATAAGTTCAGGGATCTTATAAGGGTTGTATCTAATACTAATACTGTAAATAGCGCAATATTAAAAACGAATTTGTATGTAAGAGATCTTAACTGCGTTTTATTACTGGGAGGTCCTCAGCCAATGTCTAAGCCAGGCGAGTGACAAAGGAAGTAATGCCCAAACTGCAGTCAAGACAACTTGAAAGAAGAAGAAAGGGAAGCCCCTTGAAAGGGGAATTCTGCAGAGCTTATTTAAAAATGGGTTAGATAAGCGGCAGCTGCAGCTGCTGATGCTGATGCATCATGCATCACATTATCTATATGAGATCATTTGAGTCACATTATCAATATTTGCCCAGATTGGGCGCCAACGTGTTGGTAGAGTGAGACAGCTCTTAATATATATTTGTGTAGCAAATCAACGGAAATCATATCAAGTTGAGTTTATCTTTCAGCAAACACATCTAGGCGCTGCAGCCGTGCAACGTCAGCTGGTTATGAATGTAATAAACGAAAGCAAAAGTGCAATTAGTATTTTATTAGAAGTCTTCAAATAGACCATGTAGAATACTAGCTTATCAACTGGCATCAGCTCAGACGTAGTTTCCACACACCATTTGATGAATGACGTGTTTGTAAATAAACAAGCGAACGGATGGAGGTCTATTTATCTAGTTTCATTTAAAATAAAAATTCGCAAGATGATAACCAAGGAGATCACATAATGAGCTTATCAGACATATTCGGTCTGCATATAAAAGCGAGTCGAAATAGACGCAGTGCGCCAAAAGCAACTCATACTCTAGACTCTGCAGACATGTCGTTGGGATCGGTTAAGCCTCTGGTATTCCTGGCTGCAATGCTGGTTGCCTCTAGCGAGGCTGTGATGCGGCCACTGCCGCCTTACATGGGCATGCCCACACAGGACGGTCTAACCCGTCTGTTCTTCAACTCACGGGTGACACATCGCGATCCGAAGACGTCGGTGTCCTGCTTTGCTGGCTACATTGGCGAATCGAATCTCATTGCGGAGCAGTACAGTGGAGCCTACAGTGAATGTCTGCAGCAGGCGCAGAAGTCACGTCGCGGCATCGACACTGACTTCCTGCCAACTCGCAGGAAAATCGAACAATCCGCCCAGTCTGTCTGCAGAGCTCTAACGAAATGCAACCAGGTTAGAGGCACGCTGGACTCCTTTAACTGCCATGCAGCAGCGGTGAGTAGAAAAGCCCCCAAATGTCAGGTGTGAAGTGAAGTCTCAATATGAATTTCAACAGGGCTCCAACAATACAATTTCGACATACGGCATTTCGGGCAACGCTTCAGAGTCGGCCACATTGCTGCAGGAACGCTATCGCCTAATCGATCTGAATCATGAGCAGTGCAATCACAAAGCCGAGCGCACCTACGTCGAGTCTACGGCCAGCAACTACAATTACTTGCAGGCCTGTCTCGACGGTCGCATCAAGCCGAAGCCCATACCCACGACCACCAGCAGCAGCTCAACAACGACAACGACCACAACCACGACGACGACCACCGAGGCGCCAACCACGCCGGAGGCAACAACTACGGATGCCCCGCCAGCCAATCTGGAAGATCAGTTTAAGCAGCTTTTAAACTTGCTAAACTAATGCCAAAGCGTCTTATCAACTACTTTGGCGAGCTCTTCAAGAGCTAACCTTTTAACATTAGACAGCAAATATTTAACTAAATATACTTAAAAGCAAATGTAACAAAACTAAGGCAGATCAACTTTGCCCATGCATGAAGAACCTTTCCCTAAAGTCTTTTTTGAGATTGCGCAACTATTGAAAACTATAAGAGCGGCAACAACTTATTATTAGAAGTAGTAATGCAGGGCATAAGGTCTGCCTTAATCAAATGTGTGTAAGGGAACAGCGGAAGTATTGGTAGAACCCATAACGCATAAACATATGCTTAATAAAGATCAACAGCTGAGTGAAGGTAGACTTACAGAAGGACTGACTATGTTCTGCCTGTCTGTCCGCATTTTGGTGTTTTGTTTGCAATCGAAGTTCGGCGCAGAGTACGACTCAGGGCAACTGCTAAAGATATTTGCTAGAGCCAGGGCAACTGCTAGAGATAACTGCTGGAGCTAGGGCAACTGCTGGAGCTAGGGTATCTGCTAGAGCTAGGGTAACTGCTAGAGATAAGGTATCAACAATAGCTAGGCTAACTGCTAGAGCTAGTGTTTCGGCTAGAGCTAGAGTAACGGCTAGAGCTAGGGTATCTTCAAGTCTCTGCCAAAATAGGATATCTGCTAGAGCTAGGCTGTCTGTTAGAGCTAGGATAACTGCTGGAGCTAAGGTAATTGCGAGAGCTAGGGTAACTGCTAGAGCTAGAGTAACGGCTAGAGCTAGGGTATCTTCAAAGCTCTGCCAAAATAGGAAATCTGCTAGAGCTAGGCTGTCTGCTAGAGCTAGGGAAACTGCTAGTCAGTAAACCCCTATTGTAGCACTTACTACTCTGTGACCTTCACCACTTAGCCACATCAACGCCAAAGCATTTCAAGATAATCTGCCAGAGACTCTCCCCTCTTTATTAGCACTCAACGATAATTGGAGGGGGCGAGATTAAAACAATTATAAAAATAAATCTATTAAAAAATTATGATGCTTATAAAAGGCTCGATTAAAGCAACGCTTCTCAAGGAGTTCTTGGTACGCGGAGCTAGAAATTGATGTGTTTGGCTATTAGAATTGATAGGCCATATAAGGCAGACAGGTAAATAATCAGACGCTTTTGGAAACGCGATTGGGCAACACATTTGCCTTTTATAGAGTTGAGTGTGCGCCTTTTATGTTCGGCAGCTTCTCAAAAGAGTTTGTCTAGGGCTCACAGAGTCACACACACGCACACCTGTTGGTCTGAAGCAGGTGGCTATTTATTAGCGCAATTGGCATGGTATGCGAAGCAGCAATTTATATGGTCAAGATCGCAGTTTTCTGTGGATCTGGATCGTATTGTGTGTTATTCTTGGTATCCGACCGTTGCGAGAAATTCTCCTATGCGTTTTATTGGCTGTGCTGTACACGCTTTAGCCTTGGCCAAGCAGGTTTCTTGGACGCAGTTAATATGTATTAGAAAAGGAAAACAAAACCAGTTACAGCAAAGTATCTCTGACATGAGTGGCAATAAAATAGGAGCTTTAATCATTAAGCGGCCATAGCAATAAATAATTAACATGTGATAATTAAAAACACCTTGATATGCCACGTAAATTAAAGACAAAAAGAAAGTAAGAGAGAAAAGCTTAAAAATAATATCTAATTAAATCCGGCAAAAGTCAGCAAAACTCAACGTTTGTTAAGCTAAGAATGAGACTTTTTCTACGTATTGAATCACGTATTGTCTGAAGATTACAGTAGAACTTTTCTATATATGTAATCTATGTATATCAAAGATTATTCTGTCAATAGCAATGAGCACGAAAGCTCAATCGCTTTTTATACCCTGCACCTGCAATTGAAAGTGGGTCTCTAGAAGGGTCTCGAGTTGATCTGTCCGTATGAACAAGACTCAGGGTATCTCCTAGTCGAGCACTCCCGACTACAGCTTTCTAGCTTGTTTATGAATTCTGTCGCGTATGTTGAAATATAATTACACACATACGCAGACACACCTGTGCGATTCTACACGATGATGAAATAGGAGGCGGCAGCTATGCAGCCAGCCCACCTGGCGAAGTCAGCTAAACGAGTTTCCATAAGCTTTTCACTGAAGCGAATGCGAGAACCCAGACAAACAAACGTCAAGCATAACAAACGAAGCAAGCAAATCAATTGAAAACTTTGCATAAATAAAACAGCACAGGTGTGTGTGTGTGTGTGTGTGTGGACAACTAGCCAAGAGTGCAGGTGCAGCTGGCTGGTGCTCAAGTTGTCCCCAAAAGCAGAAATAAATAAAATTTCAAGAAAAAACAAAACTAGTTTTGCGGCGACTACAACAGCAACAACAAAGCTGAACAGAAAAGGAAATCGTCGGCGGCGTTGCTGCCTTTTAAGGCATTTGCTTGCTGCTTGCTGCGCGTTGCGCATGCGCCTCGTTGATCAGCGCCCGTGTGTGTGTGTGTGTGTGTGTGTGTGTGTCACTTTGGCTCGCTTGCAACTCGTTGCGCATGCGCCCCATACTCTCAGTTTCAATGTGTGTGTCGCGTCTCGCTCTGCCTCTGTGTGCGTGCGTCACGTCTGTGTATTCAGGTCATTCGCATTTTCACATTTTAAGGCATGTGTTTGCATGTTTTCATTTTGGTATTTTTGCTACTTCTTCCTCTTCTTTTAAATGCAGTGTGCCTCACTTGCGGCTTGCAACTTTTACTTGCAACGCCTCCTGCTGACCGTCGTTGCCTGCGATTCGAGTGCAACGCTTTTGCTTTTGTTGTGCATTGTTCGTTACTTAATTGCGCCAAAGTCATTAATAATCGATTAACCATAGGAGCGAACATGTTTGCAGAGGATGCTGCAAAGCGTGTGGCATGTCCGCGAAGGAAGTGGCAACGTGACGAAGCCAATTACGAGCATTTAGCTTGCGGCAACAATCTCAGCATGGGTTGCATCCCATGGTAATTTGTGTTTCCTGTGCAGCTCTGACAATCAAGACAACATAATGAGCAGCTAGATCATTTGAATACTATTTAAACGGGAGTGACTGACTAAGAGCTACCCAGACCAGCCAATATCTATAAAGGGATACTCATATAAGATATGTCGGAAGACAGAGTGTGTAAGGACAAACTAAATGCTAAGCTTTCCACTCAGTTTAGCTCTTTTCAGTAGACACATTATCAGATTATAGAGAACACCTGTCAGATGATGCGTTGTCAGTTGCTATCTAATCACAAGCAACAGCAACACCAATTCTATCTAATTGATTGAGTGACAGGAAGACAGTTGAAAGCACAGGCTGGCATGGTTGGGCCTCGCAGAATGCAACTCAATTGATCAAATAAACATTTATTGTGTGTCACTCGGGCTGTCAGGACGCCCAGAAGGCGAAACGCTGATTGTGGCTAGGCAGTGGCAGCCATGCCCCTAAAAGGAAGCAGCAAGGAAGCCGGCATAGGCTGCATAGCCTGAATATATCAACTAGCTCGAGTGGCAGACAAGACAAAGGAAAATTGAATGAGCAGAAGATGCAATGAACTGAAGACACAGACACAGACACAAACAGAAACAGAGACAGAGACGACAATGCTGAACTAGTAAATGCCCGATGATGATAACACAGGCGAGAGACAATGCAAACTCCGACACAAAGAGCTGGCTTTGAGTTGGAGTTGGAGTTGGAGTTGAAGCTGGAGGCGGAGACAGAGGAAACATTCTACTGCAACGGCGATTGGAGCACTTGATTTGCCTTTGCCGTTCGGCCAGCTGCAGATTTATGAGCAGTTGTCAGACAACGCGCAGCGTGCAACATGCAGCATGCCACAAAGTAGCCGAGACTCTGGCCACGACTCAGACAGGGCAACAATCTGGCCTGCCAGGTTCATTGTACCAAGCCCTGGATGCTGCTACTGCTGCAGCCACAGTCTACTTTTTCCTCTCCTCCCCACTCTGGCTGAGCTGCGAAGCTAATGAGTTGTCAACATTTTGACTGCAAATAGAGCACGAAACACGAAACACACCAACAAATCTCAGCAAATAATACTGAAAACATTCCGCAGACATATCCTTGGCAGCTGGCGCTTCTGAGCTGCTCAAACTGTAAGCTCCAATGCCTCATCAACTGCCAACTTAAGCCAACTGTTTGAAATGAATTCTCATTAAAAATAAAAGCAATTAAGTGGGCGCAGCCGATAGCTGATATACAATTACGATTACAATTATAGCAGCAACAACGGCGTCTCCTGCACACTTTAATTCTACTTAATTAAAAGTAACAAAAAACCACAACAACAACATAATTATAGCTAATTTGCTAACAATTCTGTTTATATACAATTATAAAATTCTATTCATATTCTGAGAAATTAACTACATCAAATGAGCGTACTAAAAACTCAATTTGAAACGTTGTTTGGTTTTACGTTAAAAATTAATTCGAAATCAAAATGAAAACAGAAATTTCTGCAGATTTGCATACAAAATTAAAACAAATCCAACTGGAACGCAGGCAAATGTTGTCTAATCAGCTGGAAAGTCGATGAGGGGAAGGCTACAAAAAGTGCGAAAAAAAGTGAAAATAGAAAAAAAAAAATATATTTGTATATATATACATATATATATATATATATATATATATATATATATATACGTATATATAACAACCTAATGAACATATTAATAGCTTAATAATTTGTCGCCAAAAATCGATAAGTTTCGAATTAGGCAGAAAATAAAAGATGGAGCAGAGTTTTGAATACAAATTCAGTCGCATGTGAATGAAAACGAGGGTAGTCTAATAAGTAACGTAGCTAAAAAATAAATAAATATACAAATATATGTGTTCAATCTATTAATCAGCTTAATTCGATAATTATCGATTAATTTATTCAAGCAATTTATTTTTTTAATTCAAGCAAAAGCGTATATCCCGCTTCATTACAGCTTATTTCGATATTTATCGATTATTTTAAGAACTTCAGTTCAAGTAAAAACAGCAGATCCCGCTTCAGGTATGCAGACTAAATTTCTATCCTAATATGACACGTAATTCGATATTTGTCGATATAAGGCAACACATTTATTGCATATTCATAATTAATTGATTTTGATTTAAGCAAAAGCAGCATCTTGCCAAACTTCCCCAAACTTCCCCTATTTATTATATCTACACTAAAATCGATATTTATCGATTTTGGGCAACTTACAACTATACGGATGTCAGCTCAAACTAAAACAATATACCCTTAAACTTACTTACATACAGGGCATGCAAACTCCATTCCCACGCTTGATTCGATACTAAACGATTCTCTGCAAGAATCCCAACTCTTAACGTTA